TGGGTATTACAAAACAGATTGTAATTTACAGTGGTTACAAATAACTAGTTTACTAGGTTACAAACGGTTGATAGGGCTGTTTTGTAAATTTTTGTTGTTTTACTGAGGTATATATATATAGGTTTGGTATGTTTAATACGTTTAGTCGCTGTTGCCGTTTGCTTTGGGGGTAGTTGTTAGTTTATAAGCATAAATATTGGCAAAAAAGGGCAGGGTTGAAGTATGCTCAATTTTTAAACAAAGTTGTAGGGAGGGGGGGGAGAAGGTTTTCATATTTTAATTTTTAAGTCATAACAAACTCAAGAAGCCGGATTGACCTTGGTTTTCGGTTTTTGTCGCCGATCAATGAAATCTGCACTTTCTGTGTTAACAATGTGACTGTTTATTTTAGGTTGCAAAGCGTGCCATCATGTTAATTTAATCGCCGTTAGTTTTTTGCACTTTTGAAGGCTGCGTGCACCGCCAGATACGATGGCACATATAAATAGTTAGCTGGTTATTTACAGCTTGATTTTCTTGAACTTAAGGTCGCTAGCTTATAGTATATTAATTTAACGTTTCTATAATAGATTTTGCTTTTTGATAGTGTTATATTAGTTATTAAAGTTATTCTCGTCGGTTTTTGCAAAACACGGTGTGTTAAGTTGCCACTATATTTGGAAGTGGCATTTTTATTGGTGGGATATAAATATAAGTGGGGTGAATAGGGAAAAGGCTTTAGAAAAAGTGTAAGGTGAACATACTAGGGTTAGGACAAAAAACACTTTAAATATTATGCTGTTTAAATGATTCTGTGCCATCATTAAAAACAAATTTTCGAAGTTGTGGAGCACAAATGTTTTTGAACAACATAATTATATAGAAAGTATACATTTCTCTGCAGTTTTTGACCGATTGTTCTTTAATTAATGCTAAAATGTTTTTACTATTAAATTTAGGTCAATTGAAAGTAAAAAAGTTAATTCCTACAAATTTACAAAAACAAGTAAATGGTTTCGAAGTTTAAAACTAAATTGCTGTTGCTTAGAAAACGTTTTTAGGTTTGTTTTATTCTAGCAGGGCAAAATTCACAAACTTTTATTGCCAATTCAAATAAGGCTTATTTTTTATAAAAGAGTATAACAGGTTGTACTTTTTAAAATTTTTAAACTTTTTTCTCATTTTTTAACGCAAGGTATATACTTTGAGACGTGAGGGGGGGGATGATGAGGGTTTGATGAAGACTGTCAGGGCAATCCATTCTAGCTGTCCTCAATTAGGCCCCACCTAGATGACCCTATTTCTCGAGCCAACAAGTTGTGTTGAGATGCTCTGTAAGACTTTAGAGTGCCGTCGGAAGCCTGTGTAGGCAACCGATTTGCCGTAGTCTTCGAGCACTTAGCACTGAAGTTGGACATTTTCCGGTAACAGTCCAATCCTACTTAGCAATATCCATTCAGATGCTGTAGATCAAAAAACTTATTTAGGTGTTTTCTCTAGAGGCTTATATCATCTGTTGGCACCGGTCGTAAGTAATTTTATAACAATATTCTTTTCCAATTGAAGCATTTTTACAGTTACAGTGAGTTAAATTAATGGCCTTGCTAGCCAAAATTCATCTCTAGTTTGGCCCTGCTTGAAGCTAAAAATAGATTTTGGCCAGGAAGCAAGGCTTTGGGACACAGTTAACGGTTTTTTTTTGCTTTTTTTTGCAAAACATTATATTTCGTCAACAGAAAAAAAGTTGCAGCTTTTTCACCTTGGTTACGCTTTAAAAATAAGTTTAAATTGCCGATTACTATGTGACGACCTATGTTACTATATCACGAATACTCTTCGATTACTATGTAACGAAATTCTTGACTACAATTCGAGTAGAGCTTAGTTTCGAACCGAAACTAAGTTTTTTGGACGGTTTACAACACCTTTAGGGGGGAGAGGCGGGCCCGCGTTGCTGAAGAAGCAACTTAAAACATTTTTGGCAGAAATTCGTTTCATAATCATCGGCTCCAGAAGCGCTGAACGTTGCGGGGTCAAGGCTTTCGCTCGAGTGCCTTAGGTGTTTAAACAAGGGCGTGGTGGGGGAGCTCAGGATAGGAGATACGACATTCAAGGTCGTCGAGTGATCTTGATTCTAGGATGAAAGAAGGTCATGACATTACTACAACATGCTTTCTCGAAACTTGTCACGGCTTTTTTGCATTGTTATCAGTTTTGTAAGACTAATACTTTTGACATTTTATAGAAGTTGAATTACGTTTTTGAATTTATTAAATTTTGAAGTCTAACCACATGCTGCAACTTTTATATTTTGATTTTTAAAGGTTTATTTTTAACCAAGTCAATACAAAATTCGGAAAAGCTTTGACCTTCGATCTAAACTGACCTTTGTCCATTACTTTCCGACCATATTGTAATACTTCTTGCTCCGAAAATCGCGCAAATTCAATTTCTTTATTCTCTAGATGACATTACAAAGACAATCGACGCGCAAATGTTTCCAAAGTCTCGCTGTTTTTTGTTTTAAAAAAGTTGCGATTACAAATTACATTTGAAACAAATAACCGTAAATTTTAAAATTTGGTGACATTTATGAGCATAAATTTTAAAAATTTTGTAACGTAAAAAATAGTATTGAAAAAGGTTTTTTGTAATTATTAGGTTGTTTAAATAATTCTATTCCTCTCTCTCAAATCAAATTTTTGGAGTTAGGAGCACATAATTATATGAACAACTTAGTAATAAGCGATAGTTGATTAAGCTTTACCCGTAGAGCTAGAACTGGGACTGTAGCTTTAGCTTTAGCTGTAAGCTGGTACTGAGGCTGCAGCTTTAGTGGTACGCTGGGACTAAGGCGTAGGTTTTATCTACTGAGACTGCAACTTAGGATCAATGAATGGTTACTCGGCTTGGATGTAGCATTGAAAACGTTGGCAGAGTGGCAAAATACTTAGTGTTCTCTTTTGTGGTCTTAAGATTAGCATTAGGTTTAAGATAAAAGTAGGCAGACCTTGGTTTGATGAGTTACAGTGATTAAAGACTCTGTGGCTGCTTCTACGACTTTCAAAAGTTGATATTTTGACCTAGCGTTGTTTTATAGGCTCTACATTACCACTATTTTTCATTATATTGATATCTTCCTTCATTTTTTCTATATACGCATGCCTATGCCATTGTAAGGTTCGATATGCCCATAACACACCAGATCACCTGAACTTCTCCCCCCGCCGCAGTGTAAAGTAACATCACTTGTAGATAGTCATCTCGGACCGGTTTAAACATGCTCTAAATGTTATAACTATTTAAAATTGTCCACATAGTTTAAGGTCGGGTTAAAAACACGTCGTTTAATAAATTCGTCAACCGCACTGTTTAAAAAAACGTTTTTTCGTAATTTTTTATTACTATTTCCGCGCGCGCTCCATATATACATACACACATACGAGGTCACCGTATATTGTAAAAAGTCACCATATTCCAGGGGGTCGTCTTGTTTGGTCGAAACAAATTAGGCTGGCAAAACAAATAGGCTTGGAGCATATTTTAGGCAGTGAGGCTATTAAGGTTGAGGTATTGGGGTTTTACATTGATATTGTTTGGTTGATATAATTTTTGGCAAGGAGGTTAGGTAGGACAAGGCTATCTATAAGCTTAAGAAGAGCATACTATAGTAGGACAGGGCTAGTACTAACTTTTAAAAAAAAATTATTAAAAGAATGCTTTGTTTTTTCTATTTTTAAATGTTATTTATCATAAGGAACTTGCTTTTGACCTAGTTCAACAAAGATAATTAGTACTTCAATTATAATACTTACTGTGTTAGTTCAGGGGTTAATCAGTAAGTGGCTTGAGGGATGGGGTAAACAAAGGAAATTGGCTTCAAGGGTAGGGTAAACATAGGGTAGTGAATTTGGGGGTGGGTTAAACATAGGAAAATGGCTTTAGGGGTAGGGTGAACCAAAAGAAGTGGATTTAGGGGAGGAAGGGGAAGTAGGCATAAGAAAGTGGCTTTACTTACTGTAACTTTGTCGCATCTTACTATAATTTTATAAATTTTTGTAGTTGCACTTGGTCTCTCCTGTTGATTTTTGAAAAAAAATGAGTAGGTACTATATGTACTTAAAATTTTTTTTTGTTTTTAATTATAATTTTTTAAACTTTTTTAAAATTTTAAAATTTTTCATTTTTCATGCTTTATCATCTACTACAACATAATTTATTAAGTTGTACAAATAATTCTGCACACCCGTTCAAAACAAACTTTTGGCGTTTAGAGGCTCAAAATTATTTGAACAGCCTAATATAATAACTTTTACTTCCTTGCCATTCCCGAACTTTGCAACTTCTTACCATAAATAGTAAAGGTCAAGAAGTAGTGTAACTTTATAACATACGAAAGGTAATTATGCACTTGCGACATGTTGTTCGAGTGTTTAGTAACTTGAAATATAATTTTGTGAAAAAAGCGAAGAGATGACAGTAACGAGGTCACGTTCCTTCGTATAATTTACTTTGTCCGACTTTACCGATTACTACAACATGACATAATGCTTATGTTTCGCGGGTCGGAGATCAATCTTGTTACCATATTTAGAAGCGGCATCTTCGGGGTGGGGTACACGTAGAGACGTGGTTTTAGGGGTGGGGTGAACATAGAGAAGTGGTTTGAAGGATGAATGGGGGAGGGGTGAACAAAGGTAAGGCAAAAAAAATTTTGGGTAGGGTAATTTTGGATTTGGGGGATATAAAACGAGCTTTTTAAATGTGAAGTTTGTACACCTTTTTACCTTTTTTTCATCGCTATTTACTACCGTAATTACCGTGTCAATCGAGAAACATATAACTCAATATTTGTTACCTAAACCTTACCTAACTTACTCAAACAGCTGTTGCAGAAGTCGGAGTGGAATCGTACACAACCAAAAGGCCACGAGAATAACCATCGAATACTGTGAGTGGATACAGTAGTGCTTATACGGAATTTGGAGAGAAACAAAGATACGAATTGGTACGACGACCAAATGCGACCCTTTCAAAGGTCGAGTCTAGGCCTTTTGGCACTTTTGATTTGCTCAACTTTGCGTGAGTTTTTCTGAATATATCATAGTAGACTTCAGTAGGTTCTCCTGCGGGTAGAATGAGAAGAGTGGTTTTGTATTGACGTGTAAGGGTTAAAATTTTTATTTTTGTAAAAATTGTTTAAAATTTTTAAGTTTTAATGCAATTTCTTGTTCCTTTTATCATCAAGTGGCATATCAAGATATTTTTAAACCACAGAATTCAATATTACGTCGTTCAAATAATTCTGAGCCACCACATCCCAAAAATTTGCTTTGAGAGTAGCTCACGATTAGTTAAACAACTTAATAATAACTCTACGGTAAATTACTCTTCCTAGCACACCCAACTGCTTATAGTTACTCTCCCTGGCACACCCATATGCATGTAGTTTCTCTCCCTGGTACACCCAACTGCCTCTAGCATCACAACCTTGGCTTTTATTAATTGTCATATCACTTTTCTCTTGCAATTTCCAGTTTTCTGCTACAAAAACGATCGTTTTCGGAGATTTACACTGCTTTTGCCACTGGCATTTCATTACACTCTAAATTGAAACCGTTATGGAACGTTGCGAAAAGTCACGTAACGTGCTTGCAACACATAAAATACAAATATCTTAACATAGGGTACAGATTAGCATAAAATACAAATACATTAATTAAGATAAGATATAATACTTCAGCATACCTTGACATACCATACATAGTAGTTTGTGTAAAAAGTTTTAAGCCTTCAAACCTTGTATAATATATAAAATACATTTTTAAAATTTTCAGCGTTGACATCATCCCAACTCCGACCTCCCCGCACACAAAGTTTTAAATGTCTGTCGAATGGATGTTGTGATCAACACGAATGGTGTCGCTTCTGGGCATCGATTGGAGAATGTAGGACGAATGCCGAATGGATGGCCTCAAACTGTCAATTGGCTTGTAATACTTGTCCTGTGCCGTTGCGTAAGTTGTAACAAACTTAAGTTTAGTATTCGGGTTGGATAGGGGATTTAACTTTAGTTTTTTAAATTTTTAAATTTTTTTAAATTTTAAAAATGAAAGTTTTGGAATTGTTAATACATGCTTAAGCATTGGGTCGTCAGGCAATTTTTGGGTCTAGTCTGGCTTTCAAAAGTCAAAAAGGAGCCAAACTTCTTGAACCAGGCTTTACATAGCTAAATTCCAAATTTTGTTTCAAACTGTGACTTTTAGGCTAGGCCGTTCTTTAATTTTTCAGACCTTTCCAGCAAACTTAAATGTAAATTTTTATCATTTTTGCCATAAATGTTGAAATTTCACCCTTCAAAAGTTGTCATCAATAACAACAATCTTCCAAACATTGTAAAGCAGACATTCTACCGTAGACCTCAATAATATTGACTAAAGTAATATTTACAAAGCCATTTCCCAACCTTTACAACCTATTTTCTTACTCAGTAGACGGGTCGAGAAACCAAATTGAGGCCGTCGCTGTAAACAGTATACAATTTACTGGTTTCGCGCTTTTGATTGATAACACATTCCACTCGTTGTGGTAAACATGCTCAAACTGTAAAATCACTGATTTATTTGCGGTTTGAACGGGCCGCGAGTTCTGGAAAAGGTTGACGTAGATAACATGACATATGGAGAAGAGTGATATAAGTAACATAAAATATGAAGAAGGTTAATATATGTAACATAATATGTCGAAAAGATTGACATAAGCAAAAAAAACATATGAAGAAGGTGAATATGCAGGCTATAGAACCAAAAACCAACCGCCGAATAACTATACATAACATAATATAATCAGAAATCATTTTTAGCATCATCAACCTCACAATCAACCTCCTCATCATCAACACAGTCGTCCTCAACGTCCACATCGACGCGTACGTCGACGAGAAACCAAGAATCCTCAACTTCTTCGGGATCTCGCGCCACAGCACCATTCACTTCACAAACCGGTGCAACCGACGAAACCGATAGTACGGGACAATTCCAGTCTAGCACAGCTAATGGAGTGCAACATGCTTCAAGTTGTGATCAGATCGCCAATAACAGAAGCAATGCTGCCGCTCAAATGATGGGAAGCGGCTTGGTTAATGCCATTGAGGACAGTAGTGGCAGACAGTTGCTGTCGCTGGAAGATATCACGAGGAGTGTATCGACTGGTTGTGTGCCTCAGGTGAGAAACTTCATTTGACAAAAAATTTGAAAATTTAAAAACCTATTAGGTTTTTCGAATAATTCTGTGCCCCCTATGCTCCAAAAAATGCTTTAATAAGGGGCACAGTAGTTGAACAACCTAATAATTTAAAATTTTACAAAACAACCTTATGTTAGCCCTAATCCCCGAATTTTAGCAAAATGGAGCTGAATGTTCGGCCAACTTGTGTTATCACATGATGTACAGATCTATGGACGGTACTTGTAACAATCTGAGAAGCTCGATGCGTGGAGCCTCTTTCCGACCATACTTACGACTTATGCCCGCTGAGTACGATGACGGAATTGGAGAGCCTGTTTGTGAGTTTAACTTTATATTATAAACTAAAATACCTTTATATTCTAGACTAAAATATGGATTTTGGCTTTGTTACAGAAGATACATTTGAAATTTTAGTTTTTGATTTCCCTTGCTAAAATTTAGAAAAAGTTTTTTTGTTACCTATTTATCTTTGATGAACCTTTTTACACGAATAAAAGGCGAAAATTCATTTATGTGTAATTGTTTTTTGGATTGAAGAAGCTGCTTTTCGATGTTATAGTAGACCATTTTGAAGAAACTTTTTTTCAGAGTTTGAGGGGTCTCGCAAACTAAAATTTAGGCCAAATAATAATATATAAAGTCTATACCTACCAAAATAAACGTTTTTACTCCATAATTTCAGCTTCAATCCGCCAAACGCGACCATCAGTTCGTGATGCCTCCAGGATCTTGTTGTCCAGCTCTCAAGTCGTAACTCACGAGTCTTTCAACTCCCTGTTGATGCAATGGGGTCAGTTTATGTCGCACGATATGGCCAGAACCACGCTACAACCTTCTGCCAATTGTCCAACTTGTGAGCCAATTCCAAGCAAATGTATTCCAGTCAAGATCAGCGACAAGGACACCAACTTTTCGTGAGTTTAGCTTTATTTTTGGCTCTAATTTTAATTCTTTGAGTTTTTTAAAATTTATTTTAGCTATAAATGGCAAAAAAGAGACCAATAAGTGTAGGTATAGGCAATATATTGTAAAAAATTGGCAAAAAGCTTGAAGAAGTTGAAATAATTATATTGTTGTAGGTTCAAAGAGAAGAAATGCCTCAAAATCTCTCGATCTGCTCCAATTTGTGGCACCGGTCAAACTGCTCCACGCCAACAGCTCAACGAAAACACTGCCTATGTCGATGGATCTCAAATCTACGGATCTTCGATTAAAGATCTACCGAAGTTCAGAGATGGCAGAACTGGCTTCTTGAAGTTGTCCCACTTCAACAACATGAATGTTCTGCCATTCGATGAGTCCAAGTGCTCCAGTGCCACCCAATGTACGGCATCTTTTGTCGCTGGCGACATTCGTGCCAATCTTTTCTTGGGATTGTCTTCTTTCCATATTATCTTTGCTCGCGAACATAACAGGTAAGAGTTTTGGAGGTATAGCTGTTTTGGTTAGCTGTTTAATGATAATGCATTGAGTTTGAATTTGTAAATTATGTCTTTTTTGTTTTCTTTGATTCTGAACTTTTAAAAATTATGTCATTTTAGAATCGCTCGCGCCTTCCAACAAATGAATCCATCGTGGAGCGGCGATCGTATCTTCCAAGAAGCCCGCAAAGTGGTTGGAGCCGAGATTCAGCACATTCTGTACCGTGAGTTCCTTCCGAAAATCCTCGGAAGCTCCATGGACAAGATCCTCGGCCCATACAAAGGCTACGACCCATCCGTAGACTCCACCATCTCCAACGTCTTCACCACTTCGGCCTATCGGTTCGGACACGGTATGATCATGGAGAAGTACCCTCGACTGGATCCGGCTGGTCAGCCCATTCCCCACGGTCCATTTGACTTTGGCGACGGCGTCTTCAAGTCCAACAAGATTCTGTTCGAAGGTGGCGTGGATCCGGTGATTCGTGGGTTGTGGTCGACTCAAGTCAAACGCCCACATCGTATGACGCCGGCCATCACGGAGAGCATGTTCGGAAGGTAAACATTGTTTAGTTTTAAAACTGGCATGGGTAAACTTTAGAATTGAGCATGGATAAACTATAAAATTAGGTATGGGTAAACTTTAGAATCAGATAAACATAAAAAACATAAAATCTTTCAATGGTGTGCAAAGTAAATAGGCTAATATTGGGCGGGGTAAACGTCTAAACTGGTACTGGTAGCCTAGTTTTTAACACGGAGATGCAAATTATAAAAATTGGGCGGAGTAAACATGAAAAACAATGTTTTTTGGGTTGAGATAGACACGAGAAGATAAGTTTTTGATATTTTGCAAAGACTAACCATAAATTAATTGATAAACAACAACAAATAAATAGGTAAACAACAGCAAATAAACAAATTTTAGAAAGAAAACACTATTTTTGTAAAGTTTTTTATGTTATTGAGACGGCAGTCATATTTTTAATGGCTCTACAGCCTTTTTACATTGCTTTTTACTCTAAAGATATTGTTTTAGATGATTTTGAAGCATTAAACTCAGTATTATTTAATTAAAATCAAATTAAAACACTAATAACATACCAAAATATCAGAAGGACTCAAAATTTTTGCAAACGGTCAGTAAAATCTGAAAAAATTAAAAATTTGAAACGAAATTGAGGAAACGCAGAAAAAATAAAAATTTCAAAGAAAATTTTCAATTTTATGACCTTTCAGCACTGACCTCGGATCTGTGAACATCATGCGCGGACGTGAGCACGGCATTGCATCGTACAATAAATGGCGCAAATTCTGCGGAATGTCAGTAGCCGGATCGTTCGAGGAGCTCAAGGATCAGATTCTGGATCCAAGCATTCGTGGAGCTTTGGCACAAAACTTCCAATCTCCTGGTAAGGTTGATTCATATATAAATTTATATATATTATACAGAACTAGTATGGTTATCAGTAAAATATCGTTGATAATGTATAGGAAAGGTTAAAATGACACTAGTTTCTTGTTATAGGTAACATATGAGGGATAGGTTAACTTTTTGAAAGGTTAGTTTATATAACAACATATATATTATGAACGCACAATTAAGTGAACGGCATAATAATAATAAAAACCTTACTTTTAGACGACTTGGACTTGTACGTTGGCGCCATGGTAGAAGACCCAGTTGTTGGTGGTCTTGTTGGTTCAACGCTGGCTTGTATCATTGGAGATCAGTTTAAGAGGACTAGGGATGGAGATCGGTAAGCTATTATGATCTTGTGGTAAAACTGGAAGAGGCTGTACTTTCAATCTTCTCTTTGCGCTTAACTTGAGCCTTAAAAACCGTAATAGGTATCTAAATTCTATTGATAGAAAATGGATTTACCATCTAATTATAGATTATATAGATTGACCATAAAAGCCTCAAGACTAGCGCTAGCTACTATCAGGCTGTTCAAGTAATTCTGTGCCTCTAATCTCTAAAATGTTTTATGAGAGAAGGCACAGAATTATTTTAACGTCTTAATAGAATTCAAAAACGCTTGTTTGGAAGTTAAACTTTTAAAAATTTATGCAAAATATTAGTTTTAAAATTTAAAAGAAAATTATTTTGCGCCTACGCTCTAAGCCTAATCAAGCTGATTTTATGATTTCTTGGTACAGTTGGGTGGTCTGACCCTAAAGCAATTTCTATAAACTTACCGTATCCTAGTTTTCGTACCCATGAAACCTATTAGGTTGTTCAAATAATTATGTGCCTCAAAAAATTAAAATTTGCTTTGAGAGAAGACGCACAATTATTTGAATAACTTATATTAAAAAAAGTTTTTTGCTTTAACTTTGGCTTAACTCCTACCTCTAAAAACCACTATTCTACGTTTAACTCACCGCTTCCCTAACCATATATGTCAGTTATTAAAAAATGACAAAACTTATAATACTTCAGATTCTACTTTGAAAACCCTGGAGTCTTTACTGGACCTCAGTTGGCTGAGATTCGTAAGACTCGTTTGTCCAAAATTTTCTGCGACAACGGCGACAGTATTAGAGAAGTGCCGGGCGATGCCTTTGTTACTCCTAAGAATGGTTTGGTACCTTGTAGTCAGCTGCCCACCATCGATCTGTCTAAATGGAAAGAGTAAAGTGGTATAACTATATGTTATTTTACAGTGTATTGTGGTTACTGTGATATTATACTATGGTTACTGTATAAGTTACTCTGTTTATTGTACTAGTACACTGCGGTTACTGTAACATACCAGTCTTGTGGTATCTCTCGCCTATATTATTATATAATTCTAATGTATTTCAACTGCCAAATCGTATGTTCGTTGCCTTTCACTTGGCTATCTTCGTCTTCAGACCTCATTCATTGGCTCAAATATGCAAATTTTACGATAATATTGTAAAGATACGATTTGTAACTGCTCCTTACTACTTATATATATATTATTATATACGTTTGACTATTTTATATACATTACCACGTACTTTTGGTCATGTTATCAAGTAAGCACATAACAACAGTTGAGCGATACTCGAATGTAAAGTTGTTACATTGTTGTATGCTACTATGGTTAATGTGTATATGACAAAAATTAATTGGTAATAAGTTAAGTAACTAATCGTATCTTCTTTCTAAACCTATAATAAGTCTTGTTATTACTCTCCAAAGTCGTATTTTATTCTGCCGCTGTGACTACAGTAAGCAACACATGAACGGGTATCTTGTAGTCAACACAGCATTCTACTTTTCCTTATTTACTATTGTTTTATCCCGGTTATAACAATAAATTTTACATGATAATAGAGCGGTTATATTATGAAAAACATACATTATATACTAGGAACTGCACAACATATACATATATAAGTGTATTAATATAGATAAATTTATATATATAATATATATTAATGTATATGTATCTATATATTAAATCCCAACAAAAGATACGGCAATAAAGAGTAAAATAATTGAATTAAGAGACTAAAGCCTTCTATTGTGTATCGTATCTGAATGGCTATAGTAACGTTGAAGTACATCTTAATCTTCATCAGGAGTTAAGTAATATCAGATTAATCGTATCTTCTATTCAAATACGATTCTAGAAACATATATTGGTTGAGGTTGTACCTTGGCCATAAAATCCGGGTACTGTAAGAAAAGATTTTACTAGAAGTTTGTGTCGGTATAAAATACTTTTTGTAGTATTAGCTATTCTGCACATATATTGGTATGTGGTTTAAGGCGAGCTTTAAGGTAGGAGTGGGTAATTTAATGTTGGGTGGGGCAAAGCGTAATAGGGTAGAGTAAGTTAATTTATGGCAGGGTAGGATAGGGTGTAGCAAGTTAAGGGGATCGGGGGTAAGGTACGGTAATGCACGGCTGGGCCGGCCAGTTTAGGGTAGGGTAGCGTAGGGTAGGGCAGGATAGCGTAGGGTAAAGTAGGGTAGTGTAGGGTATGGTGAAAAAAAACGTACATTTACTTTTTTTTATACTTTAACCTACCAATTGACCTTGCCTACGTTGACATAAGTAATATAAATGTCATTATTTGCCTCGATTTGTTACTTTTTCATAACAGAGCATGTACTAATACTTAAATGACGAACACAATTAATAATTCGTTTCCGTTACAGAGTATGGAGAAGTACTGGTTTGACCCCGCTGGCTATGAAAGTCTCTACAACTGCAGCATGTATTCGACTGAGAAATGGCATAGTTTTGGGTACCCTAATAAGTTTGTTGGGGCGTTTTACACCTTTATTGGCATCATTTATGAGATACTTTACTTTCCGTGTTTATACACGATGTCATCGCCTAAATTCTTGAGGTTTTCTTGCTACAAAATCATGTTCTTCTTGGGTAAGTTATTATGTTATATAGCATATTACAATACTATTTAGTATATCACAAAATTCTATACTAAGTACTGTATTAGACTTAATCGTACTACAGTAAGAAAAACAACGTTGCTATTAGTGGCTTCTGCTGTATAAGTATGGCAGGCTTTTGTAATTGTAATAGTAATATAACGGAAAGGCTTTGGTTGAGAAATGATTTTAGGCATAATAGACATGGCTTGTATAAGTATCAACTCAATTATGGCTGGTTACTTTGCTTGGCATGGTAATGTTTTCTGTGATTATCCCAAGATCATGTACATAAGTGGCAGTATTTCTGTTGGTAGGTTGATTACCCTACCCTACTGTACCCTACCCTATCCTACTCTACCATACCCTACCCTATCCTCCCTACCCTACTGTAACCTACCGTACACTACCTAATCTCATTAACTTCAGGTCTATGGTGCACTGCCTGTATGTCATGCATGATCCTTGCTTGTAATCGATGCTGTGACATTCTAATGCCCGAATGGATGGAGTACTTGTTTCAAGGATGGAAGGCATACCTATGGTTATTTGCCCCATCGATTTATGGTTTGTATTTTGTCTTTTTTACACCGCCAGTAATATTCACATCAATATACGACGGTGCTTTCTTCGACCCATTTGTTGGAATGCCTGTGTCTGATAAGGAGAGAGTAAGTTTGGTATGTTATTGTGGCTTTATGGGCTTGTTGTCGTCACTAATATATTAACTATTCGTATCAAATGTACTAGGTTGTTCAAATAATTCTGTGCTTCTTCTCAGAGCAAATTTTGGAGGTTAAGGGGCTTAGATATATTTTAACAACCTAATATATCAACTTTTATAGTACACAAGTTGGCCCCATACCATGAACAACGTAACTGTCATCATAGTGCTATGTATCGCCTATACAAGCATTTGTGTCTTCGTATGTAAAAAGAGTCAGACTATAAATGGCCATACGACAAGCGGATTGAGCTCTTTCAATGCTCTTCAGAAGTCTGTAAGTTTACAATTTACAAAATCAGGTTAGAATCGAACATATCACAGTATTTTTATGATTAAGCTTTTTATATAATTCTGTGCTCCCTCTCAAATTGTTAATGGAGCACATAATTATGTGAACAACTTGTTATCTATTATGGTCTTTACAAAAAATAAGATCTAACATAACAAAAAAGTTTTAAATTAAAATGTATGTACTTTGCAGCTGATAGCACAAGCCACTCTTATATGCACCTTGATTTTGTCCGCCGCCACAGTATATGTTCTAATGCAGTTTATCGAACTATCAGGGTATATGGTTATTGTAGGACAAATTAGTTGGCAGTCGAGTCATGGCAAGTAATATTCCAACTTTTTATGCTCAAGAGATAGGCGTATTATAAATATGCCCAACCCTAATACGGTAGAAGCTTTTAGTAGGACCCACTGTAGTGTGACACCATCGTTATAAAGAAAAGTTTGGACCAGTCTCTTGAGTGTCATACTAAAGAGGTTCGACTGTATATTTATAATATAGCATAGAAGTTGGTAATAAATTTATACCAAAACTTTTACAGGTGGTACCGTGTTCATTTACCTATTTTTGAACAAGACCATGAGAAATGAAATACGAAACACCTTTATGCCCAAATGTATCGCTAAACGTCATAATCAAACCTTTATCGCTGCCACAGGTGGCAATCCTCTATATAAGTCCAGCAAAGATACGATGGGTTCTGCTTTGGTTATCTAACCTATATAATTTGGCCAGCCACATAAGAGTTACGTTTACTATGGCCTACTACAAACTTTTTTATAGCTATTTACTATAACTAGTTATTTTTGTGTAGCTACTACTATATGACTATTTACAGCACTTTTGTAAGGGATCATCCATATTTGGACAACCTGGTAGGTAACATACTCTATTACAGAGGCTTTATAGTTACTATTGGGCTATACGTACCATTTACAAAGTTATTCTTAAGCAATACACAGAGTTTTATCCTCAGGGGCTGTGGGTTGGGTATGGTAAAGGGATACTGTATTTTGAAGGTTGTTGTACCACCACTGCTTGTTTAAAATAAACACTTTAACAAAAAATAGGTATTGATAACAACAAGGGACAATAAAAAACAAATTTATTTATTAATGATGTTTATTACGTATTTTACAGTAATTTTATATAAGATACAATAAGAAAAAACTTTAAAATTAAAAAAAGTTTGAATATAAAATTACAGTAACTATATATATATAAAGTTACTGCGTTGTTAAACTTGCTTTATAACTTTACGATTTAGGCTTAAAGCCTTATAAGAACTCCTTATAAGCCTTACTGGTTCTTCTTACAAGCCATATAAGTACAGATTGTAAGCCTAGTAAACCTCTTATTCAATATTGTCATCTAAGTCGGCTTCAGCTTCGTATTCGCCCTCATCCTCGACGGTAGCGTCTTGGTATTGTTGGTATTCCGAGATGAGGTCGTTCATGTTGGATTCGGCTTCCGTGAACTCCATCTCATCCATACCTTCGCCAGTGTACCAATGCAAGAAGGCTTTGCGACGGAACATAGCTAAAGAAACACAACATAGGCTTATATCATGACATATCAATATTTACTGTATTGTCAATTATTCTACTGGATACTCAACTTACCCTAATCTACTTTACCTACCCTACCCTAACCTTCCCGATCCTGTCCTACCGCCATACCCTTTCAAAACCCTACCATTAAATTGTTCGCTGATTCTCTTGAACAACTCCTGAATAGCAGTCGAGTTTCCAATGAATGTAGCTGACATCTTGAGGCCTCGAGGCGGAATGTCACAAACGGCTGTCTTAACATTGTGAGGGATCCATTCCACAAAGTATGGAGCGTTCTTGTTCTGAACACTCATCATTTGATCGTCCACCTCTCTCATTGACATTCGACCACGGAAGATGGCGGCTACGGTGAGGTAACGACCGTGACGTGGGTCACAAGCTGCCATCATGTTCTTGGCATCGAACATCTGGAAGTAGTGGGTTTGAAGCGAGTTTTAGGTAACAAGTTTTATTAATATCGTAAATTTAAAGAATGTTACAGTACCCACCTGTTGAGTAAGTTCTCCCACAGTACTAGCCCTATAAGAAGAAACATTCTTGGCTGAAAGTGGTGCAAATCCAGGCATGAAGAAGTGCAACCTCGGGAATGGTACCATGTTAACGGCCAGCTTCCGCAAGTCAGCATTAAGCTGACCAGGGAATCTCAAACAAGTCGTGACACCAGACATTGTCATAGACACCAGATGGTTCAAGTCACCGTAATTGGGATTTGGCAGTTTCAACGTTCTGAAGCAGATGTCGTACAAAGCTTCATTGTCGATGCAGAAGGTCTCGTCGGTGTTTTCGACCAGTTGATGTACAGATAAAGTGGCATTGTAAGGTTCGACTACAGTGTCCGAAACTTTTGGCGATGGAACGACGGAGAAGGATGACATAATTCTGTCAGGGTATTCTTCGCGGATCTTGGAAATCAAAAGAGTACCCATTCCGGAGCCCGTACCTCCACCGAGGGAGTGAGTCAGTTGAAAGCCTGAAATGATCATGCATAAGCTTATAAACATATATATAAAGATTTTACCGTAATTTATTTCCTTTACCTTGCAAACAATCACATCCCTCAGCCTCCTTTCTCACCACATCCAGCACATTATCCACCAGCTCGGCACCTTCAGTGTAATGTCCCTTCGCCCAGTTGTTGCCAGCTCCTGATTGACCGAAAACAAAGTTGTCTGGTCGGAAAATCTCTCCATATTGACTGTTTCTAACCGAGTCCATAGTGCCGGGCTCCAAGTCGACCAGCACAGCACGTGGGACATACTTGTTGTTACCGGTCTCATTGTAGTAGACATTGATTCTCTCCAGCTGAAGATCGTTCTCGCCTTCGTAGGAACCATCGGGTTGAATGCCGTGCTCATCCGAGATCACTTCCCAGAACTGGAAAAAAGTTTTTGTTAGGTAATGTGGTTTGAATGTTCAGTTTATTGGTATGGGTTATACCTATGATAACATCGTTTTTCAAAATCGTTATCCCATTTTTAGCTACAACACTAGTTTAACTTAAGAAAATAAACCAAAATTGTTAAAATTCATCTACAATAAAATTAAAAACCACAAAAATCCTCACCTTGGCACCAATTTGGTTACCACATTGACCAGTTTGAATGTGCACAATCTCACGCATATTGTTTTACCTCGAAAGCGATGAAATTAGAAGTGAGTTGGGAGTTTTGCTGTTTTTGAGATCTACCTCTGATGACCTTGTTGCCTTGTTTAGAATTCCGCCGAGAATTATCTGTGTCGAGGGCGATCCTCAACACAAAACGCGCTAATCAAAGATAACACCCGCGCTAATCACAGCTAACATGACAAACATGACATTTTAACGACTGTTTTGGTATGAAATATTACCCGCAGAATCTTCTTTCAATATTCATATTAGCTGCAGGGCTTATTTTTAGGATTAAAATTGAAAAACCTCAAAAACTTTCTTTTCTTACCTAATCTAAAACAATATAATTCATCATAAGACTGAAAACTAAAACGTTCGCCATAAAACAACCTCGAAAAGGTAAAACGCTTCCAGAACTTACCCACAATCCAGTCAATGGTTATCCGACATAGTAGAATTGGGCGGAAATCAATCTTGTTTTACTCGAAATGGCAACATGTAACCTGATATACCAAACATGGACTTACCGCATATGCCATATTCAAATAAATCTGATTAAAAACAAAAAATATCATCCAAGGATGCATCCATATAAGACACGACTTTTTTTAAATATATCACTTCGGTGTAAAAAATATTACTGTTTGATCGCAGAAGCTACCTATATTGTAGTAGATAATAAATATAACTATGCAAATTTACAACTATATTAAAATTTTTAAAAGCAAAATTTAACTTTCAACCAAGTTTTAATAAATTTTCATACAGTAACTTGTCGCATACAAAATATTCAATTTAAACTTTATATTGTCCGCGAGTGACATGTTATACGATGAAACCTGTTAACGGTTTGTATGCAAATTGAATGAATAATTTGAAAAACAGACAAAATGTACTAAAAAATTATGAAATTACTTTTTTAGATTAATTTTTGTAAAAAGACATCTTTATTTTACCATTTCCTGCTTCTAAAGCCAGTTAGCGGTTGGTCTGAGCTGCGCCCGGCCAATTTATCCACAAAACAATATTTTTTCTCTTGCGAGCGTATTACTCAACGTAGGTTTGTTGTCTCTCTTCTTTTTTCTTGCTCTTTCCCCTCTCCGGGTTCTTTGACCACGTCGACATACTTTGATAACCCGTATTATACTTGTTGTTGTAGGTCTTCAATATTGGGTGGTAATCAACATGGAGAGCGACATTCGTGATGCACCAGCAGCACCATCTCGTTTCATGCAATTCTTGGCAGTGGTAGGTGTCTGTTTGTTTATTTTTTGTTTGTTTAGAAGGAGAATGTGGAAATTTACATGAATTTTTATCTTATTCATGATTGATGGTCTTGATAAATGTGAAGATACACGTATTTTACATTTTTTGATAGGTTGCTTGCTCTATAAGTTAGACAAGGCTTTTCTGAAGCTTTCTGAAACTTTTTTCTTAAAATTTAAACATGTTGAGTTTTGTTTCAGAACTATCAACACTACCTCGACAGACTCACACCTTATACTGCAGTCCGATGGACTATCGCAATCAGCTTTATGCTATTGTTCTGTTACCGAGTCTTCCACGTGCAAGGCTTCTACATTGTTACATACGCGTTGTTCATCTTCTACCTTAACTTATTTCTCCAGTTTTTGTCGCCGAAGATTGATCCAGCTTTTGATTTCGACAGTGATGGTAAGCGTAACATAATGTTTGAAAATTTGAAAATTTAAGGTTATATTTTGCGTAGTTTTCGAACTGAAATGATTTGCCAATGTTTATGCTTGCTTTTTAGACGATGGACCGGCTCTTCCTCAAAGTAACAACGAAGAATTCCGACCATTCATGCGAAGGTTACCTGAATTCAAGTTTTGGTATGTAATTTGTAAAAGTTTTATGCTTTTAGGTATGAAGTTGAAGATTTTGATGAATTTAAGTGTTACTGCTGAATTATTCGTGGTTTTTAGCTATTTATAAAGAGGATATTTATTATAAGAACCTTTTGATAAGCATCGATTTGACCCTATATTAATCTGGGAACTTTTCTTGTCAACGTGTATATTTTCATATTTTATAAAATATTTCTTAACACTCTTCTTAGTTCTTTATAACATCTTTCTTAACTATATTTTTAGTTCTTTCAGTTTTATGTTTGTTTTTTTTGTTAAAAACCTGTAGTACTAACTTACCAGTTACAATATAACAATTAACTCATTCTTGAAGACTAAAACCGCATTTATTTTCAGGTTGAGCACAATGAAAGCAACTATATTGGCTTTCACCATGACATTCTTTGAGATCTTCGACATCCCAGTATTCTGGCCGATCTTGGTCATGTACTTCTTCTTCTTGACCTTCTTGACTTTGAAGAGGCAAATCATGGTAAGTTAATGTCTATATGAATATTGGTTTGGAATTTGAGATTATTGTTCTTATCTAGTTAATATTAGGTTTTGATAGCTTTGTAGATGTTTTTACACTTAAAACTTTATAAATTTTTTTTGAAGAAACTTACCTAAAACTGTGTTTAACTTATTTTAACACACTTTATTTCAGCACATGATCAAGTACCGCTACATTCCGTTCACTTTCGGCAAACCCAGACCAGGAGCATCGGGCAAAGTAGTTTTAGGCTGATGTTTCTGACTCTTGCCATTTTCAGCATCACCAATCCAATCGGGTCGCTCCAGCCGAGCCATTATCTCCACTGCTTCAATCTCAGGCCCCAACTGCTCCACCCGAGTACCAACCTCCCCCACCACAACTCTTTAAACCCACCATCCCCCCGCCCTCTCTTTAAATCTAGTAAACAGTCGTAAAAATGTCTTTTTAGTAAAGTATTTTGTTTGGTCTTGTTTATGTTATCTATTTGAGGTTTTAGGTAATACTTGTCAGTTATCTTTAGGTTTTCTGAACTCTTTTTAAAATTTAGCTGTTTCTTTATCTAAAGTAATGGTTTAGAAGCTTAGTTTAAGATATGTGGCGGGTTGGAGTGTTTCCAACCTCAGTTGATGATATTGTTGTTGCTCATACGTCTCGGTATGGTAGTTAATATTAATAATATTCGACACTTTTCTTTTTATTTACCTAGCCACTTTTGCTAATGTATGAAAAGGCGCTTCAAGATTAAGATCATAAAATGATTATCATTAACATTAGACTTACAAAAAGATTTGAAAATGTGAGGGTGGTCGACTTATGTAGCCTTCAGTCAGTTTTATTTGGCAACTATATTTATATATTTACTTTTAACACGAATTTTGTACGAAATAAACCTTTTTTTGGTATAAACATACACATTATGGTGGTTCTGAAGGGTGATATCAATGATTTATGTAAGAAAAAAATATTTTTTCCTGATATAGGTTGCATGGTTAAAGTAAAAGATATTTTATACCGATATACGTTGCTTAATGTTAGTTAATGCAAAAAAAAGTTTACCCCTGTATATCTTGTATAATGAATACATAAGATACGTAGGTAGTTTCTTTTGTAGCAAATTCTATTTATTACATATTATTATTATGATACATGCAGTAAGTATTGATATTATGAAGTTTTAAGTAGGTAAACAAGAACAATAAGTTAAGTAATTGCACTAGACTATACGATATGTAAACCGGAACGTAAAGGGTTACTCAGTAAGCTATAATAATACTGTCAAAATTAATGAGTAATCGTTCGGAAATCTAATTTGACCGGAGTTATCCTTTCTGTTTTTGCGAACTTGTCTAGGACAGACTGCTCGGTTGGTACCTCAACTGGTACACAACCATTCTCAAAGTAGAGCTGATTAGCCAACTGATGCTCACGGAACGCTGCCGGCCGACTGAGAGAGTGTTCGGCAAACAACAAACACATTCCACTCTGTTGGTCAAAGTTGGCACTCTTAAAAAGTGGTACCAAGTATTATGTTATCCTAGCAATTTTCAAAACTAGGTATTTAAAACTACATTATAAACGACTGTAGATATGTAGCCCCTTAAGTTTAAAAGGAGATGCTCAGAAAAATTAAATTCACCGTACCTTGCATCTGAAGTCAGTAGCCAGCACACAAAGCTCGATACAAGCCGAGATGCCTTCGTTGTTCGATGGAAGACCTTCGAACACTTCTCGAGGCTCGATTTCCATCGAATAGTCACGGAACGCTAAGAACTCTACACAGTCGCTGAAGGGTGTGAGATCGGCTATAAATTCATCAATATTACAGAATAATATTTACTGTAACACTACAACTAACCTCAAATCATTCATATTACCCCTTATTATCCCCAATCCTTCAGTATAGCATTAACAACATCTAAAAACCTTTAATATTATAGTAGGTTGACTAGGTTAAAAATCTTTTTTAGTATGACTTATTACCTGGGAAGCAGTACTTCTTGAAAGCCCTCGTACTGAAGTCGTTGCTGAAAGCCGGTTTCACTTGAAATCGTTGTGGTGTAGCGTGGAAGATGCATCGTTTCGAGGATTCTAAGAAAGTAAATGAATCACAATTGAAGCCTCCAATCTCCAGTGTTTTACAAGTGTCCATGCATTCTTGAGGTTGTGAAGCCAACTTCAAAACCGACGATCTGATTCCGCTTTCGACTTGAGAATTCTCAACTGCCAGCCAGATTTCTTGAGCGTTTTCTTTGCAATTTGCGTCGTAAATTGATGGTCTTGCCTGAAAGGGGTTGATGATTAGTTGATAAGGAACTGATATTATGTTTAAAACTAATTTTTAAATATTTTAGAATATACATATCCGTTGTTTGTTTAATTTTTGGCCCTAAAATAGCCTATAAACAACGTTTTTTCACACAAGAGATTTCAAGACCTTAATACGGTATTTTACAGTAATCCAATCAAAAAATTTGCAATTGCAAAAGTGTTCCTTATAATCAACAATACTTATTTATATTAATATCCAATTAACTTTTAGCTTTTTGATCATATAATACACAATCTTAGGTGACTCACCTCCTCTTCCTCCGCGAAAGTCTTGGCGACAGGACTTTTGCCCTTAGGCGGAGCTCTTCTGACCTCAATCATGTCAGGCTTTTTCTCCATGGCTTCTTCAATCATATCAGGCAGAGTTTTCTTATGAATCTTGAATCCTGACATCACTGGCATCATCTCGTCGATCTTATCATCCATTGACGAAATCACTGGGAAGGAGATTGGTAGAGTTCGTGCTGCTTTCGATGTTGTAGTAGCTTCGGTGGTGGTTGTTGTCGTTGGTTTTGTAATCTTTGGTGTGACTGACACTGACGTTTTAACTGTGGTAGTGGTTGATGAAGTTGTGATCTCGGTTGTTGTGGCTTCTGTAGTTGTTGTTGGTTTTCGTGTAGTTGTTGTTGAGGGCTCTAAAATAATTATCTTTATGTTATAGTAGCTTCTAAAACTAGGTGAAAGAATTTTGAAGAAATAGTCTTAATTTAAAATTATTTTTATTTGTCCCATATACCTAAACTACAGTACCATATTACATTATGCTGCCTAAACTCACCAACAAATCGTTGAGTAGTAGTAGCAACTGTAGTGGTACTAGTGGTAGTAGGAGCTTCAGTAGTAGTTGTAGTAGTCGTAGCTTCCGTAGTAGTGCTCGTAGTAGTACTCCCTGTAGTAGTACTAGTAGAAGCCGTACTAGAAAAACTAAGTTCACCTTTAGAAACGTCTTCATTCTCCTTTTCTTCTTCAGCCAACTTGACAAAATTCATAGGGTCTCCATCGAAGTCAGCGTCTAAGGCCAGGATGTTCTCATCATTACTTTCTACATCCTCTCTTGTCGCCATATCTTCAACACTTTGTGTAGTTTGAGGTTCTAGAGTTGTGGATATGGCGGCACGAAGTCGCTGAATCTCCATCAACGCTGTTTGGCGTTCATTCTCTTCGGTTATCAGTTGGAGCAGCTTTTTGTCTAAAAGTGGAGCTTTGAGTTTTGAAACTAAATAATTTTATTTTTCAAAAAAAAAATTTTATTTCAATTTTTTAGCCCGAATTCATACAAAAAACGGCTTTATTAACCTAGTCACCCTACTATAATATTAAGTCGTTCAAGTAATTATGTGCCCTTTTGCAATAAACTTTTAAAGTTAGAGGGCGCAGAATTATTTGAACAGCCTAATAGTAAAATCTTACCAGAAAATTACAGAAGCCCTACGGCAATAATACAGAAGTTACTAGCGATAAAACACTAGAACTGTGCATGTCCTAATAAATTTCAGAAACTTACCAATACACTCCTTTTCAGCCGTTTGAAAGTAGACCATTCTTGGGCTTTTGACAATAAGTTCAGCTTCAATCGCGTTGATACTGAAGTAATGACAAATATGACTGTACTTGTCATAAACAATCGATACACAACGGCTCTGAAAGTAAAATTTACAAAATTTTAGGTAATTTTTCATTGCCTGAAGTTTTATTTATGTAGGAGTTTTGGTATACAGCAGCTTTACAGTAAAACCTTTTTAGTATGCTCCTCGATGGTACAACACACTTTTTATAATGACAGCTTTCTGATCGTCATTTTTAATAGCACTCTTAACAAAAAGTCCTTGAATAGTATGACAATGTACTTAGAATGAATGACACGTTGATGCGGTAACTTGAGTGTCATACTAAAAAACTGTGATGTTGAGCGTCATACCAAATAGTTTTACTGTATAAATTTTCTGTCCGTTTATAAAGCAAGAAAGTAAAGTTAGATCTTACCGAAGATCGCACACAAAACTCGAGACATTGTTCTTCTGATTTCATTCTCCATTCAGAATGGAAAGGAGCTGCGTCCACGATTTTAAAGCCATCGTAGCGCTCGAAGCAAGGCTTCAATTCTGAAAGTAAAAAAATTTTTGTTTTGTTGTGATTAGGCTTGGAAATCCATCTACTAAAACTTCTTTTACAAAGTCGCTCACTTGGTCGAAACAATACTTACCGCTTGGAGGAACAGCACTAACACCGCCAACGTGAAACAGCGTCAATATCATTATCAGTAGAAGCTCATTTGTCTCCATCGCCTAAAAAAGAAAGAAATAAAATTAACTTTGGACGATAATAACTAAACACGCAATTTTAAAATTTAAAATGACAAAAATATATAACATATTTAGTTGTCCAAATAATTCTGCGCCCCTAACTCCAAAAATTTAGTTTGATAGAAGCACAGAATTATTTAAGCAACTTAATTATACAACGATCTAAAAGACAAATCTAAAGATGTCACAGTAACTCGATTATAAAGTAAATCTCAATCACACGTAAAGTTGATCTTGTAGTAGGTTGTTTTTTATAAATAACATGAACAAAGCGATCGCGGTTTTCGGCACTTGAAGAAAGCAAAAACAAGTAGTAAGCTTGACGTAATAAGTAGTGTAAGACTGTTTTTACTGTATAGTTTTTATATTACAGTATCTTAATGTTATTAAAATTGTAGTTGCTACAGTATAGGAGTTCTATAACAAAGAGTGGCTAGAAAGCTGTCGTTATAAAGAGAGTGTCATACTATCGAGCGTCATACTAAAGAGATTTTATAGTACTAAACTCGAGATAAAATTCGTAAGTTACACAGCACGTCAAACTATGCTATAGCAAGTATTTACTGTACCATACAGTCTTCTTAACTTGACAAAACACAAGAAACAACATAAGAATTACAGCGATTACCCATTAGAATCACACTTCACCCTACAATAACAATAAATAATAAGGTAATTGAGTGTGAAAATACTTTTGTAGCAACCCCCCTAATCCTCGCTAACCGGAAGACTTTCACTCTCGAATCTCGACATTAATCTGAACCGCCGGCTTTGTCGCAACAACGACCCAATTCTGGAAAAGACTTGGGTTGAATCGAGAAGGAAAGTCATTAACACCACAGTTTATCCATCTCAATGACTCGCATGAAACGTCAGTTGTGATAAGGAAGTGTGGTGAAATCAAGCGTTGGCGGAGTTGCTAATAGCCAATTACTCTGGTTGTATTATGGAGAATAACATGATACTTTCACTGTAACAATCAGATAAAAAATGGTAAAAAGGCCGCGGAACTGTTTGAAAAAAAAGAATCTGACCTCACATGGAGTAATCTTCAAAATTTTTTAAATTAGCCAGCAGTATCAATAGCTAACAAGGAAAATATCAAACCTACCCCACTCAAAATCAGCCCAAAATTTTTATATTGATTCTTTTTATCACCAATAGTACCCATGAAAAATTTTAGGTTGTACTTTTGAGTTTCAATATTAAAAATTTTAAAGTTCACGCCAGTTTAACAAATTTGGCATTGTGTTGCAAGCCTTTGTTTATTTTCCAAACAAACTACGCTTACAAATTCAAAAACGTACGTTCATTTGAGGTTGTTCTACTAGTATATCAAAGAAAAATGATTAAAGTTTAAAAAATGTTACAGTTACAAGCTTGAAACACAATGCCAATTCGGCGGAAAATATAATATAAAACGCATTTTTTGATCTTGATTTTATTCAAATTGTCTGGAAAGCACAATTTAGTACGTACCTGATTACACTTGCTTTCCCATGATATAAAAATCTGTGTTCCTTTAAGTTTTTAAGCGACAAAATTTTCCCAAAACAAAAAAATTTAAAAATGGAAAAGTGCAAATCCTTAATTAGAACATCAAAAACAATTTAATAACCCGGAGGTAATCCAACTTTTTTTGGGGAAAAGAGAGTAAAAATCTTTAAATTGAAAGCGGGATTCGAACGACATTCGAGAGTCGAGCGCTGACTGTTAAGCATCTATTTAAATCCTCTAAGACATAACAATTGCATCGTCGACCTAGAAACTTAATGTGATATTCAATAAGCTTTTAATTAAGTCAAAAAATTTTTAAAAAAATTTTATTTTTTTTTACCTAAAATAATCTAATAATAATTTTTTAAATTTTGTTGCTTAAAACCATTTGAAAAAAATATTTTAAAATTTTTGTTACCTAAAACTCTAAAAATATAACTTTTTTAAATTTTGTTACTTAAAATCCTATAAAAATTTTAAAAAATTAAAAACGGCACCAATCGTACCACATTTTTCAAATCAAAAGCTACAAGACCATAACAATCATTATGAAGAGGAAATCAAGCCCATTAGCTAAAAGATAAAACTACAATATATAGTTTCAATAATATATAACTAATATATATAGTTGTATATTATAGAATAAGACTATAATATAGCTGTATATTATAATATAGCTTTATATTATATGAAAGACATTAACACATAATTGTATGTTATAGAATACGACTATAATATACAGCTAATAAAGTTTAACGAGAAGGCGAATGTATTTTCTCTTCCGGCGGTTTCAACATGTTCGTTTCCGGATTCTCAAGTATTTTTTTTCATTTCGAGATTAATGAACATTAAGCTAACGCGCAAGAATTCAAAAATTCTCTGAGCTAACGTTTCAAATAGATACAAAGCTGTTTGAAACCGTTAGGTTTAAAGTTTTTGGACGTTTTTTAAAATTTTAAATCTAAAAACTTTGTGTTTCATTAAAAGAAAGGTTTAAACAACATGCTTTTGTTATACTTTAAGTCATTCTTCCTATGGTTTTTGAGCTACAAAGCTGAGAAGAGACATATAAACCTCTAAAGTACAGTGATCATAAATGTCAATGAAAATTAATAAAAAATGAATTTATTGCACATAAACTACAAAATCTTTAAGTCTGCCATAATTGACTTCAAATTATGATACATTATCATCATAAAATCACACTGTAAACCTCAACATTCTACCTCCTCAGCTTCGTCCAACATATCGTTGACGTTGCCGTTGAAGAAGACGTCGTTTCCTTTGCTCGTTCCAATCGTTACTCAAGAAAGGATAGTCTTCTTCATTAGCTGTGGGAGAGTAAGAAGCAGCCGGCTGGACTGGGACAGCTTTTGGGGCATAATTGTAGTTCACCGAGGATCGTACTGGAGGTTCTTGTTGACCTGGAGTAGCACCTTGTTGATAGTAAGAGCTGGATACTGGTGTAGTTTGGAGGTCGTTGACATGAACTTCGCTGGTGTAGACATTGTTGTTGGGCTTGATGTTTGTTCTTGGGTCTAAAAAGAAGGCAATACACTATAAAATTAAAAGGTAAATTGTCTTCTCGCTTTTAAACAAAGCTTTTTACGTTAATAAGCAACAAAATTTTTCCAACATCCTAAAGTATTGCCTTATACAATATCTAAATTACGAAAGCCTAGCCAACCCTACCAATTTTCATAGGATTATAAGCGGCCTCGTTTACACTACCGTATCCCCTTCCAATTTGAGAAGAATATCCACCGTATCCTCCATTAACATCCTGTTCAGAAGCGGGGGCTACAGATGGTGCAGCTACTTGTTTAGCTGGTTGAGTAGCTGTAGAAGGGTAAGAGTAGTGGGATTTGGCTTGGTTGGTCGAGGAATATGTGTTACTTGAAGGGTATGAGGCTACTGGACTGTAAGTGGGCTCATCGTATCTAAAATAAGGTATAAGTTAGGTTTTTGTGATTAAGGTTGTGTTTTTAGTACTTTTTAAGTTGAAAAAGTAAAGATAAGACCATTTCTTTATAATTTTTCATTAAAATTTTCGAAAGTAAAAAAGATAAATAAAAATTCAAAACCCACCCATTGCCAGTGCCAACATTAACATCCCTAACTCTGTCCGGGCATTTACAATAACCAGCATCAATTCCTGGTGGACCAGGTGGTCCTTGTGGCCCATCAACACCATCCAGTCCTCGTTGTCCCTTTTGTCCCACTTTTCCGACAATTCCCCGTTTTCCGTCACGACCAGAAGAACCAGTAGGACCAGAAACACCACGTGGCCCAGGTACTCCAATATAGCCAGATTGACCAGGTTTTCCTGGCAGTCCTTTAGCACCAGCTTGACCGTCAGCACCACGTGGGCCCGGTAGTCCGGTGTGGCCGGATTTACCACGTGGACCAACGTTTCCTTGAGGTCCGGCGTTGCCTGGGATTCCGGGAATGCCGTGAATACCCTAGAAGAAATTTCGTTGAAATGCGGTCAAAAAGTTTATAGAAAGTTTAAAATTTAGGTCTGAAGGTACATAGACTTGATCTTTGCGTTAAAAGGTCAAACACACCATATAAATGCCAATTTTTCTTAAATTTGGCCAAAAATTCCCCAGAATCCTCACCTGAATTCCATGATCTCCTTTAGGTCCGCCTGGGCCTGGTGATCCTTTGGGACCAGGTAGACCAGGTGGTCCCCTTGGGCATGGTTCACATGTTCTCTGTTTTGAACTTGAGCCGGTTGTCACTAACCCATAGCCTTCGTCAAAAGCTGCTGCTGAGTTGTCATTGTTGTAGTTGAGACTAAAACAACATATAATTAGGTAACAATGACAAGAAATAACAAAATAAGCTCTTTTAAAGTAGAAATTTTTATTTAAAAAAAATTTCGAATTTTAAACTCTTTTACTTACTTAACAGCCTGTACTGGGTAATCTTCTCCATCGAATCCAGGTTGCCCATCTTTACCTGGCTCTCCAGATTCACCACTTGGTCCTGGTGGTCCTTTCTTACCAATAGGGCACTTGTACGATACTGGAAGGTCACGGTGAGCGCCTTCGTAGTCAATGTTCTTCATAGCACAGCAACCTGGAATTCAAGCTTTAATTACTGAACCCGGTCAAAAAGTCAAAAGAATTTAATTTTTAATAGTTTTGATGATAAAATTAACATTTTTGTTACAGTAGTCATAAATACAGTAATTAAGGCTTTAAAAATTCTTAAACCCTAAAAACTAAAACCTGCCATACCCTCAAAAACATACTGTAAATATCATAAGCAATGTTGCAAAAATCAAAAACAACTCACATTTCAGCCGAGCCAATCCGTAGCCATAGACTGGTGCCACTGGTGCTTCGTATGGTTGATGCGGCTCTTCGTACGCATCGTTGTTATAATTCGTGTTCGGACTGTTGTAGTTGTTAACTTGGCTATTGTAGTTGGCTCCTTGGTAGCCGGAAGCAAAGTTTTCATACTGTCTACGAAGACGATCACGTGGAGTACGAACCTTAGCTCCCAATAGTACTAAATCGTCCCATAATTCGTTGGACATTTTCTGGAATTAGGTGTTATACAGCAAGGTGTTTCTTCTTATAGTTATGGTTACGGCAAAAAAGTTGGGTATATGGGCCATAAATGTTATAGTATACAGTATAAAAGACGTAAATGTTACAGTATACTTTCAGTACATAGAAGTATAGTCTAAAATAGCCTGAGGCTTACCTGAACAGCCACAAAGTCCTTTTCCCATTCAATCTGCATTTTGTCAACGTCTTTCAACAACATAGGTATCAAACATACCAAGGTAACTAGCGCTACAGCCGTAATAGACGACGTAGCGTACATGAGTCGTACTACCCATGACCCCATTCTAAAACAATATAATTTTAATTGTAAGAGGTAATTATACTTAACAGTAACTCTTGAATTACCGTAATTTTAGTTTTGCATATTTACAATGAACTTAAATGGAAAAAATACAGTATTTAAAATTTAAAGTCTAGAGTACATAATTCAAACAAAAATACAGAAATTTAAGCTCTTAGAAGCTACAGTAACACAAGTTTTCAAGAACTGATCACCATCGCTCTATAACCTACATTGCATCTAAATTTACTATAATAAATTACCGTACCTCTCCCCACAGTCGTATCCAAACAAACCCGACTGGTATGGTCATTTCCATTTCAGAATCAGCTTATATACCAAAACTGTCATCTAAAACACATCTGTCAGGAATGTCACCGTCCACCCGCAGCGTCCACAAACTTGATTTCGCTTTCAAAACGAATTTGACTACAATAAAATCGATCAAATCCAATGGATATCTACCGAATGCACGCTGAGATTCGGTAAACGTTACATTTTAGTGGATTGACAGTGAATTCTTCACACTTTTTGCCATTTTTTAATGAATGGCATTTTCATAACACCTTTAAAATTTTAGAACTGCGTGAAGCACACATTCATAACCTATAAAAAACGGTTTATGTAAGATATCGTTCAAAGACAACAATAAAAATTTTTAAAAAAATGTGACAATTTGGGTTGTAAAAGAAAATTGCCATAGTTGATAACAATCAATCGTTTTGAAACTTAAGATACAACAATATTAGTCTATTTGACATAACATACCAAAAAATTAACTTCAAATTTCATGTTTGTTCAAAGTTATGACCATTTACAGTAAGACAGCTATACCTTACCAAATGAGCGAATTAACTTTCTATGTTATTGCTAAATGCTGTTGTAGCTGTATCTAAAACTAAATAAACATTTTCTTTAGTTACCATCTAGTACAACATGGTACTCAACAGCCAACTAATTCTTTAAATTTTTCAAAACTAATCAATAACTCATGTGTAATATAATGTTTAAACTAATTTTATGCTTTTTTTTTGTTTTAGTTCAACTTTTATCTAGTACACCCTGTTTGAACCTTTCTACCGTCTACCACAACATGCACTTTCCGTATATTCTCCTTTACCCCTAAAATATTCCAAAAGCTAATCGATGAGTCATGTGTAATATAACTTTCAAGTCCAATTTAATGCTTCTACGGCAACTCTGTATTTCTCTATCTACACAACTTTGCCATACCCTTTATTACCATCCAGTACAACACTGTACTTGACAGCCTTGAATTGTTTTTTGTTCCGAACATCGCGCCAAACCTCTCTCCCTGCTTCCTCTGTCTTCTCAGCTTCTCGTATCTGGTTTCGTCTCCGTCGCTTCTTATCGATTCGTCTGCTTCTCTGCCCCCGCCTCGAAAAGCTTCGCATTCGTTTTCGAAGCGGCGTTACCATTGTGTCAGGGATGGCTGTCCTTCCAAAGCGCCTTCTTCTCCATCCACTTTCGAGGCCTTTCCGAGTAGCAAAACTAACGAGAAATCGCGTTTTTTCGTTTTTCAAAAATATTTCTTTTTCGACGGAAAATATCGCTGAAAACGCTTTTTCGTTCGGCGGAGATTGCGCGGACTCGGCGGAGGAAATGCTCGAAATAATACTGTTTTATAATAAAGTTAGGAAAATCTGGGTTTAAAAGTATTATTTGAGTTAAATGTGTTAGAAAATTTGTGCTGGAGTCTGTAAAATGCCTATTTTACGTTATGTGCTCGACTTTTTGTCTACTACAATATATTTTTGATGTTTTGGTGTGTTTATTTTGCTAGATTTTCTATATCTTTTATCTACTATCAAAGGTGAAGGTAATTCGAGTAATTTAAATGTTAAAGGCATCCGATATAATACTTTTAACTTTCAAATTTTATTTTTTGTTAGTTGTTACCTAAATTTCAACTTTTATGTCCTTTACTCAGAATTAAAGTTATAAAATTAGCTTTATTGTTTAAAATATATTCTGTTATTAATTTAGGTATATTGAACTTTAATTTTGTCGTGATATATGTACGTATACTGTTTTATTTTACCATCTAAACCCACCTATCTCTAAATTATTTTATTATAGGTAAACCAACAAGCTCGAGATGGAGGTTCAGCAGAAGCTAACTCCATCTCAGATTCAACGTCTGCGAGCTCAAGTAGCTACCTATAAGCATTTGGCACGCAATGAGCCGGTCCCACCTGGTGTGATGTCTCAAGCTCTTTGTACTCCGTTACCTGGACCTTACGAGCAGGAAAAGGAATTGGAGAATGGAGAAAAGTTGCCATACGATTTGATGAAGGTATTACAGATTCATAATCAACGTGCTCAGCATCGTGTTACACAAATTACTCAGCCGATCGGAATTGATCCGGATGCTTTGGCCAAGGAACGAGAGAATAGGTAGGTTAACATAATGTTTTGTTGATTTTTAGGTATGAATGGTACTTTTATTCGAGTTTATGTTTTTGTGGAGCTTGTCAAGACTGTGAGACAGCTTTGGAAGATAAAAAAGATTACCTTTCCACGGTTTTTGTACGATATTGTTCAAGTTCTATGTGTAATATCACATTTTTTCAGGATCAACAATCGTATTCTACTTCGAATGAAGGCTTTAGAAGATATTCCAGTCAATATATCTGAGAATCTTCGAATAAAAGCTGAAATAGAGATAAGGTCGTTAAGATTGTTGAATCTACAAGCTCACGTCCGTAATGAAGTGCTTGGATATTTGAAACGGGATACCACATTGGAGACAGCTTTAAACCCATTGGCTTACAGAAGGACAAAGAAATTGAACCTTAGAGAAGCCAGAGTTATGGAAAGACTTGAAAAGCAACAGAAACTTGAACAGGAGAAGAAGAGACGTCAGAGACATCATGATCTTCTTCAGGTATGTTGTTTTACATTGGTTTTTTTGTTTTAGGCATTTTGATAGGAAGAAAGACTCTTGATCTTTCTAATTATCAAAAGCTTTGCAAAATGATAATTTTTCATTTTCAGGCTATTGTCACAGCTTCCCGTGACTTTAAAGAGTTCCATAGAAACTGCCAGTTGAGACATCAGAAGGTCAAGAAGGCCGTGGTGACATACCATGCTAATTCAGAACGTGAGCGGAAGAAGGACGAGCTCAGAAACGAGAAGATGCGTATGATGAAGCTGATGCAAGAGGATGATGCTGGTTACAGAGCTTTGTTGGATGAGAAGAAGGATCAGCGTTTGGTTTATCTGCTACAACAAACCGATGAGTTCGTGGAGAGTTTAACTGGTCTTGTTAGAAAACATCAACAGGTCGAGAAGAAGAAGAAGCGAGAAGAACGGAAGACCGCTCAGAAGGCGTTGGATCAACAGAACGCCGAGACTGATACTGTAAGAGTACTGGTACAGAACTCGGCTACAGGAGAGATTTTGACTGGAGACAAAGCACCACGAGCTGATGAGATTGAACAATGGCTGGAAGCTCATCCTGGCTTCGAAGTGATCTCAAGAGATGTTGGTACAGATGACGAAGAAGATGATCAGGAGAAAGAGAAGAAGCCTGTTGAGAAGGAGGAAGAACAAGATGACGAGTTTGAAGGTATGGATGAGGAAACAAGGAACAGAAAGATCATTGAGAAGGCTAGAAACGAAGAAGATGAATATAATAGCAAGAATAAGAAGCAAATGGAGAGTTACTACGCCACAGCTCATCGTATCCGCGAGAAGATTGTCAAACAACACTCGACCCTCGGCGGAGACAACACTGACCTTCAGCTGAAGCCATACCAAATCAAGGGTCTCGAGTGGATGGTCTCCTTGTACAACAACAACTTGAATGGTATTTTGGCCGACGAAATGGGTCTTGGTAAGACTATTCAAACCGTTGCCTTGGTTACCTACTTGATGGAGGTCAAGAAGGTCAATGGGCCATACCTGATCATTGTGCCCTTGTCTACGATCTCCAACTGGAACCTGGAGCTAGAAAAGTGGGCTCCACATGTGGTCAAGGTGGTCTACAAGGGAGATCGTGAGATGAGAAAGCGTTTGGAGAGTAAGATCAGAAGAGGCGAGTTCAATGTACTGTTGACGACCTACGACTACGTGCTGAAGGAGAAGAGTATGTTGGGTAAGATCCGTTGGAAGTACATGATCATCGACGAAGGTCACAGAATGAAGAATCACAACTGTAAACTGACATTGACTTTGAACGCCTACTTCTCGGCTCAGCACCGTCTTCTTTTGACCGGAACCCCACTTCAGAACAAGTTGCCGGAGTTGTGGGCGTTGCTCAACTTCTTGTTGCCATCCATCTTCTCGTCTTGTGGTACCTTCGAGCAATGGTTCAACGCTCCGTTCGCGACAACCGGAGAGAAGGTGGAGCTTAACCAAGAAGAGACCATGTTGATCATTCGACGTCTTCACAAAGTCCTGAGACCTTTCTTGTTGAGAAGATTGAAGAAGGAGGTCGAAAGTGAGTTGCCGGACAAGACCGAGTATGTCATCAAGTGTGACATGAGCGCACTGCAGAAGATTGTCTACAGAAGAATGTTTAAGGATGGTATGATCATGGGAGAGAACTTTGTAGGTTCTTCTGAATATTTTGTTTTGGGTATTATAAACGTTTCATTTTTAGTATTATTTATATTGTTTTACCTTTTTTTAGGCATTAAATTTTATTTTTTGTTGAAAAATATTTTTCAAAGTAAAAAAGTTTAAGTATGGCACCTTTTCAGAAGCAAATGTCTCTCCAAAATAGAATGGTCCAACTCCGTAAGATTGCCAACCATCCCTTCTTGTTCCGCGACGTTGAACACGAGTGCAAACGTCACTGGAAGATTGACCACATCACTGGCAAACACTTGATGAGAGTTTCTGGCAAATTCGAACTGTTGGACAGAATCCTCCCCAAGCTGAAGGCCACCGGTCACAGAGTGTTGATCTTCTCCCAAATGACCAGTCTGATCGATATCATGGAGGACTACTTCCTGTGGAAGGAGTACAAGTACATGAGATTGGATGGATCGACAAAGCACGACGAACGTGGAGAAATGTTGAAGAAGTTCAACGCTCCAGATTCCGATTGCTTCATCTTCGTACTCTCGACTCGTGCTGGAGGTTTGGGATTGAATCTCCAAACCGCCGATACGGTCATCATCTTCGACTCGGATTGGAACCCTCATCAAGATATGCAGGCTCAGGATCGTGCTCACAGAATCGGGCAAACCAAGGAAGTACGAGTGTTGAGAATGATCACGGTGAACTCGGTCGAAGAAAAGATTCTGGCCGCTGCTCGGTTCAAGTTGAATGTGGACGAGAAGGTCATTCAAGCTGGTATGTTCGATCAACGTTCCACTGGCGAGGAACGACGACAAATGTTGGAGCAAATCATCAAAGCAGAAGAGGATGATGACGATGCTGATGAAGTTCCAGAAGATGAATCCATCAATCAAATGGTCGCTAGATCTGAGGAGGAATTTGAAAAGTTCCAGGTAAGTTTAGTTTGGTTTTTATAGTTAAATTCACAAAAAATTTGTGTTATTTAGGATTTTTAGGTAATATTTTTGAGATTTTTCATTTTTTGAAGTTATATTTTTATAAACGTTCAAAGATAGCTCTCTTTTAATTATATCTAAGTCAATATCAACTTATCTTCGACCTTTTTTCGTTTCTTTCATATTGTTTTAAACATGAATATTTTCAGCAAATGGACATTGACCGTCGACGCCAAGAAGCATCTGAAGACAACCGCAAACCTCGACTGGTCGAAGAGAACGAAATCCCTCAATCGATCATCGAAGAGCCCAAGGAGAAGAAGGAAAGTGCCGATGCCAACGGCAAAGACTTTTCCTTTGATTCCGGCCGAAGAAAGAGACGCGAAGTCAACTACGCTCAGGACCTGATGAGCGACCGTGCTTGGCTACGCGAAATCGGCGAAGACGTTGAAGAAGAGCCGGTCGAGGAGGAGGAGGAAGAAGTTCCAAAGAAGCGAAGAAAGCGCGAAAAGATGGAGCAGTCGGAGAAGAAGCGCGGCCGCAAGTCGCGTGGAGACAAGCCCACAAGCTCGACCAAAATGGAAGACGAAGAAGAAGAAGATTAACAGTTACAGGACATGGTGTCAGCTACAGTCAGAACATGATGTCAGCTACAATATAACACAGATAATACGAGATGAACTACAGTTTCATTAACCAAACTTATACCCAAACACTAATTTATCTCTTTTTGTATCTCTTCATAACCCCTTTTTGGGATGATTGTACTATTAATTATTGTATTAAATCGTAATTGAAGTATTTCGATGTTCTTTTTGTGTCAATGGTGGGAAAATAGTTGTAATGCTCTAAAGTATATTTGGATAGTTTGTAGTTGCTTTGAAAGCTTTAATACCTTCCATGGAAGGTATTTCCAAAGCATTGATGGAGTAAAATTGATTTTTTATAATTTTAAAAGAACTTCAAGAGATTGAAAAAATTAAAAATACGAACATAAAGCCTTTAACAACATAGTTAAAGTATTTACAAAGACTTATTCTCTCGATCTTGCAGTACTTCGATGATAACGAGTGAATCAGACAAACTTCTACTACAACATCTAAAAAGTCTTCCGACAGAGGTAAGCCTACTATAATATGATAGATTATCGTAAAATTTAATAAGTTGCTTTCAAAAAAAACTATTTTTTAAATAAATAAAGGGCTGAAAGGAATAAAATTAATTTTAAAAAGCTTTCTAAAAAATATAAACCTAAAATATTAAAATTTTTATAATAAATTTCAAGTTAAAACGCAATATATTGCCTAATTTATGTAAATTTTCAGTTACAACACCAGATATTATCCTACGTGACGCCATTGGACAATTATCAATTTCACAAACGGACAGGCACTTATGTTTTGGACGAAGAGCGAATGAGGAGAGAAGTTATCAAGAATAAGGTCCCCGAACAGTTGAACGCCGAGACTTGGGCAAAGACTTTTGATGCGTAAGTAATAATATTATAATTGGCTTGTTTTATTAGATTGTTACCTAAATAATGGGCTATTTTCTTTTTATTCTGGTTGATATTGTTTTTAGGTAACAACCAATATGAAGTTGATTAAAAAAAATTTAAAATTTAATAAAAAAATGATAAGATAGGTTTGTTAACTTACGAAGACAATAATAATGTAGCATAAATTCCAGTTTTGTGGAGAAGATCAAAAAGCGCAGAGTATACAGCAACGCCGAGAATTCATTTTCAGCGTTCTTCGAGAACGCTGATGATTCTGAGTACTTCCTTCGCGACAACTACCGAATCACAGTCGAAAGCCAGCACTACGAAGACAAAGATGGGCATATCCAACTAATTGGCCGCGATCTATTGGACATTGACGATCATGAAGAGGGAATGAATTTGAAGGTGGGGAGCGAGAATTTGAAAGCTTTGAATGAGGCTTGCACATTGTCACGAACGTATTCGCTGGTGAGTTTGATTAATTTTTGAAGAATTGGAATAAAAATTAAATTTAGATAGTAAACACTAGTCTCGGGCGGTGTAATTTTAGTCTGAAGGTGGTTGGATAGAAGGAGGTCAAAGATAAGATAGCGAGTTTAGGATGGAGTAGAGTATAGTAGAGCAGAATAGGGTACGGTAGGGTGAAGTAGGGTAAGTTAAGATAAGGTATGGTAAGTTAAGGAAGGTTAAGTAGGTCAGGGCAGTAATTAGACTTTTTTCATCATTTAACATTTATTTTTTTTACAGCCATTTCGATGTATATATGCATTCATTGACGCCAAGCTCGGGTTATTGTACAGCCTGAGCAATGCTGAAGATCATGTCACTTTGTACGTAAAAAACATCAATACAGACGAACCTGCGACAACTCACCTAATTTCTGAAAACGTCCGCGACCGTCTGAATGTAGCTTCCTTAGCTGCTGCTGGAGATCACGTCTATGTATTCACTTCTAGTCTAGGCAAGCTAAACTATGTGAATCTGAGGTCCAACGTTTACTGTGAAGCTAGGTTCGAGGACATGCGGGAGAGTGCGGTAAATTACCTGTTTGTCATGGGAAATCATATTGTCATATACGATGGATTCAGGACGAAAATGTGCTCGGTTGTGTGCAGTGGTACTGATTACAGTATTGAGTCGAAGACTATTGATCTTGAGGAGAAGATGCAGGGTTTCTATCGGGAATATAATGATTGTGTGCTCTACCTCGACGAAGATGGCGATGTTAGGGTGGGTTTTAGTTTTGCTATAGTTATAATAGGATCGGGGTGGGGGTTGAACTCGATAGGGAAGTATGTTCAATGTTGAAATGGCAGGGGGGTCGGGAGTGGTAAAAAGTTGGTTTTTAAATTTACTGGGGCACTGACTTCTGGCTTGTCTAACTAAAAGTTGAAGCATTCCCATACTATTATTGTAATCATAAACTTCCTTACAGCTGATCTATGTGGACGACGATAAAATTGTGGACAAGAAGATCCTCAGGTACAAGTCCAGAATCTACGGCGTGCATGTTGTTACTCCGCACATCTTCAGGGTCGATGCTGGTGACATTTGCGACTTTTACTACTTGGACCATCCAAAAGGTAAGAAAAGTTTTGATATGTTACTGTGAATTGGCAAATACTGAAATTTGGGGGGAGGGGGAGGTGAAGACCAGAGTATGCATAAAGTGGGTCCTAGTATGGAGCAGGAAGTTTTTTAGCTGTTTTTGGACGGGTGATTTTTGCATGAGAGCGGAAGTTTAAAATGCTTTTTTGATTTTTGAAGACTGGAGTACTGTAATTTTTTTTAAAATTTTTAAATTTATATTCTAAAATTGTCTTCATAAAATCAATTTCAGACACTCCAAAGCTTGGTTTCCGCACCAACAGCGTTACTCATTACGGTATCTAACTATACGGGATAAATGTTACATACTTTCTTACTGTGATTATATTACATATTTCTAACTATATTTCAAATTATGAATAAATATTTATATATATATATATATATATATATATTAGTGTTTATTAGAAAATAGTACGGACGCATGTACAGTAAACCGTTTGCGCTACAAAATAAGTATACTGTAAAAACTTTAAGATAACTCTTTCAACCGAACTCATCTTGAATGCCTAATCATATAGTTATCGATTTTGCTCTTTCGATTATTTGGCATATAGGTTGACCTACATTCGATTTGATGCGTGCCATAAAACTCCCCTTCGATACCTTGAGTATGCGTTAGGTCTCTCCACTTCATTATAGAAAGCGTAGGGGTACCCGCTTGTGGTCTATTAATCGATCGAAGCCAAAAAGTCACACAAGACTTGACGAGTTAAGATGAGTCTTATCAAAGCTATCGATGTTTTGCCAAAGAAGGTAAGTTATTTTTTTCCATTGTTGGGCTTTGGTATCAGAAACAGTAAAAAGACATGTAGTGCAACACTATAAGCGGACATGTTAAATATATTATGCTTATACTTTTTTAAAAAGAAGTGGTAAGCCAATGTAACAGATCAGAAAACCTTGCTATTAGGTTGGCTAATTATGAATGACCGCTTTTAAGTAATTTTAAAATTAAATTATGAAAAGCACTAACAAAGTTAGATAAATTATACATTTCACCCTGTTTATTCTATTTACATAGAAAGTAACTTTTAACAAAAAAAAACCTTTGCCAAAATTTTGTTACATTGTTCAGGAAATTCATAATTAGCCAACCAAATATTTCCCTTTATTGACCGGCCTTAATTGCCGTTTTAATAAATTATCTTTTATATAAGATATAAAGATTGTTTTAAACTCTTTTTTATAGATTCGAAACAAATGGAACGACAGTATCACTCCATCGGATGTGGTTCATTTTACCGAACCAGTAGACAGCGCCGAAAAGAATGTTTGGCCAAAAAGCGAAAGTCCAAGCTTATCAAAACGATTTTGGAACAAGACGGTATATCTGTAAGTTGTCAAAGTTTCATATAAATAGTAAAAGTTATAAACCGCTTTGAACTATTGAAGAAATACAATTGTCATATTTTAATTATAAGTGGTATTACGAAAGATTTGGCGCCCTATACACTTATGATAACTAGTTTTATTTAGTTCTGCAAAACGTATGATTTGGAACAGCGAACACAGTTACGAGTTGAGACCAACAGTGTCGGACAAGTTAAGGGACATATTTGAAGAGAACGGAATCAGTGAAGACATATTCTATATGAGGTTAAGGACAGCCCATATAAAAGTTAAAAAAGGCAAATATCGTTTAGCTGGCACTGAATTTATTAGTCAGGAAGAGACTGACTATCTTTTGGATGTATGGATGGGATACGACAACTATCCTCGGGGCATTACCAGGCTTCTTAAAAATTGTGTAAACAAACTGAGGATTTCGTGGAGGCAACGTTACAGAATGGTAGGTTTTACTATTTATTTTAGTTTTTTATTTTCTTTCTCAAGCCATTTCATATGAGCAGAAAGACTATAACACAACATTATAAACTTATAATAACATTTCAGCCCAACAACACAATTCACGCGTTTGTCGACAAGGATGAATATGTTTATGGATTGATCAAAGACACAGAACCAACGGTCTTTTCCAAAAATTTGAATGACGAGAGCAAAGAAGTATGTAAGAAGCTCGAAGGCGTTACATTTTACAACAAAGATTGTAAAGTATGTGCTGATTACGAGCACGTGGTACTGGTCAACTCGGAAAACAAACTTGGCTACATCAATTTGAAAACGGCCGAATACAAGGAAGTTAAGGATGAGAATTGTATCGTGCCATTCAAAATCTACAAATTCGACCAACACATTCTGCTTTTCAGTGTTGAACAGCAGATTGTAGTACTCAATCAAGGCATGAAGGTTGAGTATAAGGTAGAGATTAGTAATTGTCCGTACATGTTTGGTACGTCCAGTATGAAAATGGTAGTTTTTACTGAAAGAGATCAACGTACGGTTAATGTAAGTATATAATAAGAGCTTCAATTCATAAAATGTTTGACTTCTTTAATATAACCGCACTAGGTTGAGCATATAAACAACAACCAAAAAGTTTTTTTAATTTAACGTTCTTTAAAAGTATGTGTTTTACTCAATTAGTTAAATTTTAGGTCATGTACACCGAAAACGACCAATTGAAAGTACGAAGAATATTGAAGTACAAAAATGAAATCCGTTACATTACTGTCAAAACTCCATACGTCTTTAGTATCCATGCTGACAACGATGACTACTATTACATGAAAGCACCGCAAGGTAATTTTTTTAGTTTTAAATCAATGAAACTCAAATAATTTCGGACGTTCAATTAACTTTGTTACTAATATGTTTAATTTAATTTTGAAAAATATATTGTTATTTTGGAAAATCTTATAAAAATTTTTTTAAAAAAATCTTGACTGTATAAAATGTGTTGTAGATGGCCCGTTATTCGTTGGACGAAAAACGCTGTCTACTTCGTGTGCCAACGACTCTGGTTCTGTGGATACTCCGATAGTGACAGTGTTTCCAGCGAACGACAATGATTCAGGATCGTGTACATGTGATTTCTTTGAGGCACTTGAGTTTTAGGGTATCAAAAATATTCTTTATTTAAAAAATCAATAAATATTACTCTATTCCATGATTACTTTGAAGGTATTTGAAGCGCGGCCGTCACTAGGTTGCGAATCTTTACAATGTACGCCATTAGGAGAAGGCTGGCGATTAGATTTAATATAGTAATGACGAACATTGCTATAAACATATCTGAAAATGTAAGTATAAATAGAAAATTTGCATACATTTAAAAATTTAGCTACCTATAAGCGTGCTATTTATTGTATACTTGTTGTTTAATACCTGTATTATATAAAAAAAACTCACAAAAAGCAGCATAATAGTATGTCATATAGCCTGCACCACCACCTCCGCCAGGCTTAATTGTAGGATGTCCTGGAGGTAAGGGGCCTCCAGTTGGATGTTCCCATTCAAAGTCTTGGCTTGCCTCACATAGAATACTAACACATAACACTACTAATAGCTTCATGTTGTACTTGGTGAGAGTACTGAATGAACTGACTTTTATAATTGCCTTACAGGCGTCATATTATGATCATTCATTGATAAGACATTTTTATTTTTATCACTGGAAGATTTGGTGTTAAAATTCATTTTTCGCTTTGATAAGTTTTTTATCTTAGTTTAATTCTTTGCTTAGAACACGGTATCCACATTGAATTGTTATTAAATTTAATTTCAAAACGAATACAGTAACAAGGGAAAGTTGTGAATATGATATGGCATCAATTGCATGTAAATTCTACAATAACTGTGCGAAGAACATAAACAATATAAAAAAGAATAAAAATAGGCAAATTACAATAAAATACCGGTCGTACGAAGATATGCAACAAACGTACAAAGAGAGTCGTGGATTTGTGCTAACTGGAATTGGGTTTTGTCTCGGCTTTCAATGGTAGTTGTTTACTGTAGAAAGTGGCTTTTAGAATAAGACATCAATTTTAAGTTTAAAATTAGGCTAATCAAGTACGCAAATAGTGATAAAATCCTTCAATTTTTGAAATTGAAATATTATGATGTTCAAAAAATTCTGAGCCTCAAAGGAAATTTTATGCGTTGGCGGGCACAAAATTATTATTAGTTGAACAACTTAAAAAAATAAAATTTTTTCAAAATTTAAAAAAAATTGGATTCCAAACAAATACGCAACCCCCTTATTACAAGTGCAATAACAATACTATTAACTATAACCTCATAGTGAAATTTACATAAGTATGTCTGGATGGTAAGTTACATTAACAGTAATAGGCGGACTATTTTAATCAAACACATAAAATCTTTAGGTTGTTCACATAATTCTGTGCCCCATTACACCTACAAGTTTCTTTAAAAGCGGGGCACAGAATTATTCGAACAACCTAATATTATGCTCACACCTACTACCATAGATGTTACTTCACATCTCTGCAAAACTAATCAGAATCGGCCGAGATACGCGCCTTATTATCAGACAACCTCAATATTTTAACGCCAAGAGTCTTGCGAGGCACTTGAATCGTGGGTAGTTCAGACTTCTCGTCCACATCTACATTGTCAAAGTTATCTTCTACATTTGGGGACAATCTCTCGGCTGGATCGACCAGCGTCGACTGGACTGGCACTTGTGGATTGCTATCGCTCAGAGTGACCAGTTCTTCCACCTGAGCGTTTTCGATGGCTTGACGAAGGAGAAGGTCGGGATCGGCGGTGATGTTCTCGCTAAAAGTTTTTTGATTATGAAAAGGTTTTTGATGTTGCTAAAGGTTTTTTAAAATTTTATAATTTTTTGATGCTTTTTTTTGTTCTAAAAATAGATTGAACTAAAATTTAAAAGTTTTACCTCAACAGAACACCATGAACTTTGTGAGCGATCACTGGTCGAAATCTTCCTCTCGCAACCGGCTGTCTTTGTGGCCGTAGGAATGGGTTGTTACCGTTTCGCCGGCGGCCTTAAAATTAAAAATTAAACTTTTTGCATAAAACATAATACCCATGACATCAAATGCATTTACTTACTATAATATGCTCAAACAGCGCTAAAAACCCCAAAACCTACGTTGACAAGTGACACATTCAACGATGACAGCTCTCGGACCAGATACGACGTTGTTTCTGTAGACATTGTTGGGCCATTGTTCGCAGAATCCGCGTTGACTGAAGACTGTCGATGGATTGAATTGGCAATGCCTGTTTGATGGATCAAACAAGGCTCGGGCGCAGTTGAATTCATGGCAAGTTCTGGCACATTGGTCGACAGATACGACAACGGCAAAGTGAGTTAATGGTTGTTGAAGGTCAGAGACTTGAGCATCGCGAGACTTGTAGTAAATCGTGTGATGACAGGCTGTAATATGGAAAAATAAATTTAAAAGTTTTAATGTTCAGATAACTTTAAGCCTCTCTTAAACCAAATTTTCAAATTTAAGGGGTACAGAATTATCTGAACAACCTATTATGATATAATCTAAAGTAAAGCAAAACCTACTGCCAGAACGAAGTCCATCTCCTTGCCGCGTGTTTTGTTGCTGTTGTTGCTGCTGTTGTTGTGGTGGCTGTTGCGAAGGCCGGAATGGTCGCAACTGTCTGAATGGTGTAGTTGGTTGTGGCACAAACTGCGTCGTAGTAACTACTGGAGGTCTGGTAGTGAACTGTTGTTGCTGAACAGTCTGTGGCCTGAAAGCCGGAGTAGGCTGGGTCCGGAATTGAGGCTGGGTTCGGAATCCGACTGTCGAGATGAAGTTGGGAGCAACAGTAAATTGTTGAGGTGGGGCAGTTTGAGGTACGAACTGAGTTTGTTGTGGGGGTGGTGGAGGGGGTCGGGGAGCGAAAGTTGGGGGTGGTGGTGGAGGTCGTGTGGCAAAGGTTGGGGGTGGAGGTTGGAAACGTGGTGGCTGTTGAGGTGGCTGTACGACCGGTCGACGGATTGGGATTTGAGGTGGGCTGATTGGTGGTGGTGGTCGAGGAGCTGGAGGTTGGACAACTGGTCGTGGTCTGAAAGTTTTATATTTTTAGTGAGGAAACAGAATTATTTGAACAACAACACAAGTTTAAATTTAAAAAATTCAAAAAAAAATTTAAACTTACTGAATAGTGACTTGTTGGTTTGGTTGAATTCCGCTCGAAACCAGTGGTCGTTTGTTTGGAATGAAAGTGGCACCATTTGGAGTGACATTCGAGACGATTCTGCTCGTTGGCTTCTGAGCTTCTTTGATCTTCTTCGCTTCTTCCTTTGCTGCTTGTTTCTCCTTCTCACTTCGGTATGGCAGAGGCACAAACAAAGGTACTTCTCTGTTGATATCAGTGATTACATTACCATCGTCATAGGCTCCGAAACGATCGAATTGGTCTGGGACATCGGCTGAAAAAGAAGATTAGCATAACTTTGATAATACATATTCATACATATTAAAAAGTCAAAATTTAATTTTAAAAAAATGAAAAATTAAAAAATTTTTTTTTATTTTGTTACATATGTATTTACATCATATTGAGCACTATAACACATATAAACACAATAGCAGCAAGAGATTTAGATAATAGTAAGAAGTAACGTTACTTACGGACTCTTGGAACATTGTTTAATCCGATTTCATCAAAGATCACTTTTTGAAATCCATCACGATAGCCTCCAGGAATCTCTGAAATTTAATGTTACAGTAAAACTTTTAAATCATGTATTTCTTTACAATAGTTTAAAATATTTGGGACATTTTTTAATAAATAAAGACGTGTTTCTAATATTAAGTTTTTCAATTAGTTCTGTGCCCCATAACTCCAAAAATTTACTTTTAGAAAAAACACAAAATAAATTGAGTCACTTAATTTAATATGTACTGTATGTTACTTCTGAAGGACTTTCTCATATGTTACCATGAAGACCATACTCATACTGTATTACAAATAACTTACTCATATAATTCTTGGTTTCGCCAGCCACAGAAATCGAATTGAAGCCGGTTGGAGCGGCGAAAGCCCGTGGTCTGGCGTCTAAACTCGCTTCTACTGTAATATCTTCTTGGCCATTGACTGCAGTAAGTAACAGGAAGGCTATGGGCAGTGCCCAACTCGCTTCCTTCATTTTGGTTTACCTCTAAAAATCAGTTTATTTTTAAAACTTTACTTTTAAAGGAACGTTCGTATTTCAATAATAATCACGATATCTATTATTGTAGGCACGGTACAATAAAAAATTTTTAAAAAATATTTTGAAAATTTAAATTTCGTTTTTTACTACCCAGGCTCTATCTATAGTAAAAAAACCAATACGTAACTAAACTAAAGCCATAAATTCATTAATTTGACAAAATATAATAGTAGAATTACTCACAAGAACAATTAAAGTTTCAACTTCCGCTAACCGAACGACATGACGCAACCGTGACATTACAATGAAAGTGAAACACAATACCGGATAATTCGTTCGCTTAATTTCTCTCAGTTAAGTAAATTCATAAAAAGTAACCTTGAACAGAGGGAATAGTACAAAAAAGGTAATTAATGGGCTTGGCATGGTTAGCTGTTCCTTGGAATGGGTTTTAGGTCTAAGGAGAGGTCGTTTAACTGTACAAAGGGTTTGCTATACATCTTTTACTGTTTATAGGGTCTTTGAGAAAAAATTAAGCGCCAAAGTTTTTGTGACAAAAACAAACTGCAAAGAATCTGAATACTGATTGATATTGTTCTACTCTTCCCTACCAAGTCATTATCTTCCTCACGTATACATTCCTCACCAAAAAATCGTTTCAAACTGTCACTCTTGAGACGATTTCCCTAGAGTGTCATACTATCCGAGTAATTTTTGATATACACTTTAGTAATCTTATATTTTTCTTAACAATCAAAAAATAATCAAAAAATACCCCTGCGAAAAGCTTCTTCTTCCCACGACTGTTTCAAGATGTCGCTAAACTAAACTCAATCCCGAATCAAAGTCCATATTTATCCCCCAAACTAATCTCCGAAACTTTCGCTTTTCCATCGACAAATGTCATAACTTTCCATTGTGACAATATTCCGCAAACTCTACAATAAACAAAACCGAATTCCAGTCATTTTTGGAATCGCCTATTATTTTGGTATTAAAAACAACATTCTTCAACGACCGATTTTCATCAGGACTTTCGCGCGACAGAATCATAATAAGGAGATATGGAGGGAACTGGGTGAACAATAAGAAGGAAAATAGGCAGGGAATGGGTTAGAGGGAAAGAAAACAACATTGAAAGTGAATTTTGCAAATATGAAATTGTATTTTGAAATTTGACAAATTTTTTGAAATTTAAAAATTTTTAAAAAAATGTCAATAAATGCCAATTCAAAACCTACAATTGACCAAAAACCTCACGCTAACTTTACTCAACCTTGCTCTTAAAACAATAAAACCATAGCCATCAAGAAAGCCTTTGACACAGCAAACTTGACAATCCCAAAAGTGACAAAACACCCTTTGACACACGTTTACAAGCGCAGTGACTTCCGTACGACAATAAAAACAAAGGACAGTTTTGTGTCAAGTTCGAAGCGTTTAAAGACAACAATAAAACCTTGTTCAGTAGGGCTTTCCGTTACTGGCCACTGTAAAACATGACAAAGACTTTTTCATCTGCTTTTTGAAATTTTTTGAACTTTGCAGTAATTTTAAAAATTTAAAGTTATATTTACCACAAAATTTTTAAAAAATTCAAATGAAAGATATTTTTAAAAATTTTACGTTTTTAATACGCAGGTCATGATGGACCAAAAATATTGAATTATTGACAAAAAATAAGAACACCTTTTTTGGCTGAGATTCAGTAATGAACTACAGTCGAACCTCTTTACTATGACACTCAAGTGACTGGTCCAAACTTTCCCTTGTAAGCATAGTGTCACAATACCCAGCTACCTTTTTACAGAAGTTCTACTGCAAAAAGCAGCCAAGAAGCTGCCATTACAAAGAAGATGTCACACTATGGAGGGTCATACTAAAGAGGTTTCACTGTATAATAAGTTAGTCTATTATCATTTCCAAAGTTAAAAGTTTAACAGCCTTAAATAATACAACTAACTAAAGATTATACTCATTTGACTACGTTACATTTACTATCTTATAAAAAACCATTAAGACTTAGTCTACTAAATATTGCTTCTCCAATGAAACATCTTAACTACATACAGCAGTATGACCAAAAACCTACAAACTTAACATAGCATAGCCTACTAAAAATTTTCTGACCCGTTACTTAATTAAAAAACTAATGCCTTAACCCATATTTTGATAACAAATTATAATCGTTTTTAATTCTTAAAATTTTAACTTACTCCCTCCCCTCTTTCCCCTTTCTTCCCCTTCTTTTCCCACCTATCTCTCCCTTGCCCTCCTCTCCTTTGCTCGCCTACACTCCCATCCTCATCTACCTCTCATTAGCACTACTACTCCTAAAAATACCCAAACGATTAGAATGCCTAAACGCATTACAGCAAAGTAAGCCCAAGTTTATTACAAGAAAAACCTTATCAAACGAGTTATCAACCGGTTCCTGCGACCATTTTGTAACATTGAAAAACAAATAATTATTAGCGTAGGTGTTCCATCGTTTACAGCAAAATGTTTAATAAAGACGCGCGTACCATTAGCCGAAGACAATACGAAAGAAAGAGTTTGTAATTAGCCTAAGGCTGAACGATGGCTGATAATTAGCCTAGAGCTAATATGCGCTTTCGATCAACATTAGCCTTCGATCAACATTACAGTTAGATGAATATTAGCCCACACCAGAGTTATATTAGCCTAAACGCAAGGGAAAGTAAACAAAGATGCTACTCGTAATAAGCCCGAGTTTCAGAGATTGTCTCTCGCTGCAATCCATCAATCATACGATTCTGTTGTAATCAAAACTTTTCATTTCCGCCTTACTATGTAAGGCTAATGAAGCATGGTGGAAAATATGCATTAACAGATACAGTTCCAAAACAAGATTTCAAAAATGCCGTCGAATTCAAAAAGTTTGGGATTAAGATCGTTGAGATCAAATTTTAGCTCAAAAGTTTCACTCATAATCATAACCTTAAACTCGAAATTCAAAATTTTTATTAAAAAATAGATTTTACAGCATATTTTACTTTCAAATCAAGAGTAAACTTTAAATTTCAACTATAAAACAAGGTCAACTTGAAAAAGTTTAGTCAAAACAAAGGGAAAATTCAAAACTTTAGCTCAAAATAGCCTTTAAAAACAAACCTTCAAAATTAAAATCAATTTTTCAGTCACAATTTTTCAGTATATTTTCTAATTTCTTAATAAAACACTTTTTACTATATAAAGAAGTCATTTGATGTCCGGTTTTTTTACTTTCTGCTACTGCATTCTTTCCTCGGTAGAAATGACCAAAAGAAGAGTGTAACAAAACAAGTCAACAAGACCATTGATGCATCGCAGAAATGGAAAAAGTGATAAAAATAGAAAAAAATAACGATTAATGATAAGATGGTCAGAAAGGAAATAGAAACTGTACCTCAAAAATAGGTTCTTTGTGCAGAATAGATCACCTCTGAATAGGTCTCTTTCGAGAATAGGTCTAAAAATGGATCACCTTGCTCAAGGTCACTCCTAATGCAAATTCATGACAAACTTGTTCCAGTTTTACCCAATCCTATTCTTGCCTATTTTTATCTACTTGAGCTTACTGTGCCCATCGTAACCCCAACCAGAGCCGTGCGGGGACTTTGGGTATGGGGGCGGGAGTCGAAAATTTGCCAAAATTTTTTTCCTAAAATCCACAGGGGGACCACGTTCAACTTTTTAACCTTTTTTTTAAAAAGCGACAAGTAATAAATCTTTCTACCTATTCTCAACCCAAAATTATTAAACCAATATTCAAAAAATTAAAATAAGTTTAAAAATACAAAGTGTTAACAAATCAGGCAGGCTTTGATTGTAAAACCTCGAATTCGTAAAGTAGTAAAAACAGTTTAAAAACACGTTTCCTAGAGCTCGTTAAACGCGTTAAAACTTAATTACCCGGCGGCGATTGCGGTGTAATAAGCAGCAAAATGTAACATTATTGGCGTAAACATGTTCGACGTTCAAGTTGCAAGGTTAGAAAAATATATGACATACCGCGGTGTGTAGGAGCGGGCAAGAGCAATTTCTTAGACGGAGAATGACAAAATACCCTAAAAAAATTTTTGAAAAATATAAACCTTAAGCCCAGCGTAAGAAAAGCTTTCTGTATAACATACTAATCACTAAAATACAAAAAATAAAAATAATAATCACGTTCAAATGTTGCAAACGCTCGTATTTTATTGTAATCAGTTATTCAAACAGATCAGACGGGTCGACGTCGATCCATCTGATGATGTAAATGTAAAGAAAAAGCCGTTTTTCAGATTCAAGTTTCGACGGAAATGAGCGTGTAGATTTGATTTGTGGAAGACGGCGAGAGTCAAATATATATAATAATACGAAAACAGAAGAATGCGTTTCTGGAAGTGATTTAAAACTTATTTTATGTACATATTAGGTTGTTCATTTGATTCTGTGCCCATAACCAAAACGATCTTTAACCAGCTCTTTTTGAGAAATTCACAAAACCCAAGCCCACGAAACTAACCTACCAGCCTAGAATTTGAAGAAAGCCAAGAATGACAAGAAGGTAACAGTCGCATAGTTAAAAAAAACTTGACAAAACAAGAAACAAAAGTACTGATATGGATCAGTTTCGCTTTCCCTCGGTTTCACCGCTACATTAGGGATCGTACTTCTGGAGATTAGATAACATTCCAGAAAAGACTGTAGCCAAATTTTTGGAAGATTTGTCAAAAATATTATCATAAATCACTGTTTTGTAAATATAAGAAAAACTAGATTAAAAAATGAGTTGTTTAGGCCTAAAACCTTAAAATTTTTAAAATTTTCCATTTGTAATCATTTTATTATCAAAAAGACATTTTTTAACAAAATTAAAGTTTTAATATTGCCCAAAACATAATTTTATATTTGCGCCACTCTTTTTAAAGCAAGCTAGCTATCAAACTTTTTTTCAAAAAATCTTTTAATTAAATATTATCCACCTTTTCAATACTCAAACTCAGCGACAAACCTCGAATTCAAGACGTTCCACTCAGTTTTGAGCCTTATGGCACTATTCCTAAAAGCGCCAGTAGTACCATCAAGTACATTAGTAGGCAATGCCTTTATGAAGCAAATCACAGCCCTTACAAAACTGTTTAAAATCGCTTCTGGATGTGCTTCTGACAATGAGTTACAGCTTGAGTTCTTCAACAAACTCAGACCTATTTTGTTCGGGACCATACTGTCGAGTTGTTCATATAATTTTGTGCTCCCTCGCAAATCTAATCTGTGAGATAAAAAGACACAGAATTATATGAACAAACTAATATTAAAAAACTTTAAATAGAAAATTAAAATATCCACCCTTAAAAGTTAAAAATCCGCTTATCTACCCCAAAATATCCACCCCCTCACAATCCAAAACCCAATTTTCAACCCACACGGGCATTTTTACTAAAATAGGTATTGTTTTGAAGTAATAATCGCAGCAAAGTGGGCATCCCACTTAACGCGATTACTAATACTTCTTCAAGCGTTTACCGGATTCCAAAAAATCAAAGGGAGAGAACGTAAAGGCACAAAAGTTATGCATCAGGAGTTTACTACACCATAGGGATTTGTAAGGGAAAGGATACAATGTAATATATGTTGGCATTCAAACTTTATGCCTTTGTTTTAAGATCGTGTGATCAAAAGTGTGGTTATTTTTTATGGTAGGCTGTTCAAATAATTCTGTGCCCTCTAAACAAGAACAGTTACTTTGAGAAAGAGCTCAGAATTACTTGAACAACCCTTAACACAATGTAAATGCCATTTTTTCGGATATTTTTATCAAAAATCAGATTTCAAACACTATTCTACAAACTCTTTGACCGAATATGTAACATAAATTTACTCACAGTAAACTCTCTTTATATACAACACAATACTTCATAAAAAATCTTCCATCAAACACTCTTACTACACAAAAAAATCCCCCCCCCCCAAACCCCTACCACTCAACAAAATCCACTGCCAAAGCCCCAACCACCCCACCAACCCGCATAAACTACTATATAAAGTAACATCGCGGACCAAAATAATTGGTCATCATGTTGTAGTTTGACCAGAATCCCACTTCCGAATATGATGAAGAATATTATGGAAGCCTGCAATTTGTTTTCTCTTTCAATCATCTTCATGAAACCAATATTATTATGGATACGGATAAGTTCCGGCGACAAACCAGAAGCTAAAACCTTTTGGTTTTGATTGTTGGAAAAGCTGGGCTTAAATTAGGCTTAAAATTGGCTTTTAAGCTTTAAATGTGAATTAATTTATCCAGTTTCTTAATTACAAAATTAAAAAAATTTTTAAAAAATTACAAATTAATATTACTTTAGGTAACAAAGCCTAATATCAATAAAAGCAAAAACAAAAATTAAAGCCCAAACAAGTTAAATTGTCAAAAAGTTCGTAAAAATGTCATAAAAATCTGAAATTACTCGAAATCCGTTTGAAATTTGAAAAAAAGCGAAAGTCTCGACCTTGATCTGAACAAGCATCGAAAGGATGTTTCCGAATTAGAGGTCAAGATTCTCTTCATTTGGTTCGGAAGCACGGAAACCGGTCTCAAATATATAAATTAGACAGCCGGATGTGACAGTTACATGTTACTTATTAGAATTTTTGCTCATCTTGTTTTTCGTTTTGAGAAAATTTTGTTCGTTATATAGAGTTGGAAGATGCCTTCAGAGAAGGCCCGACAAGTTACAGTGTACCTTTTTGAAAAACGTTCGTACTGTTTAAATTACTGTTAGCTGTCAATAAGCTCGAATAAAGTAAAGATACCGTTTGTTGCCTAAGGAATGGCCTACATCAAACCACAAATCGCAGGAATTTGAAAATTGGTATAAAGAGGTGTTCATGGTGATGCCAAATATCAAATTAATTTAAAAAAATACTGGACATGAAATTTGTTTTTTAAACAATTGGTAAAAAAAGCTAAATCTAAAATAAAGTAAAGGAAGATACGTTAAGTATTCTTAATGCATTTTAAAGTTTACTGAGTACTACTAGAACCAGAGAAAAGACTAAGTAAAGAGAGATACGGTTAAAATAGTAACCGCAAATTCAACAATAGGGCTAGTTCAAGCTAGGTTAGGACCAATAACCCATGATAAGGATGAAATCAACCTAAAAAAGTAGGCTTTGGTGGACATTGATCTAAAGTATGACAAAGCGAAGGTAAAGAGCATTAAAAATATACAAAAAAAAGTATCATAGGAACGTTGACGGTACGATGTCAACGTTCACGGTGCCATGTCAACGTTAACGATAAAGGCACATGTGGTTCAGTCACATGAGATTTAGTGACATGTGATTAGGCCAGGGTAAAAAAGGATATATGATTTAGTCAGGTTGTGATTCAGTCTTCTATCTTTTATAGCATAATAAATGAAAATTATATAATTCATGGTTTATGTATTATTAATTATTTAATTTTTTAGTTTTTTTAAAAAATTATAATTACGATTTTTAATATTGCAAGTCATAATTTTAAGTCTGGAAATTTTATTGTAATTATCCATAACTTAATATTTTAAATTATACGAAAAATTCCTACCCGAAATGTCGATAACCGAAAAGTAGCTACCCGAACAATCCCTACCCGAAATTACCATTGCCCGAAATATCCATCACCCGAAAAGTCCTTACCAGAAAAGTCCCTACCCGAAAAATCCATTACCCGAAATGTCCTACCCGAAAAGTCACTAACCCAAAGACAAGGTGACGTTAGAAAGAGCGAGAACTCTGTCAGTGCTTCAACTCCTTCCGCTATCATTTTCATCGATCCCCCTACTGAATGCAGAGCGCGTGGCTTTGTGCCATTAATTTTGTCAGCTCTTCTTTAAATGCCTTGACTGCTAGCAGTTCAACAAACTTAAATTGTCCAAAAGAATTGTCGAAAATAAAGGGTTTGTAATTACTATAACAATTTTTTTCCGAAAATTATTATAAACTTACTCTTGTTGTCGCTAGGTGACATCATTTCTGGGTTTCCGTTTCCTGTAGGCGTCAGGCTCTCAATGTCGTTTCGAGGCGTTTCTTGGCTCATCTTACCCAAATCGATTTTAAAAAAGTATTATCATATCAAATGCATAATACTACAAAATTTATTATTTAATATTATCTACGTTTGAAGACAACATAATACCTATTATCATCACATCCTATTATACATCAATGTTTACGAATATTTATTGCCATCAATAGAAGAACAACTTTAAAAGTATTCGAAATAACATTATCAATCGTAAAACATAACTTTAACCAATATCCAGATCAATTTAAATTAATTAAAAACACGGAGACTCTTGTCCATAGAAGCTGTTACCAAGAATGTATCCAAGCTTCCAAATCTGACTGAAGTTACGGCTTTTGAGTGGTTTTCAAACGTGTTGACGATCTTCCAGCTGCTGATTTCGTAGATTTGAACAACATTGGCAGCTGCGACCAGGTAGTCACTTTGGTCGAAGGTTACTGAGCTTACCTAAAATAAGGTGGGTTATAAAACACAACATCGAAAAAATTTAACAAATTGTTAGGCCCTTTACTTTCAAAAAATTAAACACTAACACGTACACTGAAATCTCAGTTTTACTAACTTTTCCAAAAAACTTATTAGATGACTGCCATCTCCAACAGCAAAAGTCTTGACATTGCCCAGATTTCTCATGTCCCAAATCTTGACTTCTCCTTCCTCGGCTCCAGATGCCAAGTAGTAGCCGTTTTCACTATATGCCAACGACTTTACTGTTCCTTGGTGTCCAGCAAACAAATTGACTCTCTTTTGCTCTTTGACCTCCCAGATCTTGACATTGCCATCACGTGTCCCAAGACCAAAAGTAAGACCACCAGGGTGGCATCTTCCACATGTGATTAGGGCCTCGTATTGATCGTCTTTTACCTGAAAAGTTGACGTTTTTCTCTTCTGTTCTATACCCTAATATTTTGACCAGTATTATGATGCTTTTCCTGTTGCAAACCACTTATAAAATTAAAATAAACATCAAAAACCAACCTTATCCAAAGTCTGTCCCACATTCAGATCCATAACCGACCAATGTTGATCTTCCGAGAAAGCAAACAAGTGATTATTGTAGATTTTATGTAAAAAAAAGTCATTAACACTGCCTGTATGAATGTTAAAGGTATGTTTAGTTTGCTCATTCGATTTGCTCCAGATCTTTACTGAAGCATCTTGAGAGGCTGACATCACATTATCACCATCTGGGTGGATAATACAAGCCGTTATCTGCTTTTTGTGTCCCTTGAAGCAACGTTTTGTCCACTCCACCGATTAGAACGAGTCTTCCCTGAAAAGATTGATTAAATGATACTGTTTTTAATACCTAAATACCTTAAATTCAAGAAGGAAAACCAAAAAAAAGTATTCAAAAACAAAATTTTCAATCAAAATGAAACTATGACCTTCACATCCAAGCATGTAATACCAGGAGTGTCAGCAGAGTGAAGATCAGTGTATACATCAACCTCACCGAACAGTGCCATAACGCCACCTTTAACCAATACATCATCACACAAAACTTGAAGATCAGTAACACCATCCAATTTTAGGATCGCACCAGCATTTAGGTGTGTTAGAGCCAAAAAGGCAATGTCCAGAATCACAGTCTACTCTCGTAGGAAAACTAAAAATATAAACAAAATTATAAAAATAACTTACCGGGCCCATAAATCATATAATCCTCAACATTACCCAATTGCGTCAACAGATTATCCACAGTTGTTTCATTCGAAATGGTTATTTCAAGAATTGCCAACCTTCGAGGCATTTTCTATCTAAATATTCAAAAATTAATAAATTGTAAATAATATTAATCCCGAAAAAGCAAAAAAAACAACAATTCCGGCCCTACATGGTAAATTATTACGAAATAACAAAAAAAAATTTTCAGTCAATATCGTTGCGAGAGCCAAAATTATTTTTTACGAGAAAAACGTGAACGGGTCGGCCCGGAAATTGTTCCGATATTGTTTTTGTCGGTTATTTGTGCTGTTTCCTGTTTATTTGATCTAGCTGTTGTATATTATTGTTGCCTACTAATATTTTTCTATGAAGTCAGCTATCTTATATTTATTACTTATATTGTTGCCTGTTTTGCTTTAAGTTGGGTAACATATGGGTAATTATTAAGAAGCTACCTGTGGACCAAAAAAAATTTTTTCGACCTCCCCCCCCAAAGAAAAACCGTAGCGACGTCCCTGCTGGTGTGGTATTTATCTTTTTTTTTGTTTTAGGTTTTATTTCAATAACTATAGGTATAATAAGGTTTGTCGTTATTTATTTCGAAATCATATCTAAAACTCGCTATTTTAGGTAACAAACACAAGTTCCTTTACCACAACGTCTGTAACACCTTCAAATAGCAATTTTTATACACGTTAACCTTCTACAAAACTACAGTTCGGTTCCCTATAGTTATTGGTATGTAATTTCTTGTTTTTTTGTTTTGGTTTTTAGGTGCCATTGAAGGAGTTGTTAGGTTTAACTAAATTGCCAGTTGTTTTTGTAAGATTCTTGTCTAAACTTTAATATTTCGGGTAACAAAAGTTTGTTTTTTTAAAATTTAAACCCTGTAACGCTGTTTTTGGTGAAAATTTCAAGATTATTTCAAAATTATATATTTTTTATTCCCACAAGAATATCAAGTACATGATCAACAATATAACAAGTATTGGTATAAGTGAGATACATTAGCGTAAAATATAATATAACTGTATATGAGATTATTTGCGCACCTTGATTATCATGAGATGTACTGTATTAAAGTGAAACATAATTTGCAATAGTAAGCCAGAAAGTAATTATGTAGTAATATTATTAGTAATAGTAATACATAATCATAAAAGTACAGTATAACTCTGTATTATTTAATAATAAACCACAATATTAGGTTGTTCAAATAACTCTGTGTCCCCTCAGAATTATTGAAGCAGACTATAGTAATATATCAATACTCTCTAAATAAAAATATTATCCTTCGACTAATCTGAAGTCGGTATTGAATAATTGAACAAACTCGTCGACTTGCTTCTCCGAGAATCCTGATTTCAAAAAGTCTTCGGCTGATCCACAACAGAATTCTTGGACATTCTTGAACTTGTTTGACCGCAAACACTTGTCCAAGTCGGCCAAGTTAATGTCAGGTAGGGTTTGAAGAGATCTTCTGGTTGTTTGATTGAATTTGGCTTGTTTTACTGCCAATTCTGTGTCTTCTGTTTCTTCCAGAATCGAGAAATCATCAGTTTTTATGGCCATCGCTTCTTCTGGGTCCGGGTTTTCTTGGTCTAACTGAAAAGATATTGTGATTGACTGAATAAAATTTGATTCAAAATTGTCATACAGTCAAACCTTTTTAGTATGACACTCAAGGGACTGGAACAAAAAACCATAATAATGAGGGTATCATAATATCCAAGTGATTACCTTAATTTCCTCAAAGATTTCGGCCGAATGTGAAGGGCCCAAGCTCCACATGCAAGTTAGCTTCGGTTGAGCTCTAATCAACTGGCACAATAAACTACGAGTAGTAGAGCTTCTTTTAGACAGTTCTCCTTGGAATGGTCCTCCATTCACTCGTTTCTTCCTGAACTTCTCACTCGACTCGATCAGAAGGACTATTCGGTCGTAGTTCATGTTCATCTACAAAACATTTTTAATATAAACCAGCTACAAGAAGGACAACGATAACTTGAACCATACATAAAAACAATAATTAAAACTGTACCTGTTCAATTTGTTTGAAGATTCGTCCATTGTTTAGTGATTGTGTCAAGTCATCTAGTGCCTTTCTTTCGACACAAATCGACGGCGACAGAACATAATCACCAACCTCAAGAGTACATGGATATAGATCAATTCCATTCTGATATAATACAATTGGGAGTTCACTACGAAACTCACGGACGTCAATCACTACCTAAAACGATATTATCACACAAGTAAAGACGTCAATCCCCTCCTAAAACAACATAACCAAACAACTAATCTCCTCCTTAGAGCTGGATATTAATAACCAACCAAAAAAGTCTAAAATGCCTATCATAATATAATCTTTAAAACACCTCTAAAATATCAGCTTTCCTCATTTTAAAAGCCACCAAGAACCGTAGAAATCCGTAGTAAACTCCGTTAATACTACAATAACACCACCTTACCATAGGCTGTAGTCCCTCTTCATCTTCCTCCTCTTTTTTGTTTTTGTGTCTGCTGTCTCTTCTCAATGCGATCTCTCTCAGCCCTGACGATGTTTCTCGAGAAATGTCGTACTCTGTGTTGATTAACAATGATCCCAGTTCTTTAATCAGCGTTTCCATCGAGAGTTGTTCATGTTGCATGGCTGATAGATAGCGTTCTTCTTCGGTCGAGTTTGGATAGGTAAGTGCATATATTGTGAGAGGTACATCGGCATGATGGGCTTTGTAAGACTGAAAAGATATTGACATCACATTTTTCTAAAATTTTACAAGCACGATATTAGTTTAGCCTTCCAGATTAGACAAAAATATCTCGTATTTTACCAAAAAACGTCTTTCTAATAAAAACCTTGCCTCAATAAGCCTAAAAGCTCCAAGTTCAGTGTGATATAACACGATGAAAGCAGGTCGTAAGGTTTCCAATGAGTCGATGAGTTGATAATGACTTCCCAGAGTTAGAAACAGCAAAGATGGCAAAGAAAATGGTTGTTCTGATGTTGTAGCATTAGAATCTCCATCGCAAAACGCAACTTCCAATGGGTCTGTAGCTTGAGATGAAGATGGAGTATCCAGAGAAATCTGAAAAGATTTGTGATTAGATATTGCCTTGCCGGTCAATAACTTTGTAGAAAGTTTACTTATTAACAGCCATTTTATATTAGGTTGTATAAAAAACATTGAGCTACTATGTACATAAACCCTTCAAATGAAGCAAACTTCAACGACCTTGTTAGGAAAATCGTTTAATTCTATGAACTTTTTGGTCAAATTTTTAAATTTTCTAAGCTTCTATTTTACTATTATGCTTTATCTAATATTAATCAACACCTCCATGATTTATTATGTAACAAAATATTAATAAATACGTCAAAGAGATCGAGATGTCATGATTAAGATCAACTGTCTTTATACATCAAAACCTTATTTATTACCTAATTTTATCGCCCTTATGTAATTTAATTTCTAAGGCGGAGCTACTGCCAATTATCAAATTGCCAAATCTTTCTTCAAAGATAGACTGCAGTAAGAGCTTCACTCAACAGATTGTAGCTGCTTGTACCTGGTGTTTCATTCATTGATGCATTTCATTTAGAATTTTATATTTATATTATGTTATAATTGTCTATCTACAACAACATTCCTTCCACATTTTCACTTCATAATTAAAACTTTTTCTTTTCAGCTAGCTCTTCAACCTTACATTCACCATGTCATACCTATCATCGCTAGTATCAACCCTATCACTCGGCTACTACGACAACAATGCCAGTGCTGAAACCAAGATATCAATCCAATCTCCAAACCTCAAAAACAATGGAGATACCATCGAATCCTCATATCAATATCGTCGCAACAAAATCTCAAAAAACGGTAACCACATTACAGTAACCCCGGAAGTGCACGACTACCGTTTCCGTACCGTACTCAAACCTCGACGTACTGGAATCATGCTGGTTGGTCTCGGTGGAAACAATGGTACCGCTCTGTTTGGTGCCATCACTGCCAACCGAGAAAAGATGGAATGGCGCCAAAGAAACGGTATTCAACAAGCGAATTACTTTGGTTCTGTAACCCAATCCAGTACCGTACACCTTGGATTTGATGGTCAGGAACAGGTTCATGTTCCCTTCAACGCTCTGTTGCCCATGGTGAATCCGAATGAGTTGGTGGTTGATGGCTGGGACATCAGTGGTGCCAATCTTTATGAAGCGGCTTTGAGAGCACGAGTTTTCGAACCAGAATTGTTAGACAAGTTGAAGCCTCACATGGAGAATGTAAAGCCAAAACCGTCAATTTACTATCCTGATTTCATTGCTTCGAATCAAAGGGATCGTGCTGACAACTTAGTAGCTGGTGATAACAAACAACAACATCTGGAGCACGTTCGGAACGATATTAGAAGATTCAGAGAAGAAAATGGGCTTGGTAAGTCAAGAAAGAGTTATGATAACCTACGTAGTCTGACAAACACCATAGTAAAAACGTAGCGAAAGTGTAAAACATTGCACAAGATCATAATAATCTTTCTTCGTACTTTACCTTTATTTTTTGACATTTAAGTCCTCAAAAACCCCTTTATCAACTGATAAGCTGATAAAATCCTTTCAGAAACCGTAATCGTTCTCTGGACAGCCAATACCGAACGCTACACGGACGTGAAGCCAGGCCTAAACCAAACGGCCGACGATCTTCTTAATTCGATCCAATCCAACGCTTCAGAAATCTCCCCATCAAACATTTTCGCCGTAGCCGCGATTCTAGAAGGCGCTCATTACATCAACGGATCTCCCCAAAACACCCTCGTTCCTGGTGTTATTGAATTGGCAGAACGAAAGAAGGTTTTTGTCGGTGGAGATGACTTTAAAAGTGGTCAGACCAAACTCAAGTCGGCTTTGGTGGACTTCATGGTCAGTTCTGGGATCAAACCAGAATCCATCGTATCGTACAATCATTTGGGCAACAATGACGGCAAGAACTTGAGTGAAGAGCGACAGTTTAGGTAAGATGACATGTTTTGAAGCTTGTTTTTGAAGAGTATACGATAAAAACTAATAAATGTCTTCCACGTATATCTACTATAAGATAACAAATTCTATATTTTGAAAACCTCACTATGAATTTCCTGCTTTTTGGGCTTCAAAAGACCTTATATTAACAACAATATCCCCTTTCAGATCCAAAGAAATCTCCAAGTCCTCAGTAGTCGATGACATGGTAGCTGCCAACAAGACCCTATACCCAGATGGCAAGAAGCCGGACCATGTTATTGTCATCAAGTACGTACCGTACGTTGGAGACAGTAAACGTGCTATGGACGAGTACATTTCTAGTATCTTTATGGGAGGACAACAGACTCTTGTTATCCATAACACATGTGAAGACTCGCTTTTGGCTGCGCCGCTTATTCTTGACTTGATCATTATGACCGAGTTGTTTTCACGGATTACGGTGAGTTATTAAAGCCGCGCCATTCTTTTTGAAGCAAGCTTTTAAACTTCTTTCCAAAAACTTTTCACTCAAATATTATCCACATTTTCAGTACTCAAACTCTGCGACAAGCCCCGAATTCGAGACGTTCCATCCAGTTTTGGGCCTTCTAGCACTATTTCTAAAAGCGCCAGTAGTACCATCAGGTACACCCGTAGGCAATGCCTTTATGAAGCAAATCACGGCCCTCACAAAGCTGCTAACAATCGCTTCTGGATGTGCATCTGACAATGAATTACAGCTCGAGTTCTTCACCAAACTCTAACTTATTTGGTCGAGATTATACTGTTAGGTAGTTCTAATACTTCTGTGCCTTCTTTCAAAACAAATTTCCGAAGTTAAGGAGCTCAGAATTATCTGAACAACCTAATAATTTGAATTTAATCTAATTTTTTAAAAAATGTAAAATTTTCTTTCCAAGACAAAATTTACGATGTAAAATACGCAACAATAGCTATGTTTTTAATAAATGTTTGAATTTGAGCTACCTAGATATTTTCTGCAATTTTCTATAACTTTGTCCCACAAAGTACAAGCTTGAAAGACCACAAAACATGTTTTCTTTCATCAATCAGACGACAATAACCTACCTCAACCTTTTTCGGCCGTTTCTCCTTCAATTTTTCGGCGTGTCGAATTAGGCCAAAATTGACCAATTTGGGCTGCTTTGGGTCTGGAACATCGGATTTGATTGATGTCTTGCGACGTTTGGTTCTTGTCTGCGCTTTCTGGACCTTTTTCACCTCTTCCATTAGGATTTTCTTGTCCTGAAGAAGAGAATATTATCTTATAATCACAAAGTGATGTAAAAGAAAAAGGTTTTTGTTGATGGAGATGAATTGATAAACTTGTAAATTTATTTGAATCGCCAAAAAGTTAAATTTTTACAAACTTTCTTAATGTAATCAGATGAAAATCATAACAAAAACTATTTTCTTCATGTTTTTAAACTTGTAAGACCAGTTGCCATTAATTTTTTTACCTATTATCCCTATTTTTCATCTCAACTCTTACCTTCTCCAAGACCTGGTCATCGTAGTAAGCCAAGTTCGTAGTTGACCAGAGTGGTTCCTCGGCAGGTTCAGGTGTTCTGTAAGATCTCTTCAGCTCATGAAAATAAACTTGGGTTTGTAGCCATGCCATTTTCTGTATTCCGAATTTGCAAACATCAATCAACTGTCGACAGGTCGCTTCACTCGAGCAGAACACTAACACTGGAGCTTCTTTCGTCGCTGAATCGAGGTTTGAATCCTTTAGCTTTTCTTGAATTTCCTTTAGAACATCTGATAAGGCTGTCCATTTGGGTGGAGCTTAAATAATTATGTTTTACATGTAAAAATCATCAAAATGCCTACTAAAATATCCATGAAACGTTAAGATTGACCTTTCAATTATCTTAATAAAATCCTTAAGCTTTTTATTTTAAAATCAGCTAAATTTCAAGCAAAATCTCTTACGAATCATCAAAACATCGCCTTTGAGAGTTTTAGAAGAGCATAACGCATCAATCCCCATGAATATCTTGGAAGCTGTTGGAGTATTTAACCATCCGCTGTTGTTCTCAATATACTCCTGGTTACATTTGTAAAAGTACAGTATTTTATGAACAGATGCCGGATCCAAATCCTCAAATGTCTTCAGTGTTCTTCTTAGAATCCGAAGATCATTCAAAAGTCGCTCTTGACGATCAGTCAGTAAGAGGGTTTTACTGCGTAACTGCAGTTCCATCACTGTTATTCGTAGCGCTGCTGATGGAGACACAGTTTCTATGTCCATTTCAAGCTGAAATATGTTGTTTTGAACATTTTAAAGTATTTGTTATCATGTGGAATAAAAAATGTATTGTTATTTCATATTTTTCAAGTTTACCCCATTTAACTAGTCATAAACTTCATTTTAAAGATGTAAAGCCCAAAACATAACGTACATCGAGTCCTTGTGTGCATTGCTTTAACTCTCGTATGCAAATGCCAATAATATCGACCAGTAGAGCTCGGATTCTTCGTTGATTAGCAGGTAGATCAATTGACATTTCGATGAAGTTTGGCTGTAATTCATGCAATTAACTAAAGATAAGATTCACAAAGTTCACTTTAAATTCGATTTTATATCACAGTAAAGCTTTGCCTATATATAAAATTATTATTGTGATAAGGAAGCACATAATTATGTGAAAAACCAATACAAAAAAAACATTTTTTTGCTAAACTATTCTTTTTTATCACTCACCGCCGCATTGTCAAAGTCTCGTTTAATTGATTCCTCGAATCGCGGCAGAATCCTTAGCTTTTTGACGTATAATCTGTTGACCAGTCGTTGCAGTTGTCCCATACCACCACTAGTAATGATTGTTGGCATATCAGTAAAACATTTGACAAACCCATCAGGTTTCTTTTCTCGAAACAACCTCAAGATGAAGGTTTCTTGGAAGGTATTTAAGGCTCTGAAATCATATAACCCTTGAATTATATACTTTTAATTTGTGCCTTTGACGAAAACCTTAAATTCTTGCCCACGAAAAAATTCTCATAATTTTAAGTGATCCCTATTTCTGTCTGATTGCCGTCGGCATTAGAGAAAAATTAGAGAACGCACAAAATTATGAGAGATTTTTCGTGGACAAGAATTTAAGGTTTTCGTCCGAGGTACAAATTAAAAGTATATAATTCAAGGGTTATATATTCAAAATTTAAAAAGCAAAATTAATTTTTAATTATTAGGCTATTCAAATAATTCTGTGCCCACTCTCAAAGCAAATTTTCGGGGTTGAGAACACAGAATTATTTAAACAGCCTAATAAAAATAAAATACGATTACATGTTATTAAATGTGTTATCTGTAATATAATATTTGTAAACATAGATATAGTACTAACAACATAAATAAAATGACATAAATTACAACAAAACAAGACTATAAGATCACTAAATTACATCACACTTACTGATGAGCATTGTATACCAAAATACCAGCTATTCTGTCCAATGGAACTTTGTCGGTTAACAAGTCGACCATTAATATCCTAGACGTTACAAATTGAACTCCTCCACCTTTGTAGATCTTCTCACTAAAAACAATTAACCCACGCCAATAAGTATAACGCAAATATATACAGTCAAACCTCTTTACTATGACACTCAACGGGATGGTGCAGTTCTTCTTTATAACTAGGACGTCACGCTACCCACCCTTGACCCACGTACTTTTTAATAAAAGCTCTATTAAAAATGGCTGTCAAAAAGCCGTCATTGTCATTATAAAGAAAACATCACTCTATTGAGAATGATACCAAAAAGATTTCACTGTTTAGTCCTTAAAGGCCAAAATTTAACGTTAAATAAAGTCATAATAACAAATTTCTTACCGGTCCTTTATCAAAACATCAGCGGTCAAAAGTCTTGGCGGAGCCGATGGATTAAGTGTGTTCAGCTTTTCAATGTAAAAATGTTGATCTTCTGCTTCTGTGTTAATCACCAGCACACTGAACGCTGGATCCGAATACAAATGTAGGTGATTTAAGAACAGTCTTTCCATACCCAATCCTCTAAAGTAAAAATTACAATACATCGCTTGATAATCACAGTTAACATTACGTTTTTAGTAAAAAAACCTACCTTGCAGTAATAAAAACCACATCGTCCATAAAGGCATCGAGCATAACCTCTTCTTCGTACGGTAACCTTGAAATCCAATTCGTTTTTGCGACATTTTCCACCTTCACAGTACTATTTACTTCCGAATAGTCCACTGTATCTGAATCGTCGTCTAATATAATAGGATCATCGTCCGCCATCTAAACGTAAAATTGTAAATAAACATAATATTTCAAACAGAGGTCTCAAACGATATAAAACAATATAAAAAAGTAGCTAATCCCAATCAGAGTTTCAAAGCCAGCCACATGTTAATGCTGGGTCCTACCAGCTTTTAAGCACAATCAGACACCTACGAAGCCAGTAAAAATAGTATCAAAACTTTTATCAAAGCTTAAGTTGTTCAAATAATTCTGTGTCTCCTCTCAAAGCAAATTTTTAAAATTAGGAGCAGAGAATTATTTGAAAGACCCAATATAAAGATAAATAAGAAAATTTAACGTCAATTCAATAAGGGTTAATCAACCAGATAGTGAAATGCCAAACCTATCTTATTATTTTTATTCACTTAAAAATTTAACAATTTCATACAACATTTGATACAAAATGAGTTAAAAAGCAAGTATCTCGTCGAAATTAGTGTTACACCTAGATGTACACGTCAGTGTACGGAAAAAAATTACATTGTTTTAGCTTCTTTCTCCCCATTATACATTGTGCTAGCTTCTACCTCCTGTTTTAGCTTCCTTCTCCTAACTAAACCAGCTTTAAAGACCTTAATCTACCAAACTATTGCAAGAGTAATAGTTTACTTAAACAATATTATACTGTTTTCCATTCTTTTACATCAGTTGTAGTTTTGAAGTTATTCAACTAATTCTGCGCCCCCTCTCATAGAAAATTCTCAAGGTTAGAAGGCCCAGAACTAGTTGAAAAACCTAATATTATAGCAGATTATCATGAATATTAATGCTATTAGGTTGTTCACATAATTCTGTGTCCCCTCTCAAAGCGAATTTTGCAAAGTTAGAGAGCGCAGAATTATGTGAATAACCTAATATAATACCGCATCAATATACGACAACCACACCTAGAAGATTCATCACGTCTTCACATTCCCAAAACCTTCCATAATATATGGGTAATCAACAAACACCATCCAAAAAGACATGATAAACATAACAATACCAAATTAGAATCCCAGAAGTCAACAATGAGATGTTACTTAACATAACAAGAATCAAAAACAAGTTAAAAAATGACCATAAACTTTAACAAAATGCCATTGCAAAAACATTAAAATCTCTAAAATTAGTGGCACTTTAACAACATGTACACCATGATACCTTCTATATCATATAAATCAACGTTTTTTTGTCTTATATGACTTATATAATACCATATGGCCTGTATACAAAACCTTGTAACAGTCATATACGTTAATGAATATATAAAGCATATACGTTAAGCAATTTGATATGATACTGACACTTATAAATAGTGTACTTATATTATGACACTAACACATCAAAACCGTCTACAATAAGGTAGGTATGGACTGCGCTGTACATGCAATGAAAAGATGACCATTACCGCATTAATAAGTGATATAATGATATTATTACAAGAAATAATATTAATTACAAAGCCTCAGGCATTATTAACAAATTATTAGCCGGAAGGCAGATTATCACCCGCATTATCAAGAGGTTTCAAGGAGGAAGATGTACAAGGCTCGTCCGCCACGTTATTATCTGATATTGTTGCCACGTTATCATCAGATGTAGTTGGTTCTGTTACCGGTTCCGGCGTTGCAGCAGACGTGCTGGTGAATCCCGTACTGATTAGGACTTTGAGCAATGGTAGGGTTCGAGGACCGACGTAAATGGAAGTCGAGGTTGAAGGCTCTGAAAAGAGTTAGGCTTGTTAAATTGATCTCATTTTAGGTAACAAAAATTATAAGTCTTTATCTTTAGAACCTAGCTCATGATATTTTAAAGAACAAAGCCAAAAATCTCGTGTTTAAGCTACTACAATATCAAAAAAAACTATTAAAATTGTTATAATGCAAAATATGGCCATATTTTAGGTAACCACATATATCTAAGCTCCCAAAAATATCAAAGACATTATACTAAACTACTAAAGGTATATAATTACACCATGGGTGCACCATAATCACCACCAATTTAACAAATTTTATTATAATTTAAATTTTTACAAAAAATTGAGCATTCTAAGCACAATCCAAGACATCCTCCTACCTGATCCGTCATGCTCCATATGCTCCACGCCATTCTCCAGCCTTGGTCGTTTCGGACTCTTCTCGATCTGTTTAATGACCAGAGACTTTTGTACCTCTTTCTGCGGTACCAGTTTAGTCCGGTGATCGAGTAGCATCAGTTCGTCGTGCGCTGTGCTATCAGAGGGCTCGAGGTACGCTGAAGAACGGAGTCGTTTGAAGGCGTAATCACCGTCCATTTCCGAGAATTGGTTCACGCTGTGCCTCAAACGTTCCATTGCTTCTTCTCGCTCCACTGCTATTGTTTCTGGGTTCTTTTGGTTCTAAAATACGTGAATTTAGATAGAAATTTAGTTTTTCATATCCAAAAGCTTTAAGATTGTCTTCTCTGTCCTTTGTTAAAGAAAGAACCAAAAGTATCGAAAAACTCTCGCAAAAATAAAAAAAATCATATAAAAGTAAGTATTAGGTTGTTTAAATAATTCTGTGTTCCTATCAAAGCAAATTTACAGAGTTAAGGAGCACAGAATTACTTGAACTTAATAAACATAAGTAAACAACTTACCTCATCGTTCTGCAGTGCCATTATGGTCTGATTAAAAGCAAGCCTAGTGGATCTCCTTCGTATATCCTATAAACACATAAAACAATTAAAAATACAAATTATCTAATACTAAAAGTAGCTCAAAACTAGACAAATTATGCATTAAATACAGAAAATTACTACTGAAGGTAAGGTAAAATACGGCATCATCCCAAATATCCTCAAAACCTTACCGTTTCACGTTTCCGGAATGCCACATATGGATTCTTATCTTCATAGTCACCTTCTGTTGGTACCACCGGTATTAGCGATGCACTGGGAAAACTGGTTTTGCATAAACGCTAAAATTTGAATTTTAAATAGATATTTTATATTACTTTAAGCTACATTAAACTAAAAATTCTTATACTTAAAAATTTGTTACCTAAAACAGTGTTTTAAAAACGAAGATATAGCAAAATCAAAACTTAAACACACACAACAACAACCTTGATTAAACCCTTTAATTAAAACCCCAAAATAAATTCAAGTATCACTTACCAGTCGTTTGTCCAACCAATAATCGTATATCAATGTTATGATCTCCCTACTGACCGAAGGCTGTTTCACGAACATCGCTGCCATACTGATCACCTTCTTCCTGGAGTTGTTCTCAATCGTCGTCATCAAGTTCTCAAACTCGTCGTCCGATAGTCGATATGAATTGTCCGTCCGCATCCTCTCCAGCCATTCACTATCTTCCTCGTCCATCTCGTACGTCTCACTGTTCATACAGTAGTCTGTAGACGATACAGCCTTTATCCATTTCTCGTCGTTCCGTATTCGCGGCCTGACCGGTCGAAAACGTGAATATTCGGTTTGGTCAACGTTCTGTACTTTTGGTATCGGGATTGCTGATGCGTTCTTTAGGGTTCCACCTAACGACGCCTTCTGGGTCTGCATCGCAACTTGGAGATGAAGTTCCTAAAGTGAGATCAATGTAAGTGTTGAAACTAGATGTATAAATTTAGTATATAATGATATTTAGCTATAAAATAACAAAGTCTTGTCTATTTTCCGTGTTTCAATGAAGTATATCGCTAATTTTAATATTAAGCTTTGTTAACATCAAATTTTAGGTAACTTTTAGCTGAAAAACTTAACGTTTAAATAGATCAAGGTAAACTACTACCTATAAATAACAAAAAACGACTTTAACATTTAAAAATCACTATAAAACCAAAAAAATCCAAAAATCCCCCAACCCTCCCTAAACCTTACCTTTTCCTCATCTTTCTCCATACCCGTCGTGACCCTGGTCGAGTAGCACGTAATACTGGATTGTCCATTCTCCTTGTTCTGACTGTTCGTAATAACAACTCGAATCGCTTTCCTCGGATTCAAATTCCTCAGTGAGCGGCCGCCCTTCTTGGTGACGGTCGCTGGTGGTCCCATAAATCCATTTTTTAATATGCCTTCTTGGTTTGTCACGTAGTTATTGCATAACATGTACTTTTTAGGAGCTGAACACAACAGTTAGATACAAAACTACTAAAAATAGAAGCGTCTACACCCGAGACCCGCAAATATTATATTATGATAGGATTTGGGAAAAGATTCGCTTGACAAAAGTGTAAAATACTTTTATTACCCAAAATTTAAATATTTTATAAAGCAAAATCCACATGACAACGTAGACTACTCATTTATGCAAATTTCGAGGCAAAAAAAAGAAGAATTTCACGCAAGAAATTGAGAAAAATAAAATATTTTAAAAATTGGTCGAAAAATTTGCATTTTCAATGGCAAACTCAAATTTTCCAATTAAAATTTGAGCAACCAACATAAAACTACCTAAATTTAAGTTTAGACGCCCAAAAGCCAGACAAACTGTCATAAAATACGCGCTGAAAAGCGTTTAACGAATTTAAAAAATATTTTTCGAAAAAGATTTTTTGGCTCGAAATTCCATTCTCCCTCAAATTTCAAGCGTATTTTAGAAAATTAAAATATGAATTTTATGTTGTTCGATAGCCCAGAAAACCGCCTACCTTTCCGTCTTGACATCTCCTCAATCCTTGCCCGATTTCCCCCGTAATTTGTTGCCAAAACTTAAAAAACCGAGAAAAATTCGCGAGCTCAAAAAGCTAGATAATTGGCGAACTGCGCCCGAAGCACGCAGTCTGCAGTGGGGATGATAAATAGAGAAACGATAAAATATTTTGAATTACGTACTTGCTATCCACTTTGCAAACGTAGTGGGGTGAAAAAAAAAATTTTATTTTTTACTTTTTGCAATTTTTGAAAAAAAAGTTTTTAAAAATAATAAATTAGTCAAAAACTATGTAGAACTTCCTATTTTGTCGCTATTCTCACTACTTTTTGACCAAGTTTCTTCAGTTTTTGAAAATTGTAAATAGCAAACATACGAATTCATTAAAAAATTTAACTTTTTCTTACAATTTAACCCTAAAACAGTAGCTTTCAATTGTAATCGGAAGCCATAGAAGCTTCGAAAATGTTTTTTGTTTTAAAAACTGTCGCAAAAGTTATAAAAAGAGTTAGTTAAATTTGAGATAAAAGAGAGATTAGAGTCTATCGCTCATTAAGATGCGTCATATTATACATCTGCACTCTCCCAACCGGTCATTTAATAAATAGGTGTGTAGTTTAAGGTTTATGTTGTGATTGACAAAGGTTGCAAAATTTTGATATTTGTTATATAAATTACTAAAGGATTTTGTATATTATTATATATAATACAATTTTACATTTGTTAATACAAAAACAGAATTTCAAACAAAGGAAGTAAATTTCTAATGACCAAACCCTGCAAATTCTACGCACTTTCCGACCAATAAACTATAAATCGTATCGTAAAGAGCATTAAATTTCCCTATCTTCTCTTGTGAGTCTCAAACTCTCGAACAAAGCCAGCCGAGAGTGTGACTCCGTGGCGCAACGGTAGCGCGTCTGACTCCAGATCAGAAGGTTGCGTGTTCGAATCACGTCGGGGTCAAAACTTTTTTTTGACAAACTTTATATATTTTGTTAATAAGTTGTTTGTAAAAAGTAAATATTTGTAATATACAAAGTGTTTTTACAATATTTACATTATAAAATGGAAAAACCAAAAAAAAATTAAAAAGTCTAAAATTATGACAAATAAAACATAAATAACATCCAAAAAATGCTCAAAAATCAATAAAAACGGATTATTTTATGAAAGCTTTCTAAAGTATGTTTACTGTACTAATTTACAACAACACACTTTAGGCTTGTGCGTCCCACCACGAAAACAAACCTCTAAAACAGAATGCCAGAAAATAAATAAAAAAAGTAAAAATTAGAAAACTTTTATGGAAATATTGAAACATCCAAACGTCTGCGGAGTCGTGATTTTAGAATAGTGCGCAGAAACGCGTTTTTGAATCATTTTCGTATTTGGGACAGCTGGAATCTGAAGAGGCGTTTTTGGTTTTAAAAATTAAAAAATACTTTTTGAGTCAAATGACTCGCTCATCTGTATGTGCATATCTTATACTTTGGGGCACACGGCGGGCGTAGTAATTGTATTGCGATGTTTTAATTTCAATTTGGTGGCCTCTCTTGATGCATGTGTGGGGTTTTTGGGGTTAATGTGGTTGTTTCTTTGGATTATTTGAAAGTTTTTGGATATAAGCTAGTGTAACAATGTAGGTTTTGGTTATGTTATGTTACGTAGAGATTCTTTGTTACAATATACTGTTTTTAATAATAAAGTTAGGTATAGCATAGTTGTTTTTTAGGTATACTATAGTAGTTTTTTGTTGTTTGTGTAGTTTAAATTGATGTTTCTGGCATAAAACAACTTTTTAGGTAAAAGCTGATCAATTTTTCAATTTTTGGATACAATTTTGACTTGACTGACATAAAAATACAAGGCTATGTTTTGCACAAATATAGGAGTGTCATATGTTTTGATAGATAACGTTTGTCGATTAGAGGCATTTTTCTGGTCTTTGGTAGTTTTGTTATCATTAAATTTAAAATTTTGATCTATTATGCAATTGGTTTTATCGATTTGAGAATGGACTTTTTAAAATGGATGTATTGGTCATTCTACCGCGTTAGGCTATTTACAAAGCTGTTATAATGAAGAGAAAAAACTTTTAAGCTTGGGTTTTGTACCGATATCTGAGTCAAGATTACAGTTTTAAGCTTTTCGTTACCATTTTAAGCTTGACCTAGCCTTAAATAGCTGATTTTAGTCATGTCTGAACCAGTAAAATCTCAACCCACATCTAAACCATAGTTAATTTGCTTGTTGAATTAGCTACTTCACCGAGTTTTGTCAATATTGTCGGATTCAGTTTGGTGTAATGTGACGCGTTTGTCATTAGTGTTGTAATCGTGAATCAGCTAAATGTCGTGGTGTTGTGTTAGTGTTAATTATGTCGCATTTACAGGTCAATGGCCGCGGGTATTCGGGTACGGTTCAGATCAAATGTAGAATCAGAAGAGGAGTTGGGCTTGTTTGGTGAGTTTGTTTACATGTTATTGTTTATGATTTCCTTGTTTGTTTATTCTTGTTGTCTCTTTTTGGCTTGGAAGCATAGTATAGCTTTGGATGGTGTGGTTGTGGATTATTTTGTATAAAAAGTTGGTGTGACATTGGTTTTTTATATTAATCTTTATTTTACTCTGTAGGTAAAGGATAGAGAACGGCCTGGATGCTTTTTTAAATAACTAAACCCCCTTTTTTTTCTGATTGATAAGGTTCGAAAAGTGTTTAAAAGTACATAAAATTAGATCCTAAAACTTTTAGGAAAACCGTTTTAATTAGGCTTACACTGATCTTAACCCACAAACTAACCCTACTTTTTAACAATTCCACGGCATTTTATTATTTGAAATTGAATCCTAACATTGCTTTAGTCAAGAGGCCAAATGAAGCCGTGCGGCGGAGGGAAGACAAGGCACTTATTCAGTTTGTCCTCTTTGAATTTCAGAGATTCTTGAGTTTCGAACACCACTTTTATGCGCTTATTTTTAGATATTTCTTGTTATTTGTGTCTGTGCTCTACGTGCATGCATTAGAAACGGATCTTAAGGCTTTGACATGGGGTTTCAATCTAAAATAATTTTTTTTATACACTTTAAAGTAATGTTATGTTGGCGGAGATGAGGTTAGGTTATGTCTTATAATAGTGCAGATTGCTGACTTAAAGGCTGACAGATAACTTATATTTCGTCTTGCTTTGAAATAGTACGAACTTTAGTTCAAAATTAGTTCAAAGTTTTACTCAAACATTGTTTTCTAAAAATCATTCGCAATTTTGTCACAATGCTTTTATGATTAACCCAAGACAAATGGCAAAACAGTTTTGAGTTGGACCAGTTGTAAATCGAGTTTTGGGGCAAAACAACCGAAATCCCAACTCAACGGCCGAACGTTCGGCCCGTTTTACGCCTTTTTTTGATGAATTGGAATGATGAATGTAATTTTATGTATCAAAGTAATTACACTTGAGATGAATTACGAATGCTTCGAATTCTTTTTTTGGTTTTTGTTTTTGGACAAAGAATAGCTGTGGGAAGGATTTCGGACATAATTTCTTCGCCGTTGGGAAAGTTTTTCGGGCTTTTATACACACGTGATTAAAAGAATGGCTTGTTTTTTGTAGCGAGCACGTATATAATACATATATATATAAATGTAGGTGCATGCTGGTTTCATTATAAAGGTTTTGTAACGTGGTTTTTGGCGGTATAAAGTGTTTTTCTTGGTAAATTTCGTTTGTGAAAGTTTGTATATGCTGTTTTTTCAAATGTCTACGCCATTCAGATAATCAGAAAAAAGTTTTAAAAGATTAAAGACACTACGATTAGGGTCTTCGGCTCTTCTTGCTGATTTTTCAAAGATTTTTTTTATCTCACCTTGCTTTGTGCCTTTTTCATTGCAAACAGTCATGAATTTAGTACTGTCAAACATCTTTAGTATGACACTCAAGGGACTGGTTCAAGCCCATCCTGATAACCAGGGTGTCACAATACCTAGGCAATTTTTGATAGAAGTTTTATCACAAAGGGAGGTCAAAAAGCTGACATTATAAAGGGGTTGTCGAACTATTGAGGGTTGTACTAAAGAAGTTTTACTGTATCACAAAAGGAAACATTGCAAAATTACTGTCAATTCTAAATTTCAATACATTAATTATTTACATAAACTCTAGTGAATTAAAATGCGTGTGTATATTGTAATAAGTAATCGTTCAGACAGGTGAAAACACATGGTTAATTAATGTACAATTTACAGTTTATCTGATGTAATTAGCGTTGTTCCATTTCCTTTCAAGTGTGTTTTGTCTTACTAATGCCAAAAGTTGGTATTCGGAAAATATTTCAAGTTGGAGGTAAGAGCGATGAAGTGATCGAGGTTGTTGTGAAGTTAGTGTGGTGGTTGCGACAAAAAAGTTTCAAATCGGTTTTTATTTTTTGGAATGGTAATTTTTGATGCGTTAAAACATGTAAAACTTAAAATTTGTCTTTTACAGTGTGTTTTTGTCTACATATTTTGATATGTCAATGGTGAAATTTCACACTTTTCCTACACTTTTTGAAGTTTTTTAGAGGAAAACTTGATTTTTGCAAGTGTTGCATATTGTATTAGAGAATTTATAAAGTCCAGCTAATCTAAAAAAACGGTCTAAAAGTACGACGATTCCGTCCAGTATACGACCATAAATCCCTCGGTCTCTTTTGTTTTGTCAATCCGTCTTTTTCCCGCTTGCACTCAATGTGTTTTGGGGTGTTGTTTGGTGTCTAGAGGGTGTTTGTTATTAACGCATGGACGAGAAATGATGTTTAATTTTTTAGAACGTGATGAGGTCTCGACTTCAGCCCCATCTCAGGTCACATTTGGCGAGGTTTCCGTCAAGTTCAACGACAAAAACTCGAACGACGCTACTCCCAAAGTAAGTGGCATGCTTAATGATGATTATGTTGAAAATTGAAAGAATTTTGAAAAGTTTGAACACTGAAAAATTGTGAAAAATCGAAAAAGAGACAAGAAAACGAATGAAAAGGTATTAAAAGAGCACGCCAAAGCTCTATAAACCGCATAAAAAGCAGAGAACTCGGAGATTAGGTTACGAAAAACAAGGTGAGCAATGTGTTGACCATTTATATGGTCCTGATATCATGCAAAAAAAGGAATTTCCTCAACCCCTCACAGATATTAACATTGTCAACGTGGTTGTTTATCATGTTTTTTTCGATTACGAAAGCCTAACCCAGTTGTTTATTATATAAAGGAAGCCGGGTTGTTTATTTGTTTCTCATAGTTTTCGAAGAGAGGGAGGGGTAAAATCGCGAGAAACAGACGGTTGTCATATTTTTGAGTCATTCGGAGTATATAACCGCGACGACGTTCCGTTGTTATCTTTGATCGTTGATGTTATACAAACTAAATTTAAGACCCGTCTTTTGTTGTGACATTGTAATAATGGTCAACTCGTTGTGGGATCTGGAAATTGGAAGGCGCTTTTCTTTTGATCAGGTATGGGAAGATAGGGGGTTTTAAATTTTAAAGCTAGATTTTTTAACTTAAAAGATTTTATTGTGACCAAGGTTGGAGTATGACTAAAATATGTTGAAACAGCAAACACGTGACCTATTATGGCGCAAGATTGGCGAAAAAGGTTGAAAATGTCAAAATAGGTTCTTAAAAAGCAAAGTTTAAAGGCAATATTATGTTTTTAAAAATCATAATTTATCTTTATGGTTTCAGCCTTCCTCATCCCACATATCATTTCCATTTTCCCGGCCGAAACGGTTTCGCCGAGCGACAGAAGGCGACAAACTTAATGAAAACTCATCGAATGACAAATGTGACAGTGCTTACGAAGTTGTGGATGATCAGAGCATTCTAAGTCTCAAGGATTCAGATGACGAGAAGAAGAAATGTAAGTTTTTGACTTTGTTTTTGCATGTTTTAGGTATTAAAGGGTGTTTGTGAAAACTAAAGGGCAATGCACGGTCAGTATGAGTCATGGGTTTTCAAAATATGGTGCAAAAAGTAAAATTTTTGTTAAGAAATTCTTTTCTATGTATTTTTTGACCAAATGAGTACTTAAAAAATGGTTTTTGTACCAACTTCTTAATAAAAAATGGTTGTACACATTTGCTTGACGCAATTTTTTGTAGACCCATTTCTCAAACGGCCGTTCACTCGCTTCTGGAGGTCGTGGTCTTTGACTTCCGAAACTCTTAAAACGTTTTTTCGATGTGTAACAACATGTTTTTCTAACTTTGAGTCGTGTGTAGGAAGGAAAAGGAATTCAAAAGCTTTCTAATAAATTTTTGAAATTTTTAAATGTCAATCGATAAAAAATGGCAAGAACATTCAAAATATCACATGATTTGAATGCCAGAAATTAAAAATCTTTAAGCTAGCATATTAGGCATTAAAAAGCATAATAATGTCAACAAAGTCCATTATTAAATACAATAAATATACTATAGAACACAATAATAAAGCAATTAAGACAAAAATCAAACCCCAACCCGAGGCATCATGTTGTTTTACAGGGACAGGATGTTGTTTAGACACAAATGTCATGCTGGAAAGATTAACTATCGAATTATTAAACTTTTATGAGCGAAAACTTTAATCCGGGCATTGAAAGCATTTTGAAAGCGTTGTTAAAAGGGAACGCGATGGAATAGTGATATAGTTATATCTATTGATAGGGTTTATGAGTCTATTCCATAGTCATTTTGGGCATTTGCTTAAGGAAAAGTTGGATAAACTACACCATGTTCGGTTATGTGAGTTTTTGAGTGTGTATTTTGAATTTTTTCAATTTTAGGTATGATGTACAGGGTGTGCCAAAAGTCCGTTGACTCATTATTTTAGTCATATATTTATTAAAACAATCAATATGCTTAAAACAACAACTAACAATAGTAACATATAGTACTAGTTATAACATAGTCAAGCGGTTTCGAAGTGGCCCCCCTTTGCCGCTACGCAAAGGCGTAAACGCTTCACAAAATTTTCAGCGATGGGCCGCAGGTCCTGCGGCGAAAGTTTGTCCCACTCTTCAATCAATGCTTGTTTCAAAGACTCCAAAGTTTGGTGTCTTCTACAACACACCCTTGCCTCCAATATCGACCAAATACTGTAATTCATCGGGTTGAGATCGGGGGAGTACGGAAGCCATTCAGCTGAGGTGGTAAAGACCAGAAAATGGGTCCGACACCACTCCTGTGTTGTTTTGGCTTTATGTGCTGGAGCAGAGTCCTGTTGAAACGTCCATTTGGTGTTCTTGAAGTGTTATCGGGACCAAGGAAGTACTACGGCTTCCAGAATGTCCTTTTGGTACACTTCTTTATTAATTTTTACTCCTTTATCAACAAAAATCAAGGAAGTTTTGCCCGAGGCGCATACTCCTGCCCAAACCATAATGCCCCGAGGGTGCTGACGGTGTTCGACGATGGCCAAGTCTCTAGGAGGCTCAGTAGAGTAATGCCTGTCATTTTGAGGGTTTGTGTGCCTGTTCCAACGTGAAGATCGTCTCATCAGTGAAGAAAATGCGCTCCCAATTTCCGTTAGCGGCCCGGTGTATCGGAGTTTTGCTTCTTTTAAACCGTACTTTTTTGTTTTCATCAGTAAGTTTCTGAACTTTCTTGATGTTGTACGGCTTCATCTTCAAGTTCTTTCTGACTATACGGCAAAGTGAAGTTTCTTTCAGACCGGCCTCTCGTGCCATTTTACGTACTGGAGTCCTTGGGTTACGCATGAATCGCTTCTTGGTCCACTGTTTGTTGGCGCGGGTGTTTACAGTTGCTGGACGGCCACTTCTAGGTCTGTCATCATCATGTCCAAGCTCTACATACCGTCTGACCACTTTGGATACTGTAGCTTTTCCGATATTTAACGATTTCGCAATATCACATTGCCTTCTTCCTTCTTTATGCAGCTTAATGATGGCTCCTCTCATGTTTGGCATCTAAATAAAGACAGACGTTAGACATGAAAAACTCAGTTTTTACTTATTTATAACAAAAAACTATGGGGAATAAGACAACATGTAAAAAAATTATATAAATCGCGTACAACATAAAGAAATCGACCGGTAAAGTTAGTCAACGGACTTTTGGCACACCCTGTAGTTCTTTAGGGTTGCTCCGGTTTTTAAAATTATTAATGCGAGCGAAAAATTACAGGAGCTACCTGTGAACTCAGTGACGTTCTTGGTACAATATTCTTTTAAGATTGCACCCTGCAACATTTTGCAGGGTACAAACCTTTTGTTAGCAGTAATGGCTAGACTATTAATGTTTGGTTTACTCTGTAAAAACCAAATAAAAATTTAACAACTTTTCAAAATTTTGTCAAATCTCATTAAAACTTGTGAAATATGAGAAAACAAATAACAATGTAATTGAAAAGCGGTTTGAAAGTCGAAAAAACATCGCAAAACCTATCAATTTCGAGATGTTGACAACAAACATTACAATTAAAATATGGATAATGTTGGAAAATTGTTTGAAGAGTGACTTCATATGCATTTATTGGAGTGGTTTTTATGGGGAGACGGGAATTTGTGACTCATAAGGTTTGTAAAGGCATCTTCTCGGCTTGTGAATCGCGCAACATTACCTATTGCTTTCTTACTGCGATCACTTTGATATGTGTGTCATGAGAGTGATATGGAAGTGCTAAAATCAGTAGCCGAAGTGCTGTGCTTCAAAAGTTGTAGGTGCTTTATAAAAGGGTCATAAAAAATATTGAAAATTATTTTATAAGACTGCGGCGATTTTTGTTAAGAATAGGGGTGGATTTTGCTTTTTCTTATTCATAGTTGGTTATTTTAAACATTAAATTATTAAAAAGCTCAATTTTGTTTGCAAAAAGTTCTAAAAAGCAGTTTTTTTGTTTTAGGTTGAAAAAGGACTTTTGTTGAAAAAAGCCTGATCTGGCTCTCGATCAAATTAAAAACTCTGTTAGAAGCTGTTGCAAAATGTACAAGAATTAAATGCTACTTTAAATTTTTATCTTTACGCTAATGAAACTGCTGGCTAAACTTTTTTGTCATAAAACGTTTTGTAAAATGGTCGTTTTTTGCTGTAAGGACCTCTAAAAATACTTATTTTTTAAAAATTTGATTGTAGGCTGTTGTAGTTAAGCTATGAAATAAGTTAAAACGTGCTAGAGTTATAAAAAAGTGTGTAGATAAATCCGAAAAGCATAGTAACTTTAGATTTCAAAGTGCTTTTTGATTCCAAGAATAGAACTAACGTTGACAACAAGACTTTATTGTAACTCGTAAAATTGAGTCAAACTCATAATAGCCCAATCCCCGCCTCAAAAGTCATAAAAATACACTCATCACTTGAAACATTGTGAAAAGTTTATTTACACCGAATGCAAACACGGACTTTTCTTATATGTTTCCACGTCGTTCCTCGTCCGTTCCTTCTTTTTGGTGGGCTTTGAAACGCGGATTGAGGGAACCGGAAAAGACCCCTCAGGCCTTCGCAAAAACCTTGGAGATAGGGCTAACCGTTTCACGGCACGGTCTCAAGTCAAACGGACTAGATATGTTGCTGGTTCGAGCGTAATGTGCTTTCGCTGTTTGCGACGCAAAAAATTGTCCAAACAGTACCAGTTGGCGTTCGATGAGGACAGGAATAGTCGTTATTGTATGTGGTGGTAGGGCTGGGGTTTAGAGAATTAGTTTTGGGTTAGAAAACAATTATGGCTTAAAGGAAAATGTGTGTAAAGGTTCTAGAAGTTTATTTTTTAACCTTTAAAATATTTAAAAAGGTTTTCACTGGCTTTGAGACATGCCAAAGGGGTTTAAAAATTAAATTTTCAAAATCTCAATTTAAAAAAGTAAAAATGATTTAAAAATTTGTTTGAAAAAAATCAAAAATTAATAAAATTTCAAAAAACAAGCTTATTTTTCCCAGGCTGACTAATAAATGTCGTTTTGTTTCAGCGCACAAAAGTCAGAGCGACAAGGACAGCGAGAACATTTCCATCGGAACGACAACATCCGGAACTTCGGCACACAGTTACAATGCACTGTTGAATGAGAATGAAGATGACAGAAGTGATAAGGTCAGCGAAAAGGACAGTTATGAGACACCAATCGAGCAGAGCTCGCTGCACAAGAGCGACAGTCTGGAGGTGGGTAAAAATTTGAACTTTTTAAATATTTTTACAGGGTTAAACAGGTTTTTATCTAATTTTTATTATTTTTAACTACATTTTTCATGTAAAAAGTGATATTCACATATTTATGTTATCCTTCTTCTTTAAAAAACTGATTGCTTTATTTTCAGGGTGAAATTGAAAGAACAAAAGCTGCAGATGATCAGAAGCCAGAACAAGAAGAGTATTCCGTGGAGGCGATGCTTCACTTGTTCAGCGAGATTTTCAGAAGACATCGCTCAATTCCATTGAAGGTTTACCGATTCTACACATGTGCTTTCTTGATCCTACTCTCAGCGTTGATACCTGCCTTCATATCAGGACTACTATGGGGATTTTACTTTGCAATACTAGGCTTCTTGTACTTTTGTGTTTCCGACCCTACAGCGCCGATGAAATACCCGGGAAAGAAGCGGTGCGTAGGTGACGATGAGGTGCTACAGAAGGTTAATGAAGAGTCAGCTAAGGAGGACAATCCTAAAGGAAAGAGGATATATAAAGGTAGGCTTTTAGCTATTTTTTTGAGTTTTTAAGGTTTGAAATTCTTTTTTTTTGAGCTATTCCAATACTAATGACGGTGTTTTAGGATGGATGAATATTCTGAACGAGCCGTACAACCCGTACACATTCCACGTGAACGCACTCCAAACCGTACTCATTCGTCTTGACGGAAAGCTGTTGAGAATCTCGAGACCTGCGACAGCTCTTCTGAAGCATGGCTTTCATACGGACCCGACTCTCACCGAATCTGAACCCAAAATGCTCGGACAATCAATCTTTGATCTGACCAATGCGAGCATCAAGGTAAATTTTAATTTTTTTGGATAGAGTTGTGAATTTTATTATAAGTTATGTATATATTTTATCATTAGCTTATTATTGTGATGTTATATATTTTTCTTTTGAGATTATCAATACTAATATACCGAAATTTCAGTTGAGACCAAGAAGGTTGGCTCGTAGACGGTGGTTTTCGAGAAAATACCCGATTTGCATCAAGTTGTCATCGATGAATGGAGAACTGAAGACAACAAGACGGGACTTGGCTTTTGCAGGAATATCTGAAGCTGTTACAGAAGAAACGCCAAAGGAAATTGAAGAAAAATCAGAAGACACAAGTTCAGTACAGTTAACGTCAAGATTTTCAACAGCTGATGTTGCTAGGGAAGCTGATGGCTATATGTCGGATGGGTCGAGTGATGCGGATGATGGTAAGACGGCGTTTTATGGTATACAATATTTTAAAACTTTAAAAAGTTGGTTTTAACTGAAAAACTAAAGTTTTAATCTTTTAAACGCACTTTGTTATGTATAATGGCATAGTCAGTTGCATCTGGTCAAACTTGTCACGTTTATGTCTTATTTTTGTTTCAGAAGATGAAACCCTCCAACGATCAGCATCAGATGCCAACCTTCCAGCTGCAAGTGGAGCAGTTCAGCGAATGAAACGTAATTTCCCATCAGGAAAGCCAAAGAGGCAGACTAAAACAATATATTTGTTTGCAAGATGTGCCAGAGAGAAGGAAAGATGGTTCCACAGATTGAGAAAAGTTTGCAACAAGTACCAGATACCTCACGATTCGGAAGCAGCTAGAAGATCGTCGATTTGTGTCGCTGGAGAAGATGAAGCGGAGAAAATATTGTCCAGAGACTACTTCTTGTACATTCTTCATCATCTACAGTTTAATAAGTAGGTTTTTGATAATAGTGGATTTATATGATAATAACTTAGGTCTACTTGACATTTTTTAGATTTTTAAATTTTTTTTTAAATTTTAAATACTAAAACTGTATTTTAGGTAATACATTATAATGTTTTAGATCTATAGCAGACTTTGCAGCTTTAATTTATCTAATTTTTCTTTTTCAGGCATTTGGAAGAATCCTTGTTGATTCAACAAAAGATTAGTCTAGAAACAGATGACACTATCTTGATGGATCTTGGCAGAGTAAGATGGCAACAACCAGAGGAAAGTTCAGGCAAAGAGCTGGTACTGGTGGCCAATCTTATAGCTTCAAGAGTATTCTACGATTTTTGTAGAGATGATTATTGGTGCAAACAAGTTCAGAATAAGATTCAAACAAAGCTGGCTACGATTCATGTAAGACTTTAGATACTTTGAGATTTTTTTTTAAATTTTGAAAGTTTTTTGAAGGAAATTTGAAGGGATTTTGGTCAATTATCGTTAATTATCTTTTCTTTAACGAATGATGATGATCGAATGTTTATTTTTAGCTTCCCTACTTCATTGAGACCCTAGAAGTGTCAAGTTTCGACATTGGCACCGCCATCCCCAGAATCGACCGTATCTACAAGCCATACGTCGACGAATGGGGAGTATGGGTCGACTTTGACATTGACTACAAAGGATGCATCAAGTTGGCATTGGAAACAAGAGTCAATCTGATGAGAATCAAACAACATCATGATTCCACAGACATGCCCGAAAGCAACTCTCAATCATCCTCGCCAGCATCCTTGATCATGCGTGACACACCAACACGATATTCGGATTCTGAATTGCCAGAAAGTCCAGAAACCTCGCCAGACGAAGAATACGGCAGCAAGTTGAAGTTGAACGATCATAATGGACGGTAAGGACATGTTTCTGATATTTATCTTGTTTTATTTTAGGAACATGTTGTAGTAGGTTTTTTAACATAGTAGACGGCTAAAATCCATCACAGGAGGTAGCTAAAATGAAAAAAATTTTGGATTCTTAATTTTTTGATATTACCCTTGAAATCAACGTTTATTGACAAAAATTATTTAATTCTTATTTTCAGTGAAAAGAAGAAGACCGGCAAAAAGATCCTCAACTTAGTCGACAAAATAGCATCGTCCAACTTCTTCAAAGAAGCTTCAGAACTCAAACCCATTCGAAAGATGATGCAAGACATCTCTTCGACCCGTCTGATGCTAAATGTCGAGATCACAGAGTTAAATGGTACAATGACTGTCAACGTCCCACCACCTCCATCCGATCGCCTATGGTATTCGTTCCGAAACGCACCTAAAATGAGTGTCAGAGCGGTTCCACAAGTCGGCGACAGATCTGTGGTCTTCTCCACACTATCGGAGTGGATTGAGAATAAGATCGTCCAGGTTTTGGAGAAGAATCTGGTACTTCCCAACATGGATGACACCATAATACCAGTTATGAGTGGAAACGAACTCTTGAAGGGTCCAATCAACAAGTGAAGACGACAATTAAGAAGTAAAATACGTACTTCCATGCTGTGCATCATAAATGTGACAGAAAGAAGATGATGACAAGATATTATGGAGTCTAATCACAATATATCAGATTGTCGTCACAATACGCACAAAACGACGTTATAGTAATATTGTCGTATTTTATGTGTTTTTCTGTTTATGATTGACTTATTTTTAAAGTTTGGCCTGATTATTGCTACATATCCACAAGCCACCACATGGCAACGATAGTCTGATGTATATATCTCATTTCGTACTGAAAACAAAGATTTTCTTTCCAAAACCATGATACGATACGGTGTTTATTATATTTTGATACAAGTTTTTTTAATCAAAGTACCTTTAAATAGTATTTTAGGGTGCTACGTGGTAAATAAGCAAGGACATGTTATAATGTTTATGGATATTTACCTTGACATCTTTTTTAGCTTTTTTAAAGCTAAACATTTTTGAGGTGAAAGTTATTTGATCACAATTGTAGATATATCATACCGTATCATGGTGTTTTGCCTGATCTTTAAAAAACTGCAAAACATTCCGAAAAAAGTAATTTATTTGTAGTAATTTATAAGTCTTGTGTATATAATGGTATTTTTTGTATTATATTGTCTTCACAGTTCTGATATATAAAGGTCTACATTATTGGCTGTAAGGTTCTTTATAAGATAAGTTGTTTTATGGTTGTAAAGGTTATCTTCTCTAAAGTTATTGTAAAACTTTACTTTACTTTATCTCTTTAAGGTTACTCTTCGAATTATCTGTTTACAATTACTCTTCGAACAATGTAAACCCACGTTAAATCCAAAAAACGTCTCGAATTGTAACATCGAAGTCCTCTAAAATACGGTTCTATTTGTTCTTCAGCTAAACGGCGGCTTAAACTGGTAACTCTTTTTTGTGTTTGTTCTAGAAAACATACAGTAATACTATTATGGGTGTCTTATGGTAATCGTATCGGTTTGGCCTCAAGCTTTTAATGTGCATAATCAATTTGAATAAACGAAAATAAAAAAATCGGCGGATTTTTGTGCACATTCATTGTTGTTTTGATCAATATTTGTGGAGTTGTTGTGGAGAAAACTTGTAAAAGTATTAATTGTGTACATATCCTCAAACTATTGTTTTCGAACTTTGGTTTATATTACTATGGCGTCAAAAGTCTTGTCGTTTCAAAATTGTAAGTAGAAATGAATTGACAACAAGACTTTTTTTACACCGTCAATATCAACCAAAACCCTATGATTTAGCTATGAGATTGTTTAGATAATTCTGTGCCTCTCCCAAAGCAAATTCGCGGGTTTAGGAGGCACAGAATTATTTGAACGACCTGGTATAATAATGTACTATACCTACTGTTTTAGCTTCCAAATATGACGGTTGATCCATCAGCTATAAAACTGTTCAGTGATGACATCGAGAACAGAGAAGAAGCTCCTGAAATTGAAAGTATTGTTAGTTTTATGTGAAGTTTATGATTACTGCATATCCTTTTTACATATATAACATTAGGTTGTTTAAATGACTTTTTGTCCTTGAAAAATTTTCTAAATCCTGCCTTTTCCTTTAACCTGTTGATCAAAAATATAAATCTATTTCAAGAGCGTGCACGATGAGAACGTTTCTTCATTTTTTGAAATCGACAAAGCTGTAGAGTGGATCAAGAATGGGAAGTACGAACGGGTAGCACTTCAGTTCCCAGATTCTTTGTTAAAGTATGCCTTTGCTGTAGCAATGCAATTGGAAGAGAAAAGTGGATCCAACATGTATGTGCTGGCTGATACGTCGTATAGAAAGTAAGTTTATTTTTAATCAATTTTTTTAAATTTTAAAAAGGGTTTTATGTCAAACAAATATTGTACTATTATATATCACCGCGAAGCCTATATTATCAAAGCTTACTCAAAGTAAGGAAAAATTTAAATGTGCGACAGTTTTTGCAACAACTAGTATACTATATTATACTAGCTAGTATAAAATGCCAAATAAGGTTTGTTATATTTACACCATACCAAATTACAATAGTAATTTTCAGCTGCTGTGTAGACTCCGTAGCCGCAGAACATTCAAACTGTGATGCCTTGATTCATTATGGCGAAGCCTGCCTCAGCGAGAAAACTGATAAGATCCGAGTATTCTACATATTCTGTCGACTACAATTGGACTCTACAGACTTTCAATCAAATATTACACGACATTTCGCTCAAAAACCGACAGAAGACGGAATAAAGAACATTGTACTACTATACGACGCTGTCTATTCACATCTATCGAACAAATTAAAAGAGATTCTGGCGGATAATGTGCCAAATCTAAATGTTCTAGTATGTGAATGCGTAGATGAAGTGATGGAAGAGCAGAATGTTAAGCTAGGGAGGAAGATACCAGAGCATAATGAAGAAGAGAGTATATTGATGTTTGTTGGTGATAAAGATAGTTGCCTGCTTCCGATATGGTTGATGACTTTCCCAAAATATGCAAATGTCATTGTATATCAGCCAAAGGAGAAGAAATTGAAAACTGAATGGTAGGTTTTGTATACAATAATTAATTTGTAGTATAATATTATATAGGATTCAATGCAGGTGTATACTTTTCAATACAGTTAAACAGCTACTATAATATAAAATTACAGCTCATCAGCCTTCCGCCAGCTCCGCAAACGGATGTACCTAATCGAACGTCTCAAAGATGCCAAAACAATCGGTCTTGTAGTAGGCACATTGGGCACAAAACACGGTCCAGAAGCCATCAAACGAGTCAGAAGTCTCTGCAGCGTCGCCCAAAAGAAGCTCTACGTCTTCTCAATCGGAAAACTGAACGAAGCCAAGTTGTCCAACTTCTCTGGCGACATAGATGCGTTCATTTTACTCAGTTGTCCCTTCGGTATTCTATTGGATACGAACGAATTCCTGAAGCCCATCGTGAGCTTGTTCGAAGCTGAAATCGCCTTGAATCCGGCCAGTCCGGATTGGTTTGCTGACGGCGGATGGACTGCCGAGTTTCCGAATTTGCTGAATGGTAAGTGTATAGTCAATATCGGTGAGTTTAATATAGACGTGTTAGGGTAGAAAGTGTAGTATAAACGTGGCAGTGATATTCAAAAAAACTAAAACTAATCCCAACGTTCTTTCAGCCCCAATTAAACCCTCAAAATCGACGGACAAAGAAACCGATGTCAGCTTGATCAGCGGTCGAATCCGCAACTTACAAACGACGGAAGAAGAGAACGATAAACGCGATATTGTACTACATTCAGCCGGTGACTACTTTATGAATCGTACTTGGAAAGGTCTTGATGACGAGAATGGCCAAGAATCGACCGAATTACGACAAGGGCTTAAGGGCGTGGCCATGGGTTATGGTACTGAACCTCAAAATTAAATGCACTTTTACTGGTCCAAAAGTTTGTCGATTTCTCAAGTATTATTCTGTTCGGCTGAAAGTTGATTTCCTTTCAATACATCAGCGAAAAAAGAAGTTACCTATTTTTGTATCACTTTGTTAATTTTGATGCATTTTTTCCGTTTAAACTTCTGTTTTGGTTGTTATTGTTTATTGTTGAATAAATCTGTTTAAAAACAAAAAATTTATTAGTGGTGAACCGATAATTTAATACATTATTAGAATTATGATGAGTATAACGTATAATTTATAAAAATGAAAAAATAGAAACTAATGAAGAAGACGATATAAATTAGTATCAGTTTAACAATTAATATATTGAGAAACTAAAGACACTTTTAAAACTAAAAAACCTAAATTTTTTGCACAAATATCAAAAGTTTAAAAAAGACGTACAGTCTAGATTTGATTAGAAGAAGACGACGTTGACCTTTCTTTGGCCGCTTTTTTGGCCTTCAATTCATTCATCGCGGTCGTGAAAATGCTGGCCGGACCCGCCTGCACAAGGTCTTGCAATATCTCCGGCAGTTCAATCTTGTCGTCACACAGACAAATGTATCCAAAGTTAAGATTCAGACGTCCGGCCACTTGCAACGCCTAAAATATTCGAAAAATCAGATATAGAAAAGGAATAAGACAAAAAAAGCAGTTTGAACGAACAAAGATAAACAAAACTGACATTTTAAAAATAGTGAACAAAAGACAAGCAAACTCTTAATTTATAGCCTTTACTATATCCATCGTCAAAAAATGTTATTGTATACAAGGATATACCTAATAATATAGTCTTTAAAAAAATCAAGGTTCATAAATCCAAAAACTCACCCTTTTGTAGAATCCAACAACTTTTAAGAAAGTATGTTCATCCTCAAACCGCAATCCAACAGCTACCAAACCATAATCCTGCATGTTGCGCGCGAAGTAGATCAGTCGGTGAACTTTCCGACTGACACTAATTCTGTCATGTTCAAACAAAAAGTGAGTGATACGAACCTTCTGATAGACTAAATCCACCAACATAATCTGGTCATAGTCGTAGAGTCTCAACGTAGCTGGCTTCCAAGACATTTCCTAAAATATTTAGGTAACAAAGGTTTAACCGTGTCATTTTAGCTTAAAAACCCCAAAAACGTTGAAAACGGCATTTTAATAACAAAATTAATTCTTTTTTAAAACTACTGTAAGAATCAACATTACCATTTTAGTCGTTTCAACGCCACACTGAATAAAACAACATAATGCCGTGGTCTCAAACTTCAACACTGCTTCTTCTGGTATTTCATACGTCATCTTTCAACTAAAACAAAAAATTGATATTTTACACAATCATATACATTTTAGAAAAATTAAACTTACGTTATTGTGTTACTATTAATTACTCTCCTTCACAAAAACAACTTTTTGTTTTGCAACACAGGCCTTTGCTTTGCGTCCCGACAGGAAAACAAACAGCATTTAACAGAATGCCAACATATTATTCGAGAAATTATAATTTCTGAAAATTGATTCACACTTTTTACTTATGAATGTTCTTTAGTACATTAATATAAGTCTTTTGGAGAAGTTGTTTTGAAGTTATTTGATTTTTGGTTGAGTAAAGATATTAGTGTTACTTATAGATGTGTTTTCTGGTATTTAGTGTTAAAGATGGAAAACGTAACTTTTCTTTATTTTTAAAATACATTCGGCTTGAACTATTTTTAGTATTACATTTACATATAAAGAAGAATTTATTAGTTATATTAAGTAAAAAAGTAGCTTTAGTTTATGTTAACATGAAAATTGAAGAAAAAAAATCGTTTTTCTTTAGTTCAATGTGAAAAGTAGTCCTTTCGAGCCTTGTCTTGGTTAAATTTATGTGTTCTTATTAAATTTTCACTTTTATATTATAGGTTGGTAATGATATGGACGTAGACGCACTGGACTCGATCTCAGCGTCGGTGAAGAAGATGAGCTTGGGCAAGTCGAAGCCGTTTCTGATAAAGAAACACATCAAGTTGTTGCATCATTGTCTGAAGATTCTGCCCAATGCCTACTTGAGTTTGGATGGAAGCCGGTAAGTTTTTATTGTTTTTTTTTTGTTTTTAGGTTGCAATTGAAGTAAATGAACTTATTTAAGTGTAAGGGGATCTACTTTTTTATTAAAACTTGGGGTGTTTGAACAAAATGTTTCTCCTTGGTTTTTAAAATGTTGCCCTTGTGTAAATAAATTGACTCATAGCTGTTGTAGTGTAAATACGTTGGGTTGATAGTAAAGTTATTTATTGTTTGTTTAAATAACAGTATTTACATATGTTTAGGCCGACTTTGTTGTTCTTTTGCATAAGCGCGATGGACATACTGGATCAAATGGGAGATCTACCGGCCGAACGGAAGAGGGATATGATTGAGTATCTTTACCGACTTCAAATTACCTCAAAGAATGGTAAGAATTAACTTTTGGCAATATTTATGTTTATATTATTTTTGAAAACTACAATTTTTATTTTCTAACTGTGGCTTTAGAAGTGCCATCAGAATCATACGGATTTCGAGGCCATATATATTCGTATTTGGATCCCGTGTCGAATACGGAAGTGATCTCAGAGTACGAGTCAGCTCACATTGCTCAAACATACAGTGCATTATGTTGTTTGTTAATTCTTGGCGATAACTTGGAACAAGTTGATAGAACAGCGACATTGAGTGCGTTGCGACAATGTCAACAGCCGGATGGAAGGTACGTTAAGGTTTTTTGTTTTCTTAGTCAGGTTATAGCGCACTTTTGCTTTGTCTTCCGGTTTTTCTTGTTTTTTTTGTAGTTATATAGACTTATGTTTTGTTAAACAAGGTACATAAACATGGTTTTACACTAAAAATAATTTAAGAAAAGTAGGTAGATTATAGTTTTTTGCTATTTTCGTATTTTGATGTGATTATGTTTTAGTTTTTCGGCTTTTTCAAATCAGTCAGAAAGCGATATGAGATTCGTGTTTTGTGCTGTATCAATTTCCTATATTCTCAACGATTTCTCATTTATCAACGTCGATCTTTTGTGTGACTTTATTCAAAAAAGTGTCAGTTATGATGGTGGTATTGGCCAGGGACCAAAGTTTGAAAGTCATGGTAGGTTTCTTGATCTTATTGGTATATTATGTAAAAAACTTTAAAAGTTTGTATGCAAAGTTTTTTGTAAAAGAACTCATAGGTTGTTTAAGTAATTCTGTGCTCCGTAGCTCTGAAAATTTGCGTTGAGAGGAAAACAGAATTATTTGAATTTTTTGTTAAAATTATTTAAATCTTAACTTTTTAGGTGGGTCAACGTACTGTGCTATTGCTAGTCTATGCTTAATGGGCAGACTGTGGGATTACTCAGTGTTGAGTAAGAAACAATTGGAAAAGTTAAAACGATGGGCGCTACAGAAGCAAGATGTCGGATTTCATGGAAGACCAAACAAGCCTGACGACAGTTGTTATGCGTTCTGGGTGGGAGCTACCTTGTGGGTAAGATGCTGCTTTTTTAGAGGAAGTTAACAGTTTTTTTAAAATTAGATGTTTCAGGATAATATTAATACCTAATATGAATAAGTAAAATTTAAAAATTGGTTTATATTGTTTTAAAATTTTTTGTTTTTAATTCATAAATTCATATAAAATTAACGTTATAGATGCTGAATGCTCACCACTTGGTTGAAGAAAAGAGCCTCAGGGGATTTCTGATGGAAACTCAAGACGATTGTATTGGTGGTTTTGCCAAATATATTGACTCTAACTCAGGTACGGTATTTTCAATTTTAATAAGGAAAAAATTTTATTTAATAGTGACAAATCTATATAAAGACTCTCAAAGAAACTAAAAAATATTCATTATTCGGAGGGTTCTTTATAGGGAAATTAAACAGGTAAACCTCCCACTAGCACAAAAATACAGAAACTTCTTTATACAGAGGGTTACGTTATAGGACAGGCATTTATATGGAGATTTCACAGTATTTTTATTATCCTTAGCTTTTCAACCTTAAAATTAAAAAAAAACCAAAGTATATAACGTATTGTACAAAAATTTTCTTCAGACATACTGCACACGTACTTTGGTATCGCGGCCTTATCCATTTTCGGAGAAGCGGGTCTCTGTCCCGTCTACCCACCTCTCAACATACCAATGCGCGCTTTTGAACATTTGTGTAAATTGAACCGCTTCCAAACATAATACAACAGGGTAATATGTAAAAATTGTACATTCAAAAGTTGGAAGTAATCAATCATTTCCAGCTTTTGTTATCAACTTGTCATACTGTATTTTCAAATATTGTAACTTAATTTGTATTTATTTTGAAAATGAAACAGTTTTTGAATATTTGGCTTATTATTGATTTATAAACCGGCTAGGACACAGGATAGAATTTGTGGGCTTTGTCTAGTGATGTGCAAAGGGATAATAATGCTTTTAAAATCAACCACAAAGCGGCTTGTTGGTTTGGACCGTGCTACAGTGATAGGTAAGCCTCTATTACGGATTAAACGGTTAAATACGCTGTGTATGCGAAATTCTAATTGGTTTTTTTTGTCGTGAACAACTTTGTCATTTTTGATATTTTTTATAATGTGATAAAACACCTTTCGATGTGTCTACCATATAAAATTTACGATCATACTTTATCGGCAGTACTAAAAAGTTGTTGCAACACGATGACAACTAACATGATTCGAAGAAAATTTAAATATTTTTTCTTTCATATCAATTGACCTTGTTTAAAAATAGCTGCAAAATACAATTAATTTACATGAATGAGAAACTAATGGACTATTAAAGCTTTTACTAGTTATAAAAGTTCAAAAAATAACATTAAGCAATATCTATTGAACTACATATTGGGTTAAGTGAAGCTGATGACTATAAAAAGCTGAAAGAAGTGCCATAGTTTAGCTTGTAACTCTAAATTGTATGACATTGTACAGTGAACTTCCGGTATAACAAATAAGAGAGGGAATGAAACATCGTTCGCTGTAAAAAAAATTCTTTATGTAAGAATCAGTGCAAAATTTTTTCTAGAAAATTCAAAAAATCGCTATAACGAGATTTTGTTGAATGCGGAGTACTATTAGTTAGTTTTAACTGTAATATATTTATAAATTTTTACACTAGGTATTGTCGTAGACATATGCTACTACTAACGCTGATATTTACATGTTTTCTAAAGCAGTAAATAAAAATGTTGGACTAAATCTATTTGAGTTAGTGTATACAATTTTTTAGCAATTTTTCAATATATTTTCAACTTAGCAACTTCTGACAACAATCACTTGTAAGATTTAGAAAGGATTAGTTATAAAATTACGTCATCGCATTATGTTAATTTTTATCAATCAGTAATAATTGAGAAAAAAAATTTTTTTGTTTACTTTAAGGTTATGTCATCATTCATATAAACTAATAATTTTTTATAATTTTTTTGATGTTTTACAAATAAAGTTTTCTTATTAATAAGTTATGCATTTATATTCTGTAATTTTTGCCAACGTTATGATAAAACATCGACAATACCTATAAAAAAACTCTGCAAATGTCTTCCTCTTTGGATTTCTCTGTCTTTTATGTACGAAGAACCTTGAAACTACAAAAAAGTTGCTGGCAATACAACACATTTTTAAAATTTTTATCAAACAGTAGTTTGAAAGTGTATTAAAGCTCATAATTCTCACGGTAATGCTACAAAACCCCAAAAAAATGCCATTTAATAAAAGTTGAATGTTGTGCTAATTAACTGTTCATATTTGGCCGGAAATAGACACATTAGACTTGTCAAAACGTATTTAAAAACGTTGAAACTTAATTTTCTTCTTCTTTGACTGCGTCTCAGTAAAGTATTTTTAAAGTATGTTAACAATGCCAAAAAAGAAATTTCTGAAAAAGTTTAATCAAGGTACGGTAGACTTTTCCTATCATATTTCAGCTCTAAAAAAAGCAATTTAAAATCTTGTTTTTGCCAGTTTAAACGGGTAAGATAATGGGTTTTCGATTGAGGTCAATCGCTCGGGGGGAGAAAAAAAGCACATCAAATTTAAGTATTGTTGCCACCGTTGAATCCCCATTATTTTTCTACGTGCTCCGCCTTAAAACAAATCAAATTTCTAAAGTTTACAGCATAGACAGTTTTAATGGCTGCTGGGGTTTACCCAAGTTTTTTCAAGGTGATTTAAAATTATTTTTAAGCTTGTATGGTATCATCTGTGCCGGGTAATTTTTCTTAACAAATTGTAAGACTCCGCGAACAAATGGGAAAGCTTTGTTCGGGTTGACCTAGATTCGTTACTGTAGCTGGAGATTAAGAAAAATGAAGCGTATTATGATGGGAATCAAGTGGAGTCAACGCAGAGAAGTGCCAAGAAAGAAGATGGTTGAGAAAGGTAATGGAGTGGACTCTGTCAGACAAAATACCAGTTGGCACACCAAGAATGAGATAATTTGATGTGTTCAGGGAGCTGATTGGTTCGGAATGGTAAAAAATAAGAAAAAGCAGCAACTTTTTCGGGTGGGGTGATTCTTCTTGAACTTTTACGTTTTGAAGGCAACCCTTGGCCATGCTACTAAAGCATGTGCAATTTCAACAATATAAAGATATGTCATATGCGCGAGAAACGTGAACGGGCTGACTCCTGCAGGAACTCCTGCTTTACTTTATATCGTTTTTTTTTCGCGGATTCTGTATTTTTTCAAGTTTATTGTCGTGTTATACTGTTATATCCTGTTAGAATCGTATGATATTTGATCGTGTTCGATCGATACTTTTTTTGCATTTTTTCGAATTTTTGAAAGTTGGGTAGCATATGTAAGTTTACCTTTAGAGTGACAACTTAAACTTACCGCTTTACAATGAGTTGCAACAAGGATGTTAACAAAAAGCAAGTGGTTGAAGAAACAGCCAGAACATTGATTCAAACTGATGGTTCAGTGTAAGTTTTTATGTTTCTGGGAGCTTTTAATTTGAAAAGTCGGGGCTAGTTTTTAAAACTGTTTATCAAAAGATTTTAAGGAGTTTATATGAATTTTAAGGTTTTAAATGAATTTTAAAAGATAAAAGTTGGGATAGCTTTATTTTTAACTCCATATAAGATAGATATCTTTGGTTTTAACCCAATATAATATTATATTACCGTATAAAATGTTTCAGACAACCTTACCCAATGAACGACGCAGTGAATGAACCTGGAAATGCCCAAGGCTCCTCCGGATTGACGCTTCAACCTCCGGGTAAGCGGTCTTTTTGAACAACTTTTAGTTGGTTTGAGATCTAAAAGATACTTTTTTTAGTTTTTTTGTGACACAAAGATAATTTTATATTTAAAAATTGTTATTTTGCAACTTCTTTTAAATTTTTTGTTACTTGCTTCAGGATTAAAATGTTGAGTTATCTTAAAGTGTAAAAAATATAAAAAAAAGTTTGGTAAAATTTAAATTATACTATACTTTTATCAGTTCTTTTTCAAAAACATCCTTAATAATATAAAATTTTAGCATTTCCTTCGGCAGTTTTCACAAACGGCGGATTCAATCCGTTGTTTGGTGCCGGGCCATCTCACCTTTCAATGGTTGGAGCCGGAACAATCCATCCTCAAATGCTTGGTGTCGGACCGTATCATTCTCAAGCGGTTCCTATGTTTGGTCCTGTGCCATATCATATTCCCATGTTTGGAGCAATGTATGTTGTAGATATTTTTAAAATTTTTTTTGTAGAAAAAGACTTTTTATTGAAAAAGCAAACATTCTTTATATTATATTAGGTTGTTTAAATAATTCTGTGCTCCTTAAGGTTTTTTAAATAAGTCCGTGGCTCTTAATTCCAAAAATTTGCTTTGAAAAGAGCACAGAATTATTAGAACTACCTAATATAAAGCTATAAATGAAAGTGGAATTTTAAAAAAGTTTGAAGTTTTAAAGGCTTTTCTGATTATTTTCTATCTGTCTATTCACTTTATCACCCTACTGATTTTGTTTGGAAATGATTTTGGAAGTGGGAGGGGTACACACGAGAACAAGTATTAAGGGACAATACTTATTGATCGTTATACATACTTAATATTTGAGAAAAGTTGAGTTATTTAATACAGTAGGACTCTTGTATAAAGAATCGCTTAGAGACTTTAGATTTGTTTGTTATACAGCACTCTCTCTATATAAGCAACCCGAAGGAATCGATATTTTGTGTTTACTATAAGGGGTGTTGTCTTTACAAGAAGGTTTTTTTATTACAAATTGATTTGGCGTGGTCAAATTTCTTGTTAACTATAAGGAGAGTTGCTTCTACAGGTTCACTATATAGAGAGACCACTGTAATTAAGTTTTGTTTCATAATGTTGGCCAGGGTTTCAAAAATTGTTTGCTATATAGGAGTTTTGTTATATAGGAGTATGTTACATAGAGTTCAAGTTTTTTGGAAAATTCGTATTTCAATATATATATTTTTTTCAGCCACCCGCTTGCCTACCGAAACATGTACCATGGCAGCCACTTCTCCAGCATTGTTACTAGAAGACGGCCAGCTGAAGTAAGAGGATGGGGGTGGTTATAAGAACGGAGAAGGGGAAGGGGGATTGTTTTCCAATTTTTTCTTGTAAAATTTTGATTTTTAAAGGTTTTCTTATGTCTAAAGTTTTTGATGTTTAAATATTTCAGACTGTCTTCATATGTCCAATCTTCATTTGTGGCAAAAGGTACAGTGACCCATCTTCGTTGCGGAAACATATGATAGTCAAGCACGGTCGTCAAGCCTACGATTTGTACCAAAAAGTGAAATCGCTGAGGAAACAGTTTATGTAGGTAAAGCTTTGTTAACTAAGTTTGCATTTTTAAACATTTTTTTGTTAACAAGCTTTACTTCCACCTTCTCCGTTATACTACAGGTACATGAAGAACAAAAAGTATGTAATTTTTTCGCAAAAAAATCGGAAAACTTTTTGATGCTCCTCAGATTTTGTGCCAAAGCCGAAGAATTTAGCCAGGTTCGGGTAAGAAATTAATATACGTAATTCCTAAAGGTAAGACCGCTTTCTTTTATTTACTATATTTTTTAGGTAATAAAAATATTTGGTCAACAACAAAACTTGAGCCAAACTATGATGTTTTTATGAAATTTAGGTTGCGATATCATTAAAACCAAGGTATTTATGGAAAAAAGAAATATGCATACTTCTTAAATTAGTTTAATGTACCGATCAAGGCTTTCGATACTTAATTTTTTCGGTCGGTCGATTTCGATATATCACTACTTTGATTTTTCGATACCCGATCGATACTTCGATATTTCGATATTTTTTGATTCGCACTTTGATATTTCTGAAAAAACGCCGAGCTATCGAAAATATTGGAAATATCGAAAAAAACTCAAAAAATTTTGGTCGATACGACATTATAGGCCAAAATTGAACGATATATCGTATAATATAGCACAATCTATCATTACCTTTTTTATAAAAACATCATATTTTAGCTTAAATTCTGGCGTTGGCTCGATATTTTCATTACCTAAAAAATACAGAAAAAGAAAGAAAACTGTTTCACCTTAACTTATATGTAAATTCCTTACCGAAATCTGGCCGAATTCTTTGGTTTTGACCCAAAATCTGAAGAGCACAAAAATTTTCTGATTTTTTCGCGAAAAACACCTTTTTGTTCTTCATTTACTCGTAGTACCTTGTTAATTAATCATGAATCTACCTCTTCTATAATATATTGTTATTATTAAGTATTTCCTCAGTATTTACTAACTTTCTTTCTGCTTACTTTACTTTTCATCACTTACTATTTGCTCAATATTAACTATGGTTTAATTAATAACTAATTTTTGTAACATAATTAAAGAATGGATTTGGTTTTGCAGTGATTTTTTAAATGATTGGGTGTAGAAATGGGACAAGAATAAAAACTGGCGTGGGCCATTTTTCATTCTGGGTCTAGGTAGGGCTTACGCGGCTTGTTTTTCACTTTTATTTGGGTGGGGGTGATGAGAGTAGACATGTAATAAAGGGAAAACACCTATTTAATATGACACTCTAGAGACTAAACTAACGTTATAACCAGGATGTCCCACTGTTCAGGAAATTTTAGATAGGAGTACTATTACAGACAGTGGTCAAAAAGCCGTCATTATAAAGAAAGGTGTCATACTATCGGGGATTGCACTAAAGAGAGTGTCGTACTATCGAAAGCCATAGTAAAAGGTTTCCACTGTAGTTTTTTTGGTTGCCAGTTGCACCTCCAATTGATGTGTTAATTTACCAGAAAATTACAAATACCGAGACTTTACACTGAATTCTATTATTGTAAAGGTAACAATTCGGTTTTTAAACCCTCCGGGGGGCTTCTCCAATTAGTTTGTTTACTTGGGTTTCGTGGTCGCGGAATGGTTCATTACTTCGTTGAAATGCGACACGTTAATTACATTTGCGGTTTTTACAATTACATTGTTGATTTATTACGTCAAATGAAGTCGGGATGACCATGAAAAATGTTGTGTTATCAACAAGGGTGGGGAAGTTTTAAAAATTTTCTAGTTTTACGTATAGTTTAGAAAAGTCAATTTTACCTTGCTCTACCCTATCTTACCCTACCCTACCCTACCTCATCTTACCGTATCTTATCTTAGCCTACCATAACTTACCCTAACTTACTTTACCCTCACCTACCGCCCGCTATCCTCACTCTCTCACTTACCCTCACCTACCCTCACTTATCCTTACTTACTTTCACCTGCCCTTACCTCTTCACCTAGTATTGTACTACAACACTGTACTACAACATATAAACATAGTATTCAGTAAGTGAAATGATCACCTTGAGTGAATAATATCTTTAGTTTTTTTCCGACTTAAATTTCCGGTTTCCTTCAGTCGCTGCTCTTTTGGTATGTTTACAGCCAATTTTCGTAGAAAGTAAAAAAAGGAAAGTAGCGAAATAACAAATCAGATAATTATATTATACTTGGCACCCTTGTCTCGGGTCTTTTGTAGAAAAAGTTTTGTTTTATTTTAAAACTTGCAAAATTTTATTTTACTGTAATGTAATTCAGTTATTTGAATTGTAAAATACGGTATTTAAAGGGTTTTCTTTTTTTAAAATGCACTTTAAATTTATTTTTTAAAAAAAAATATTTAGTTTTTCAAACTGAGCCTCATCTCAAAGCAAATATTTGGTGCTAAAGAAGCTCAAAATTATTTGAACAACTAAACAGAAAGAATAGTTAGGAACTACCTAGTGTAATATAGGTCTGAATAGTAAAAAGTTTTTTGTAGGTAATGCTTTTTAAAGTTTTAAAAAAAGGTTTTAGTCATTTCTTTTCGTATTTCTAAGTGCACTTTTACAATATCAAAACGTAAAACATCAAATACGATGGTTAGAGTGGTCTGGCTGTCTTATGTTTGTTACTTTGTAACACATTTGGTTATTTTACTTATAATGTTGAGTTAAATAAAGTCTACTAATATTGGTGATGACATTTCTAAATCAACTTTTACTTATTTTTTGAGTTTGTTATTTAAAAGACTTATTACTGTACGTTATGTTACTGTAACTTATAGCCAGAAAAAAGTCATTTTTAAGTAATATATAGGCCTAAAACTTGTTAAAATGCTTTAAAAAACATTGTGTTGTTTTTAAAATAGTAATGTTATGGTAATTATTACAATAGAGTAGTCGTTTACCTGATTATTGCTCTTGTCTACAGATCAGATAACGGTAATTTTCTGGTTTTTTGTATTTTTTAACGATTTTTTAAGGGTTTTTTACAATAGACCTATTTAAGGGAAAATAAAATGAGTGGTAAGGCTTCTTAGATTTTAGAGAAATGTTTTTCGAGGTACTGTAAATAATTTTTGAGGTACGTTAACTAGATTTATAAGTTTTTTTGGTTTTTCTTGAGGTTTTTATAGTTGAAGTTTTGAAAAAGTTGAGCCAATAGTTAGGTCCCGGCCTGTTTCAGCCTAAAAATGTGAAAAATGCCAGATTTTTGTCAGTTTAAGTCGGAGGCTAACAAGAAAAGTACCCAACCTGCCTCATTCAGAGTGAGCTCAAACTTTTTATATTTGTTGTTTGTGCTACCAATAGTACACATAAAAAGTTTTAACTTGCGCTTTTGTGTTATAAATTTTAAATATTTGGGTTTCTCGCCAATTTAACATAAGTGGCCTTGTGTTTCCAGATTTTTTTTCGACCTCTGCAGACTACGCTTACAAATTCAAAAGTGTATGTTAATTTTAAAGTTTTCTAATAGTATATAAAAAATGAATAAAGGAAAGTCAAAAATAGCAAAGTTGTAAGCTTGAGACACAATGCCAAGTTGGCGGAATTTTGAATCGTAATTTCTTACTCTTGATTTTCTCGAGATTTCTTGGAAACTGCAATTTAGTACTTTTAAAGATCTTTTATTTACATGCTCCTTCTGTATAAAAATAAAAAAGTCAATCAGAGCGGGGCATGTTGGGCACTTTCCTTGTAAGCCTGTAAGCACTTTTACAAGTCTAATTGTAAGGTTATGATTTGAACACGACCCACGCTTTTTTAAGCCAAACCTAATACGAACACTAGTGTAACATCACAACTGTGCTACGTGAACTTGAAATCATCAATTCGATGATGTAACTATTCGATTGTTCGAAATTTTATTTTATTGTTCAAAGAGTTTTTTAATTTATTTCCGCGCGCAAAAGTGAAATTTTGTCAATTTTACGGCGGCGAAAGCGAAATTATACCTTGATAACGACATGGTAATGGGCTTTCATTAACATAGTTAATTTACGATTTGGAGGCTATTTTTGTAGCAGATCTATTGTTGAAGGTATTGTGGGGGTGGAGATGGTATGGCAATTGTCAGGACTGACTTAGGGCTGTTTTTTAGTGAGGAAAGGGAGAGAAGTTTGGAAGGGGATGAGGGAGAAGGTAATGGTGATACAGCTTTTTGAAAAACAAAAAAATTTAATCCAGGTATCAAAAAATTAGTAAAACTTTGTTTTGGATGATTCTGTTAGTCTTTACTGTATTTCCTTTAAGAGGGGGGGGGGGTGAGGTGTTTTTTTCCTAATAATAGGCTTTTTGGGACGTAAGGGATAATGATAAAGGTTTTCTGAAGATCTTCAGAACAATCTATTGTAGATGTTCCCAGTTGGGCTCTATCCAGTAGAACTTGTTTCTTGAGCTGCCGAGTTGTGATGAGGTGAACCTCAAGACTTCAGGCTGTAGTCAGAAACCTGTGTAAGCCAAGCAGCTGATTTGCTACAAGCATCGTGCACTTTTTTTTGTAAACTAGAGTTTCTTATAATTTTTTTTTAGTTTTGAAATTTATTTACAGTGAAACTTCTGTATAACTAAGTTCATTATAACGAAAATATCATATAACGAACAAATTTAAAATCTTTGAGCGATTCGTTATACAGGAATTCTTCTGTGTTTTTTGAGGATTTTTACAGTAATTATTTGTCAAAGTTTACTGTAATACATTCAAAAACTTTATAAAAATGAACTTTTTCATCAATTCGTCTAAAAACTTACAAAATTCCAGCGAAAAACATAAAAACTTATACCGATGTTATTGTTCAAGATAACTGAAACTTTTTTCGAATTCTCGAACGTCTTATTGTTATGCCGTGACACAGTGACATGCACAACAATACGATTAACCCCCGACTCTACAAAAGGGGGGGGGGGATGAACAAAGTAAGACCAAAATGCCTGCGGGGGATAATAACAACCTCGTCGGTGGGTGTTTGCACAGTTTCGGATGTTCTTGACACAACGTCGAGACATGTTTCATTGCGTGTGGGGTAATG